GCTGGATTCCATCGCCGACTTGAACGTTGTCGGCATCTCTCCCACTGAATCCGCGACGTACGCAGCCTCGAAGTCTTCCTTCTCTTGTGCTGCCACAGACATCTCGTCCAGCGGCTGCTGTCGTCTCGGCACCGCATACTCGGAACCTCCACGGCTTCCTCGAGCGACTGCGTGCGCGGGTGTCGCTTGCTGCCGGGTTCAAAGTCTTGATTCCGCGCAGCTTCTTCTCTGTTCTCGTCTGATCCGGACTGAGTCTCTTCATCCGTGGTGTCTTCATCATCATCTGTCGGAAGACCCACCAACACCTCCTTCGAAGCGTAGTCGCGTCTCCCACCGTCGAAGACATCCTCCATGAACTGCGCGTCGCGGCTCACCAACACGCGACCGCTCTCGATCTCATCGAACCGATACGCCTTCTCGTGCTCCGAGTACCCGAGGAAACGACAGCGCACCGACCGAGCGTCGAACTTCGACCGCTTCTCCTTCGGCACGTGCACGTACGCGTGGCACCCGAACACCTTGAGGTTGGCCAGCAAAGGCTTCTTGCCGGTCCAAACGTGGTGCGGCGACTTGTCGTGACTGATGGCGCGCGTCGGACACCGGTTGCGGAGGAACGTGGCCGTCATCACCGCTTCTCCCCAGTACTCCTTCGACAACCCGGCGTGCTCCAGCATGCAGCGCGCACACTCCACCAGCGTCCGATTCATTCGCTCGGCCACTCCGTTGAGCTGAGGCGTGTATGGCGGCGTGAACTTCTGCTCGATGCCGCGATCCGCACACAACTTGGCCATCGCACCCGAAGTGTACTCGCCGCCGTTGTCGCTCCGAAGCACCTTCACTCGCTTGCCGGTCTGCGTCTCAGCCAACGCGACGAACGCAGCGAACTTGGCAGCCACCTCCGACTTGTTCCGTAGCAGGTACACCACGCAGAAGTGCGACTTGTCGTCGATGAACGTGACGAAGTAGCGCTTGCCTCCGAACGTCGCCGTCTGCATCGGACCGCACACATCGCTATGGACCACCTCCAGCACTTGCTTCGCACGGTTCGGCGACGACTTCATGAAGCTTACTCGCGTTTGCTTGCCGAGTGCGCACCCGTCGCACACCTCCCACTGCTTCACCGACGTCATTGGGATGCCAGTGCCGTAGCCCTTCTTGACGATGGCGTCGAGACCACCATGGCCGATGTGACAAAGTCGAAGGTGCCAGAGGTACGACGTGGTGTCCCCTTGGCGATTCTTTGAGCTTGCCGCATTGGCCTCGTCAGCAGGCGTCCTCGGCGTCATGCAGAGCTTGAACAGTCCTTTGCCTTCGCGAGCGCCGAGCTTCCACTTGAGACCCTTCGTTTCCGCGAAGCACCCGTCGCTCTCGAAGGTTACTGGCCCGACGTCCTTGGTGAAGCGGCCGACGGAGAACAGGTTGCGCGACAGCTTCGGGATGTGCCACACACCCGTGAGCACACCCTTCTTCATGCCGCGCGGTGTCTGCATCGACATCACGATGTCGCCGCTCCCCACCGCCTGAACCACGCCGTCGTCCGCCAGATGCACGTCCACCGGAGAGATCTTCTTGTAGTTCTTCATGTATACGTCATGTGCTGCGTCGCACCTGAGTCGACCAGCCACATGCCACTCAGCTTGGAGGCACCCGTGTCGCCACCAACCGAGAAGAGGAAGTCGCCAGAGTCATCTTCGACCTGCGCGACGTTCGCTCGTTGCGACCTCTGCCGCTCCCCGTTCTCGCGGATCCGCACCGGACACTTGGCGATCCAATGTCCGTGCTCGCCGCAGTAGTGACAGGCGCTCGTCCTCTGCGCTTGCGCCTGCCGTCCCTTGCGCTTCCCGTTGTCGCTTGTCATGAACGCTTGACCTTGAGCGTGCGCGGTTCCGTCAGCACCGCCACCTTGTTCCTTGCGCTTCATGTCCTCGTGCAGGAGCCGAGACGTCACGAGCTCCCACGTCAGCGTGTCGGAACGCGATTGCAACGCCGTGATGAGGAACTGGTACGACTCGCTCAGACTGGCAAGAAGCGTGATCACCAAGTCGTCCTCGCTGACCGGAGCGCCGACCGCGTCGAGCTGTTCCGCCAGCGTCTTGAGCTTGTTAATGTGCTCCAGCACATCATCACCTTCGTCCATCGTTGTCGTGAAGAACCGTCGACGAAGAAAGAGCTTGTTCGCCAGGCTCTTCTTCTCGAAGTGTCCCTCGAGTCTTGACCATGCATCATGCGCGTCCTTCGCCGACCGCACCAGCGGCAGCTGCGAGTCCTCCATCGCGAGACAGACGATCGCCAGCGCCTTGCGCGACTTCTTGCGAAACGTCGCTTGGTCCGCCGCGGTCGTGCACTGCTCGAACTTCACTTCCCCACTCGTCACTTCCCACAGTTCGCGCTCCTCCAGCACCATCTGCATCTTGAACTTCCATGTGTGGAAGTTGGTTCCGTCGAACTTGTTGATGCGGGCGGTCGCGGTCGGGGCGGCGTCCATGGCGAAGGCGTAGTCGGGGTCTTGGTTAGGGAAGACGGGGCTTGGGCTCATAACCAAAAGGAAGAGCACTTGAGCAGTAGTTGGCAAAATGCAAAGTGATTCGATTCAGGTCCTTAGTTCGCAACCGCGTGCTACCTCTAAGCCTGCTCCTGGATACCTCTTACTGGATACACCCTACTGGATTCTCTACTGGATACACAGTTACCTTATCCAATCAGAGAACGCCACGTCGATGCCCATCTTGTACCCACAATCCTGTACCCACAATCATGGCGTAATCACCGTGACGTAATCATCGTCCCGTAATCACCTGAATGATTGCGGTACAACACAGTGAAGGTCACGCCAACCTCACTGATGACGCGTTCGCGTCACACGGTCGCTTGGCGAGGCGTCGTCACATCAGTCTTAACAACACATGTTAGTACCATGTCGGCAACATGCTCCAAACATATTAACAGAACAGCGTGACAATTGCCGACTGATCGCGCTGCGCAATTGTCGGGGGATGCTGCGTAAGCTCACTCCTCATCATATTGCATACAATAGACCACGTCTTGGCAGGAATTATCTCAGCAAAACATGGGCGTGACATGGTCAAAACGCAGACGAGCTAACATGGTGAATGTGTGGCAGAAACATGGCCAAAACATGGCCGATACATGGCTGGCAACAACAACTTAGCAAAATTCAGACATGTATTCAATGCACTGCTTACTCTCCCTTGCTCACTGTAGCGCTTACGCTTCGTTGCTCTTCTTCTTGTCGCTGAAGTTAACCACCGTGCGCAAAATATCCCATCGGCGCCTCGAAAGACCCAATTCAGTGTAGCCATTTCCTGCCTCCTTGAAAACGCGACGCCAAAAGTACAGACAAACGAACAAGCCACAGTTGTCGTTGTCCTTCTGAAGGGGGCTGTGTACAGCAGTAATCTTGAACCGATGGGGGAGGCTCTTTGTCACGAGTTCCGCAGCAACTTCAGCAAGCAGCTTGTGATCGCCCTCTTGTCAACGCTGTCATAGCAAGTGACTGTCGTATGGACGCGGTCGACAACGATGCACGTCCAGTGGTTCTTATTGATGTTCATGGGCATGAACACCAAGTTCTCCGTAGTATTAGCGAACAAATTCACAACTGCAGTGGATACTCGGTCACCCTTACTTTTAGCTGGCGTTGAAAGCGGTGGCAGGAATATCGTCGTGTTGTTTTTGAACGTGTCGGCCAGCGTGATCGTAAAAGCATGAATGAAGTTGTCGTTGTACCAGCAGTCGCTTCTCGCACAGTATACATTGCTCCACGCCAAGTCAAAGCCAGTCCCAAAGCCAGGTAAGAGCTCAAAAGGCCACGAACTAATCATCCGATCTGCTAAGCTTGCAGCGCCCTCTCCTTCAAATTTACTGTCAATTTTGCTCATCAACCACGAATAGCACTGCCTGCCTCCGTCACACGCATTCGATAGGCTCCAAATAAACTCCATTGCCATTAGCTGGCGGTGCGTAAATTCTCCGATCCCATCGATCTGAACCAACCAGCACGGCTCTGCAGGGTCAGGACGCTCCACGAGGTCCATTGCCTCCCCGAAAGGGATGGCTTGGTCGACATGCTCAAGTGCGGTCTTTACCATAGCCTCGGGTAGATTGAAGGGTACGTGCGTGACCACCGGTACTTGTTTGGCCGCTATCATCTTGATCTTTCGGTGCCCATGGTGACGAATCTCAATTGTTTTAAGATACGATGATGCTTCAAGCAGAGGGGGCTGGCGCTCCTCTCTTGGCTTCGCTGAGCATCTGCCATCGCTCGGTCCTTCGGTGGGCGGCCAATTCGCTTAGCCAGTTCGTTGAATGGGTTCAAACGTGCCTTCGACCTCGAGCTGCTGCTCTTAGCCTCGGCTCTCCCCCCAGCATTAGCAGAGTGAGCGACACTCGTATCTTCCCGTACGGCTGAAGGTTTGCTCTGATTGTGCCTTGCAGCTTTCGACGTAGCCATAGGAGGCGGGTCATCAGTCCGTCCCCCGCGACAGGATAAAACTTTGAATTCATCAGCGTGCTGTTGAAGCTCCTCCGGTGCCTTTGAATAGACCATGTTCGCCACGCAAAAGTCCATTTGTTTCAGCACATCACTTGAGTACGTTCCGTACTTCTTGTCGTTCCGGGCTGCGGTGCGAAGCCACTGGATCACGTGGAAATGGCACAGGAGAATCCGAGCGTTCGGAAACATGCTCTTCAACACCTCGATCTCATTGAGGTCCTTGTGCACCATAATCACTTTTGTCATCTCCCAATCGTTTACAGACTAAAAATGCTCCACAGCTTTCACCATGTGCCAGTCTGCATTTCTTTCGACCACAGAGTGCTGCACAGCCTGCCCATTACCGAACTGGTCGGTGATCATCAGTGTACACAGCTGGTAATTGTATCTATAACATGCATCAAACATGGGAAACATGGATTAATCATGGTCGGTACAAACATGCTAACGTCATATGAAAAACATGGATGAATCATGGTTGAACTCACCGGTTCGTTTTGTGTGTACAATCGATAAGTAGGATCTCAGGAAAGCGCTTGTAGAGCTTGCGCATATGCTGCGAGCTGATGGAGACGACTGTCGTCTGCTTCCTCGAGTTCTCGTCGACTGTACTAACGTTGCCGTGCCCGTCCAGGTTGAATTTGACCAGCATCTCGGCCACTTGATCTTCATCCGACAGGGTTTCACCTACATCAAACATGCTTGTTAGACAATATGTTCAGTAATAAAGTCGTACCAGTACACACAATGCTCACCAGATTTCTTCATCTTGGCAATCATGTTGTAAACATCCTGCATCTGGACTTCGTGCGGAGAGTTGGTGCGAATGTAGTCGTAAACCCGGCTTGGCTTGCTCCCACTGGCGACCATCAGCTCCACGTCACGCAAAATAGGCGAACCCTCAGGAATCTTCCGAACCATCGGGTACCCACGGTACACGGCTGCTGACACTTCGTGATTGTGTCCGTAAAACGCGTGTTTTACCTCAATATGCCACACACCGTCTGGTCCCTGAACTGCTTGAGCCCTGAAGCGCATCTGACAGCCCGTGTACTTCAATCGGTGAGATGGGCGAAGCCCTCTGGAGCGGATGCCGTCTTCCAGCCGTGGATACAAATGTACACTCGCTGATACGGGTCGAAAGCTTTGGGTACTAGCGGCAACTCCGACTTTTTCTTGCCAGCATGCTTCTTCAGCTTCTTGATTTGAGCGTTACGCAGCTTAGCATTCATCGTCTCACACACAGCTAGAACGGTAAGGGTCCGTCGTTGATACTCCTTGATGTGTTTTTCGATCCGTTTCCAGCTTTTGTGAGTCGTCTTTGGGGGTGAGACGAAGTACAGCTCGCCATCCTCTTAGATCTCGGCAATAGTACGTTTCCGAGCCACCGAACTGCTGCCAGACGTGCCTGACTTCTGGTCAGCGCTTTCAGAGCTAGAAGAATCAGCGTCGGAGTCAACGTCACACTCGGCACTTTCTTCAGCACTATCTGCTTCGTGATCATCCTCATCACGTTCATCTCTCTGTTCCGCGCCATCATCACTAGCAGCACCTTTTCCAGTAACTTGAGCGTTCGGAAATTCATCATCTTCACTCAGAATGTGCTCGTCACTTGACGATCGTGCTCCCCAGAAGAAATGCTATCTTCACTGTCACTGTTGGTATCATCCTGCATGTTAAGGGCTCGAAGAATGGCGGCAGTTTTCTTCGTACGCGCCATCTTGTAGAGGTCTGATACAAAACTATTGAGGGTTGCTGGTCTTGGGTACTGTGTACCAGTTGTACCCATTAACCGGTTAACCCGAACCGGTCCAATCCGAACCCACGTTGATTATGGTGATTACGGTAAGTTGTTTACGCCACCGATGATTAGACGAGTAGGATGATTGGATGAACACCGGTGAGTGATGGTTGATTAGATGCACTAGGTGATAGGACGCAGGGTCGCGTGTCTATAACAGTAGGGTGTAAGCTCCAACAATTCAATCACTTTCGAATCTTCATTCTACCCCTCAAGTGCCTTCGCTCCGGTCCCGCCGTCTGCGACGTCGCTCCCTCCGCTTCGTCCGAGCTTCGTGTCCAAGATCCATACCTTCCTTCAGGTTATGAGCCCAAGCACCATGTCCTCTGCCCAAGACGCCTTGACCAAGGTCTCCATTGACAAGTTCAACGGGGACAACTACGCGACGTGGAACCGCTACATGCGTGGCGTGTTCCTGACCAAGTCGACGTGGCATGTCGTGAACCGCGAGACGACGCCGAGCTTCACGGACTCGCGGGCCAAGGACGACTACGTCAAGTCGAGCAACATCGCGTTCGGACTGATGTTGCTCCACATGGACGCGGACTACCACCATGTGGTCGACGACTGCGAGGAAGCGTGGGTTGCGTGGACGCGCCTGAAGACGCTGTACGGTGGTTTGCAGAAGGCTGGACGCATCTACCTGAAGCGCCAACTCTTCAGCATGGAGATGTCGGAAGGCGGCAACGTCTTGCATCATTGCAACGAGGTCCTCAACATCAGCGCCAAGCTCAGCAGCATCGGCGCCAAGATGGAGGATGAGGACGTGGCGATCTGCCTGTTGCGCAGCCTCCCCAAGAGCTACGAGAACGTCGTGCTGAACTTGGAGATGAGCAGCGCTGAACTACGATCGCAAGACGTCGTGAAGGTGCTGACGAATGAGCACATCAAGAGACAAGGCGAGAAGACGGCGACGGTGAAGACGGAGAATGCGGCCAAGGCGTTCAACACCGACCGAGAGTCTCGCCAGTGTACGTACTGCGGGAAATTGGGGCACACGATTGACAAGTGCTGGACCAAGCAGAAGGACGAGAATCGGGGCCCAAGACGCGGCGGCAATGGCAATGGCCGTGGACGCGGGGCCAACAATGCCCAGTGGAGGAATGACGACGCCAGCTACAACTACGACTACGGCTATGATCGAGTGGCGTTCGCGGTCTCACTGGAGTGTGGCATTTCGACGGGCAAGAATGTGTCCGGGTTGTGGGCGGTCGACAGCGGCGCAACGCACCACATCTGCAACGACAAGGCCAAGTTCGCTCATTTGATTGAGCGGAATGAAGGCTGGCCGACGGCAACAAGGCGGCCATCATGGGTGTGGGGACCATCGTGGAACGAGTGGTTCTGCCCAACGGCGACGAGCGCGACATCGAGATCAAGAACGCGCTGTACGTCCCAAGCATGAGCAAGAATCTGCTTTCGGTGCCACAGATCAACAAGAGTGGTCTGTTCCAAGTCGTGTTCGACAGCACCAAGATGCAGATTGCGCACAAGGGCTCCAAACAAGTGGTGGCGACGGCAAACCTCGTGGATGGACTCTACTGGCTCCAGACGCCTCAGCGATCGGCGAATGCGGCGACCAGTGGGAAGACGGTCGACTTACACGCGCGTATGGGTCACGCTCCGGTGGAGGTGCTTCGCATGATGGTCGACAACAACATGATCAAGGACGCGAAGGCACCTTCCAAGTCGAGTGGACCAAGCGTGCCAGCAAGGGAAAATGGTCCAGAAGCCGTTCCCAAGCAACCGTGACAAGCGTCACTACGACACGTTCGAGCTGCTCCACTTCGACGTGTGCGGCCCCATGGAAGAAGAGTCACTGGGTGGCAGCAAGTATCTGCTGCTGATCGTGGACGAAGCCAGCGGATGCATGAAGGGGTTCTGCCTGCGTGCCAAGTCGGAGAGCGAGGACTGCATCAAGATGTACGTCACGAAGGTGCAGACGCAGTTCGGCAAGAAGGTCAAGTTTGTGCGGCACGACGGAGCCCGTGAGTTCGCGACCAACTCGCTCAAGGCCTTCTACGAAGTCGAAGGCATCGAGCAGCAAACCACGGTTCCGTACGCGCACCAGACCAACGGCACGGCAGAACGTGCCATCCGGACCATCGTCACGATTGGCCGCAGCATGCTGCATCATGCCAAGCTGGACAAGAGCTTCTGGGCTGAGGCGGCCATGACAGCCATCTACGTGAAGAATCGTCTGCCATCACCCAAGATTGAACACAAGACTCCGTTCGAGATCGTTTACAAGTCCAAGCCGAGTGTGAAGCACATGCGTGTGTTCGGATGCCAGACGTACATCCTGATGCCGAAGGAAAGACGGCGCAAGTGGGACCCCAAGGCTCGCGCCGGGCTGTTCCTCGGCTACGAAGAAGTGTCCAAGGCGTATCGAGTTTATGACATCGAGGCGGGGCAGGTGGTTATCAGTCGCGATGTCAACTTCGATGAGTCGACCTTTGGACTTTCGACGCATACTTCGGATGAAGACGTCGATGATGCTGTGCTGGACTTGGACGCGCTGGACCTGGACGACAACGATGGACCGCGCCAAACGAGCTTCAAGCAGGCGGGGAAGCGCAAGTACCGACCGAGTGGCGACGACAACACTGCCAGAAGATCGCGCCCCGTTCGCCACCGAGCTGGCTTAGAAGAAGCAAGTGCGCCGGACGTATCCTCCTCGCGCCGAGCCGACCCCGACGAAGAAGAAAAGTCTGGGGACCAAGATGAAGACGACGACTCGACGCCTCCAGTGTTTTGGCGTGCCAGTGCCAACGCTGTGGAAGCAGCAGCCGATCTATCGGAGCCGACGACGTTCCAAGAGGCTGTGAACGGTCCTGATCAAGTGCACTGGCGCAAAGCGATCCGCGCGGAGCTCAAGTCGATGCGACTGCGTGGTGTGTTTCGAGCTGCCAAGTTGCCTAACGGACAACGCGCCATCGATACCAAGTGGGTGTTCAAGATCAAGCGCAAAGCGGACGGCTCGATCGAGAAGTACAAGGCGCGCCTCGTGGCCAAGGGCTTCAAGCAGAAGTACGGCATTGACTACACCGAGACGTTCTCGCCCGTGGTCAAGTACGTGACGCTGCGCATGGTGATCGCGATTGCTAAGTATTTTGGCTGGCCCCTCGACCAACTCGACGTGGTGACAGCATTCCTGTACGGGATAATGAAGGAGGTGGTCTTCTGCGTGGTTCCGGAAGGCGTCGAACTGGATGGTGACTTCGACTGCCTGGAACTGGTGAAGGCCATCTACGGTCTCAAGCAAGCTTCGCGAGTGTGGAACGAGACCTTCGACGAGTTCGTGTGCTCCATCGGCTTCCAAGTGTCGGCCTTCGATCCGTGCCTCTACATCAAGGTGGTGGACGGTCACTGCGTGATTGTACTGGTGTACGTGGATGACGTACTGATTACCGGGAGTTCGCCCGAGCTGATCACACGCACGAAGACCGACCTGAAGACGCGCTTCGAGATGACCGACAGCGGCAAGTGCGCGTTTGTTCTTGGGATCGAGTTGGTGGACGGCCCGGACGGCAGCGTGACCATGTGCCAGCGGCGATACGTGGACGACATCCTGAAGCGCTTCGCCATGGACGAGTGCAAGGTCGTGGTGAGTCCGGTGGACATGAGCACTCGACTGGTTCCAAGCGACGCGGCGACCAAGGTGAACGCTCCGTTTCGCGAAGCTGTTGGTGCTCTGATGCACCTGATGACCGCCACGCGCCCAGACATCGCGTACGCCGTTGGCTATGTATCGCGCTTCATGGAGAACCCCCAAGAGGAACACTGGGTTGCGGTCAAGCGTATCTTTCGCTACCTGCAAGGCACCAAGACGCATGGGATCTGCTTCAAGCCGGGCGACAAGATCGACTTTCGTGGCTACTCGGACGCGGACTGGGCCGGCGACCGCGCCGACCGCAAGTCCACTTCAGGCTACACGTTCATGCTCATGAGTGCGCCTGTGAGCTGGGGAAGCAAGAAGCAATCAAGTGTGTCGTTGTCCACGAGCGAAGCGGAGTACATCGCGCTCAGTCTGGCTATCCAAGAAGGCAAGTGGATTCATCGCCTGCTATGCGAGATTCTGGCGGCCGCTAATGAGACTGGACCCGAACTCATGCTCCGCGAAGACAACCAGTCGTGCATCAAGATGACGAAGAACCCAGTGAACCACGGTCGCGCCAAGCACATCGACATCAAGTACCACCACATCCGCGATGAAGTCAAGCGCGGCGAAGTCAAGCTCCAGTACTGCGAGACTTCTGTGATGCTAGCGGACATCATGACGAAGGCGCATGCGGGACCACGCCACACGGATCTGACGGTGGCTCTCGGCATTCGTGGGACTTCGCATTGAGGGGGCGTATTGAGGGTTGCTGGTCTTGGGTACTGTGTACCAGTTGTACCCATTAACCGGTTAACCCGAACCGGTCCAATCCGAACCCACGTTGATTATGGTGATTACGGTAAGTTGTTTACGCCACCGATGATTAGACGAGTAGGATGATTGGATGAACACCGGTGAGTGATGGTTGATTAGATGCACTAGGTGATAGGACGCAGGGTCGCGTGTCTATAACAGTAGGGTGTAAGCTCCAACAATTCAATCACTTTCGAATCTTCATTCTACCCCTCAAGTGCCTTCGCTCCGGTCCCGCCGTCTGCGACGTCGCTCCCTCCGCTTCGTCCGAGCTTCGTGTCCAAGATCCATACCTTCCTTCAAAAACCAGCAAAACAATAGCCAAAACATTGCCAAAACATGGTCAGGGACATGTGTGAAATGTGGCGTGTACATGTTGTCATTTGACACTTTAGCATCCTCACCAGCTTACGTTCTTCTATAGAAATATGATCACTCCAGCGTAGCCAAACAGACAGGACTGTAATGAACTGCAACAAAATTATTGATAAGCAAACGAGTGCACAATCATGGTCAGTACATGTTCCAAACATGGCCGTTGCCATGCTTCAACATACCTTAGAGTCAACCAGCTTATTACGCCCACTTGACAGTGTGAGAATACCGCGTTGGCGCTGAAGAGGGCCGCCTTGTCGTCGAGGACCTGTAAACAGGGATCACACAGCGGGTTAGTGAATGTATATGGGGCTCTATCGTTGAAAACCATACCGTGCGCTTTTGTATTCCCAGCACGAACAGTGTTTGCTTGGTCAGCCGCGCTTACTAATCTGTGTGTGAAAGCAAGCGGTTAGTAGTGAGAGTGTCAGCTGCGACGCAAGGAGCACAAACCTGCTGCGCCAGCGAGATGTTTGGCAAGCGCTAGAAGCCAGATTGCTGCTCGCGAGGGTCTCTGGAGGGAGGGGGCCGGAAATTGTGTGCCTCCAGCTACAGCAAACTGAACATACATCAATATGCACAAACAAACTCATTATCACGCTGAGTCTTCTGCAGCAACGAAAGAAGCACAAACCTGCTGAGCCAGCGAGGTGTTCTAGCAAGAACTAGGAGCCAGGTTGCTGCTCGTGAAGGTCTCTGGGAGGAGGGGGGGGCGGGTGTTTGCCTCCAGCTGTAGCAAACCGAACACATATCAATATCGCACAGACACGATCATTAGCACCCTGAGCCTCTGCAGTACATAATTTCATCGCAACCGCACCTTCAACTGCAGTGCGCGGAGGGCCGGCGGGGGGAGGAGGGGCGAAGGCTGCTGGAATCGAAGGCGCGCCCACAGGCTTAGCGAGCGCTTCGCTGGACGGCTGCAGCGACTGCTGGATCTCGGACGCGTGGCAAAATGAGTGGTTTTGTAGAATTGTACTTAATAGTACAGTCGTACTTAAGAAAATGAAAGAAATTAAAAATTACCAACATGACCAAAACATAATAAAAAAACACATAATAAAAATAGTGAAAAAACATGGGCTCTATCTTTTCCGTTATTAAATCCGTAGAGCCCATGCATGGTATGACGGATATGGAAATGGCCCTTTTACTGGGAGTGACTTTTCTATGCTGCTAGACGCGTGCAAAACGGCGACGAATGCGAAATTGTGTCTTGAACTAGAGAGTGAAACGCGTGACACGCAAGCATCTGCTTACCTAGTTACGCCGCGTCTGCTCTACCTGTACGTAGTGTAGCGCACACATTTTTCAGCACTTCTTCATTCTCATGAAGTGGCTTCGGCAGTCGTCATGGATACCTTCGTCTCCACGGCTACGGACACGGTCTACTCTTTCTTGACTGCGCCTTCGACAGTGGCGGCGGGTACATTTTCCATATCAAAGACAGTATGCCAGTGCGAGATGTGGTGGCAACATCGGCTTCTTCTTCGTTGTCGTTGGCTGCTTTTTCGTCTTCAAAAGCACTTGCACGCCTTATCCCCTAAGTAACCACCTGCATGAGATCAAGCATCAGTCCAACCGTTTACCTGCAGGATGTCAAGCATGTAACAATTATAACTTTGAGCAATAGTAGCACTTGGAGTCGCGTATTCTATTTGCCTCAACCTAAATTGCATACACCTCTTGTTTGAGCATTGGCGACCGCATCGGGTGCGAAGCCCCTACAAACACAACAGTATAAATGCGAAGACTACGAGGTATTATCAAGGTGGTGCCATGCATAACATACAACTATGAGATCACGAAAATAACTTTATTGACCATGCCTTGGCTTCAAGTGCTCCATAAGCGTCGTCATGGTTCCCCATTGCTTCAAAATCTTGGCAGGACCAGCTCCGTACTTGCCCGCATACGATTGCCTGTCCCTGCGGCGCCTGAGCCGGCATGGTCTGGGCTGAATACGCTAGTCTCGTTGGTGGTTTTGGGGCCGCAGTTCGGGAGAGATGGTAGTTTCATCAGGAGAGAATTGCGTATCCACAGACCTGTTATAATATGACGGATATGCAGCATGCAGTTAGAATGTCAGTCCCCGCCATGCTAGATATGCATGGTGTGACTACATACCTAGGGTGGACTGCGTCGGCGCTTGCTGCTGGCAACGTTTCATGTGCTGGGAGAGAGTTTGTCCTTGCTTGTGGCTGCTGTGTAGGCGGTAGTGGCGACACGGGTGGTGAAAGTACGCGTTGCCGGTAGATTCTGTGCTAAGTATACAGGCACACACAGAGTAAGAACAAGCAATACAATGCCTGACGCTCCAATCGGCGTACCTGCTTGGGTCAACTCTTGCATGATGCCGACTGCCTCCCGCGTCTTCGTCTCGTCCCCTGCCGGCAGCACTGTTGCGCTTTCTAGTCCATGATATCATCGTCATTTGTGGTTGTCTGAGAGCATACAAGTAGTTGCACCATCATATACAATGTCAGAATACACAGTTGGTGTGCTGGTGTTTGCGGTGCATGATCTTACTCGTCCGTGCCGCCCATATCTGCCTCGATCCTGGTGTACAGACAACGACTTACAAAGCCGGCAGACACAAAAAGCCGGCAGACGAAGTCAAGCAAAGCTTAACATGAGCAAACCAGCCAATCAGATTCAATCAAATGACTTCATCTTTGTATACCATCTGGTTTTGTGTACTTTATATGCTTTCTTGTGTACTTTATGCAACACACCGTGTGTTTTATGACAGTTTTACAGATTTGACGGGAGGGAATTTATCGTTGATTTTATATAGGAGGATGGCATTAAGCATGCCGGCTTTGTAAGTCGTTGTCTGTACCGTCAACTTACTCGCCGTACCCGCGCACGCGATGCTCTAGCTTGATGACATCTCTTCGTTCCGGTCGGTGCGAACATCGCCCTCTGCGCCGCGGCCCGGAGGCATCTTGACTTGGCGCGGCAAATTCTTGAATGGCTCCGGTGGCCTCCACCCGCCACCCACCGCGAGGGAAAGCGTATGTACTGACCATGGTCGGGGTGGATACAACGACCTTTCTTTCTGCCGTTGGCACCCCAAGCCTTGTGCATCGAGTACCAAGTTGGACCAATCGACCAGTTTATGGACTTTTCACATGCTTGATATTAAGCATGTGGGAACAAATGGCCGCCATTTGGTAATTTTCACATGCTGCTTATATCAAGCCTTAGTGATGGGGGGGTTAACCCCCTTAGCTTCATGGCGGAGCCGACAAGTTCGGCTATCGAGCTCCTCACCGAGTTTTCACCCGCCACACCGCCGGATGCCTCGAATGGAGGTCACGCTGATAATGAGAGGAAGGACTCGAGCACTGGCTATCTAAACATGCTTTAAGAGCCTCTACAAGACAACAAGGAGAGCGTGAAGCCGCCCGAAAGGATAGGCTCCTGACCAGCTGCCCTGCGGAAGCTACTGGCCCCTAAATAAGAGGTATTAGCCGCCATAGCGGGGTTTGTCACAACAGGAAGTCCTTTGACGAGCCACCAAAAGACTTTCCGCTCCTCAAGCGTCCGTGGTCAGCAGTAGTTTCGGGTGAAAGTCCCGCCTCCCGAACTGCTTCATCATGTCCTATGCGAATGGCACCAATTTCAAGTCAAATAACGACCATCATTCCTGAAATGTCCCTAATTTTTGTGAACGGAGGAAGAATCGCTTAAGCCGCTGTAGCGCTCTATATGCGAAATGCGGTAGCAGTAGCAGGAGACGGCCATGGCGATAGAGCCGCTGCCTCCGGGTATGGATCAGCAGCAACAATAACGGCGGCAGCAGCAGTTTCTGGAACGTGCTGCCGAGAGAGCATCTTCCGAAGCGAACAACGAATTGTAACAGCTTTGCGCAAGCGAGCGCTGGGTGCGAGCTGGCGGATACAAGACGAGAAGACACTTTAGTGATAGGATGCAGATTGCAAAGTAATATATTTCATTTCACACACGCTCACTACCGTGGCGCGGAGGAGGAAAGCATCAGCCTAAATTGGCCCTTAAGGGTCGATCCCAATCCATCGTACAGACAGATATGCCTTGACAAAGAACTTGAGTTCCTTTCACTCGGATTTCCGGAGGAGAATCCTCATAAATTGACGTGACAGACATCATGTCAGTCACGTCAATTCAATGTCAGTGACACAACTTCTGCAAGCCCTGGGGAGAGCCGGGCTCTTGGGTGAACCGGGAGCTCGGCCTCTTGAGTTCAATAGGTTAAGTGAAAGGAGCCCTCTAGAACTGTGAGCCCTCGTTAAGGGCTCCCCCTCACCTGTGTTAAATATATCGCTGATGATTGGCCGTCATTGAAGTATCTCCAGGTTCTAACCTGAAAATGCATAGGAAAGAGGGCTTCTCCTTGAGGGGAAGAAAGGACGATCGGCGACGCTGGGGAGGCCTCAGAGCGGCTGTACACATATGAGCGGCGCGAGATCTTTTAGTGTGGTGATCTTTGAGCTCGATCTTCTAGCGTGGCGCATCGATCACGCGAAGTTGCTCGCCTTAAGTCTAGGTAAAGTTGGCCAATCAGATTTTTCTATGAAGAGCCCTTCGTAGATTTGAAGCTTAATTTGGGGGGGGAATGCCAACACTCGTATGAAATTGGGTTTAAAATGCAGAAGGCGTAGCTACCGGCTATCCCTACCCCGTACCGATCTCAATTATACCGCGCATACACTAGAGGACTTTCGGAACCGCGTTTGAGTTAGGATTCAGCTTCAGAATGAACACATTTATGTAATCTGAAAAGTTGAGAATCGTTACTTTCGGAGAAAGATTTGAGTTTCAAATTCAGATTGAGGTAGAGCGTCTAACGAATGGCACGGAGGCATGAGCTGCGCGGATCTCGCCGCTCGGCTAGCTTTAGCACGCGCCTGCATGTGCTAGGCAACATACATGCATCGATATCTTAAGTAGGACTTCCTGTCTGACTGGGCATAACCACATTCAGTTTGGTATGAAGCGTTGCAGCAGAAACAAAGGAGGACAAGGTCCGTAACGGTTCGTGTCTGTGAGACTCCCCAACGCATTTCAAGCGTGCAGGCCAACGTAAACCGCATAGTGTCGACGTTACGATACATGTAATTCCTCTCGCCGGTGAAGGTGCACGCGGCAGTGCCGTACATCGACAGTCTTTCATGCGGCCGCGTCGTGTTAGCGGCTCCTTCACCACGCCACATTGCATCGCAATTTTATCACATTCGCTCGAGGTTTTCATGGATTCTATTGGCTAAAATGCTATCTGAATCTCAAAACAGGCTTGGGCTAGAACCCCGATTAGCTCAAACCTACCCACGTTTGAGTTGAGGTTCGCCCCCTAAACACTGCCTATCTGAAACTGAAACTGAAGCTGAAACGTGGTCAATTTGGGGTTCACACGATATGTTGGGGCCGACAGGCCCCGACATATCCGACACCGAGCTCCGAACTTTGACACTCCGCCGCATGTTTGTTTATAAGTTTATAAGTCAGTTTAGAATCGAGTACAAGGTCGTTCAAGGGAGTTCAAGCCGTGACAGACGTTCGCTATGAGCTGGAGGCACCGAGGCGGTGCTGAAGCACTTTGACGTGACGAAGGGGCGCGGCCTGAGCGCCGGCTGGTGGAGCAGTGCAGCGCAGAGCACGGCTACAAGGACCTGGACAAGGAGGAGCGAAAACCAGGAGCGGAAGCAGTTCGCCGTGATGAAGGAGGAGGGCAGACAGGAGGCGGAGGCAGCAGCTATCCGCATCTAGCGTGGCCGCTTGGCTCGTCAGATCTTCTCCAAACTGTGCATCGAGAAGATCGAGAAGGAGAGAGAGATCAACCGCGTGCGCGAGGAGTTCTCCAAGTTCAAGATGGAGAAAGCTGAGCAAGACGACGAGTTCGCGCGCATGCGAGAGGAGAACGCCAAGTTGAAGAAGCAGTTGGCGGAGCTGCTGAGGACCAGCCAGGAGCTCGGAGCACTGATGCGCCTGCGACGCGATCAACAAGGAGGTCGAACTCACGCAGAAGATGACCCCGCAGCTGGAGACGACGCGCGGCAAGTACTAGAAGACCGGCAGCTCGCGTCCACGGAGCCGGACAAACTCAACTCGTCCGACAGCTCGTCCGCTTTCATCGAGAACGAGCACTGGAAGAAGGTCTGCCATTGACTCGAGCACTGCGTCTTTACTGCACAAAACGAAAGAGCAACCAAGACAGGATCGATTTAGATAAGATCATTACATCGCACATGTTCAATCCATCAAACATGCATTCTGTTCTCCTTCTTGCGAGGTGAACCAATCTCGCATTCATGAGCTGGCCTTTCATCCACAGCTTGGTGTCCTTAGCAATCTCGAACGCAGCGCAGCCCTTGCAGAACGCTGAACGCTAAATGTCATGCCCGTTGTGTTGCTCGCCGTCGAGCGCTAGGGTAGCGTCAAGCCCTACGTGGACGAGCTGTTAGGTCTCCGGTTCTTCTCGATCATCGTGGCCGTCGTGGTCGTGGACACGAACTTGATGTAGCTGATCAGCAGGAAGTGCCTCACGCTCTGGCCGCTGCTGTAGAACGTCGGTATGTTGGTACTCAGCGCTCCGTAGTCCGTGTACGCCGGCGAGTCCAGTCCCGTGTACATAATGGTGCCCGTGGCCGAGCTGCTGTAGTTGCCCCCGGTACCGAAGATCGAGTCCAGGTTGGCGATGAACACGAACAAGGGCGTCAGCACGGGCGGCAGCAGCAGCTCAAACACGGAGGACACGGGCTTGCGGCATCTGATGACGAGGTTCTTCCTGATCAGGTTGGTCACTTGTCTCTAGGCAGCGACCATCGCAACGTTTACTTGTTGCTGCTCGTCAGCACTCAAACCGAAGACGGCGGGCCACTTTCGCCCCCGCAGTCAGACACGTCACCTGCGCTGCAAGAGCCGCTCCTGTTCCAGCCTGTGTGTCACCAAACCGCAGCGAGATAGCCTCGCCAGCACCGCTGCTGCCCGTGCCCACGCTGAGCAAGACGGATCCGCCGTTGCCGCAAGGCGCCCGCCGAGCCCAGCCCGTTGTCAGTTTGATCAGGCCCGACGAAGCGGCCGTGCTGTTTGCGCCCACGCCGCCATCCGGAGTGTGCATCAGCACATTGCCGCTCGTGAAGCTATTGCTCGCGCCGCTGGACACGCCCACGTCACCGCCCACGCCGCCCGCAGCGGTGCTCGTCGTATTCAAACCAGGGCACGCCGCCGCCCTTAGCCGTATCGCCACTGCCCACGGACAGCTTGATGTTGCCTACTCGGCCGCCGCACCCGTCGATAGACGCACAGACCCGCTCGACGAGGACGATAGCCAGAGACAGAGACCCACTCATGCCGGACGCAGCGCTCCACAGTGACGTCGCCGCGATAGAACGCCGGGCTCTCGGCAGTCGTATCCGTAGGATAGACAGCTGTAACGTGGCCTCGAGGTGGCCGTCCGCGAGGCCTTCCAACCCGTGCTGGGTGGGTGAGCGCGTTTCTTCTTTAGGGCGTGCTTGCTCTACTCAAACGGAATACCGGGGGAATCATTCGGGTCCAAAAATGGTGAGAAGTGGTCAAATCCGGTCGGATGTGGTCCCGATCGGTGGCGGTAGATTCCCCGTATGAACCCAATTTGGGGGCTCCGAAAGTTCTCCACTCGCATACGTCTATTGGTTACATGTACCCGGGCCCGGGGTCAAACCCGTTGGGCCCGGGGGGGTCGCAGTCGTCTACCGTAGTTGTGGTGTATTGTGTGCTAGCCGCAGTAAGCGAGCCCAGAACTCACACGGCAAGGAGCCTAAGTAAGAAAGGCTATTTAATTATAATATTTGTACTTTTTCAAATTTACACGCTCTCCTCACAAAGCTACATTAAAAAACAGTGAAGACGTAAGCATATTCTAAAACCCTGTTCGAGTGAAATACGATCAAAGGCCCTGATTATCAAGACGCGGAATAAAAACAATGACCACCGTAGCAAGAAGCTCTACTTGTTGCTAAGCACACCCAAATTCTAGTGATAACAATGAAGGACAGAAATTTAACTCGACCAGCTGAAGACATGTCCCCGACCGGATAAACCGAAACTTCCGGTTTATCTCTCTAAATGCTACATAACCTCCGACAGCTCCACGCAGTACTTGTCCATCTCTCGGTTAGCTATTGGTTCTTGACGCGGAGTCTTTACTTAATGCTGAATTTATCTCAGTCACTGGCCGCACACTTTGGAATAATACAACGTGTGTTTTCCTCGCAGTAAGCTTACCAGGTCGTGTCGAGGCTTGGATTCGACATTACATCGAACTGTTCAATGCGGATTCAATTGTATGTTGCAATCGTAGTCGATATGTACTTGATGATCATCACACCAACAAGCACGTGGGGCAATTAGATTTCTTTATTTGCCAAATGAAAAAAAATCACAAGCGACTTGGGCGCGCCTCACTTGCGGCGCATCAGTCGCAGTAATAAATATCTTCTCTGATCTTACTTTAACGCTCTAGCATATATCGAGATTGTCTTGCGTTCCTTGGGTTTGGTCACAAGACGCGCCTGCACAGGATCCAGCTTCGCAGCGAGTAGATTATCTTGCAGTCGGACGCCTTTACGCACGTGCGTGTAGACCCTTCCAGTGAGACTTGTCCTTTGGGTGGTTCTTGAAACAGAGTATCGGCAACTTCGCTAATATCACGAGCGTAGGACGATCAAGGTGGTTTAGAATTCGTTAGTTTTTGTAAAAGCTAAGTGAATACATCTCTCCTTGCAGCAAAAAAAAAAACTTCGCTAATGTTGTCAGAGCTTAAATGCTTGTTAGGACATGATCGAGGCGCTCGCTGCTGGAATAGGTCAAGACCGTAGCACGTCCGACGCGTCGCATTCTACAGGACAACCAGTGAAAAATTAAGCTTATGCCAAGTTTCATCATGAATCATGGGGGGTATCTGAAGACTTAAGCGGGGATTGCTGCTCCTTCTTGCCCTTATGCGAGCACCCAGTTCATGTCCGTTCTCCTGTTCAGCAAATTCTAAAATGGCATTAAGCGAGCCGGCCCCGCTCGGATCGGGAACATCATGGTCTATACCTCCATCTAAAGTCCTTCTGGCCTATACCTTTACCTCACGGGCAGGGCTTGGTAGTAATTCACGAGACCAGTATATTATAGTACTATAGTAATATTACTTCTACTATAGTAACCAGTAACTCGACACTTCCTGATTCTACTATTACTACAGTAACCAGTAACTCATCCACGGCCCCAATAATACTATCGAGTTACTGCTGAGTAGTGTACTCCGCAAACATGTTAGTGATTTTCTCAACACTAACTTACAGTTAGTGCTGTTTGCAAACGCGTTTATATGTTTGCTGCTCTATCACTAGCAGATTAAATTAATGGCCACTGTTACCCGTTGTCGAGAGGTCACCCTTACCTTTGTGTACATTTTGCGGACTTTTGAGTAATGACCAGACCACTTCAAAAGTGGGAAATTTTCCCACATTTCCCACTTTCTGGCAAATTGAGAATCCGATACAATCTCTAATAACGCCCCACATAGGGTGGGAACAAATATTAGTAACATTCCCACCTTTGAGCTGTACCCATCTTCGGAATATCAGTGTTAATGTATTGATTCCCACTCTTCCCACATCCTGCCTCCAGAATAGGTCACTTCCTGATAGAATGTGGGAAAAGTGACTTGTCCCACTTTTAAGTGGTCTGGTAATGACTCATTACTAGTGAGTAATGTGCTCGGACTTCCGAGTTGGCACACTTCATTTAAATTCGTGCGCTGCGTCAACTTGAAACTGTTGATTACACTTTAAATACGTTGCTTGTTGGGATGCCATTCACGAACACAAATAACGTGCTACAAACCCTTTAGGGCAACTTATCTTTTGGTTTCTGCTCTTGAATTATCTATTAGCTCGCTCACGCCCTGCTGGACGCGGCCTTGGGGCTCAGCTGCGCGGCCTCCAGGGCCGCGGAAAGCTGCTGGACTTGCTCCTCGGTCCCGTTCCAGTTGGTATGCTTCGAGTGTGACGTTTAGAGCTACGATGCCAACCAAAGTTTTCCGCCAATGGGGAGCGAGCCCGGTTTTGCGCCAATCCGTGAATTGAAGGTATCGGCCAATGAGACGACCAACGGTCGTGGGGAAAATTGGCCGTGCTGGACCAGGACCTCTTCCGATCCATACGGATCGCAACCAAAAGCTTCCGAGATCTAAGCACCATGGCGCACGTCTTCGGCGACAGCGAGAAGGAGTCGGAATTCGGCTACGTGTACAAGGTCTCGGGACCCTGTACGTGCCTGCCATTGCCACCTCCCCCTGGGCCTGCTGCGCCTCCTATTGACAATTAATTGCATGTGTTTCAATTGCCCCGCAGTGGTGATCGCCGAGAACATGCACTGCGCCGCCATGTACGAGCTGGTACGGAGGCCGGAACTAAATTAATTGCATCTGCGCAGCGTTGTTTTAGCCCTGACGATACAATTTGCAGGTGCGCGTGGGATCATCAAGTTGGAGACCACGAACGCGTCCATCCAGGTGAACGAGGACACATCCGGCCTGACGGTGGGCGACCCCGTGGAGCGCCGCAAGCAGTCGCTGTCCGTGGAGCTCGGGCCGGGCATCGTGGACAACATCTTCGACGGCATCCAGCGCCCGCTGCACGCCATCAGCGACCTGGCCAAGGACGTGTACATCTCCGCGGCGTGGACGTGGCGTCGCTGAACGCCGGCAAGAAGTGGCGCTACAAGCCCGTCAACTTCGTGAGGGCGAGTCCATCTCGGGCGGCGACACCTTCGACCTCGTGCACGAGGACGACATCCTGCACTCGCGCAAGATCTTGTCCCAGCGTCTTCGGCACCATGGTCAAGATCTACGGCGCCGGCATCGACAACGAGTTTTTCACGCTCAACGACACGGTGCTCGAGGTGTGCGATGGCACCACGGCCGTCACGTGCAAGCTTGACGCATCGCACAGGTGGCCCGTGCGTACGCCGCATGGCCGAGAAGCTCGCCGGCCAGCACATTATCGACACGCTGTTCCTCTCCGTGCTGGGCGGATCATGTGCCGTGCCCGGCGCTGTCGGATGCGACAAGACGGTCATCTCACAGGCGCTGTTTAAGCACTCCAACTTGGACGCCATCGTGTACGTGGGCTGCGGCAAGCGCGGTAACGGGATGGCCGAGGTGCTGAACGACTTCCCCGAGCTCACGATGGCGATCAACGACCGCGAGGTGCCCATCCTGAAGCGCAAGACGCTGGTGACCAACACCAGTAAAATGCCCGTGGCTGCACGTGAGGCCTCGATCTACACCGGTATCACTCTGGCCGAGTACTTCTGTGACCAGGGCACGAACGTGTCCGTGATGGCCGACTCCACGAGTCGTTGGGCCGGTGATCGCTGCGTGAAATCTCGGGTCGTCTGGGGCTACCCCGCTTACCTGGGCGCAGCTCGTCTGGCCGCCTTCTACGAGCGTGGCGTGTCTCGGTTGCCTCAAGCGTGAAGGCAGTGTGACTGTCGTGGGCGCCGTCTCGCCTCCTGGTGGTGATTTCTCGGACCCCGCGACGGCCATCACTCTGAGTACTGCGCAGGTCTTCTGGGGTCTGGACAAGACGCTGGTCCAGCGCAAGCGCCTCCCGCCCGTCAATTGGCCTATCAGCTGCACAAGTACATGCGCGTGCTGAAGACCTTCTTCAACAAGATCGACCCGGAGTACTTGACGCTGCGCACCAAGTGCCAGGAGATTCTGCAGAAGGAGGACAACCTGACGGAGATCGTGCTGCTGGTGAGCAAGGAGTCGCTGTCCGAGGACCCGAAGGTGAACACGGTGGTGGCCAAGATCATCCGTGAAGACTTCCTGCAGCAGGACGCCTTCTCAGGCTAGGAGCGACTTCACGTGTCCGCTGACCAAGAGCGTGGGCATACTGCGCTCCATCATCCGCTTCTACGACCTGAGCCAGGACGACTCGCCGCCCGACGCCAAGGTAATGTTAGTGCAGCGCAGGAAATGAAAAAGATAGCGCTCTCTGAAAATAATCAAGAAAACTACATGTAGTATGGAAGTACCGGTAGTTTATACAAGTGTTTCGTATGAGTGACTCAAAACCTCAAAACAAATGATGGGAACGACCTCATTTCGGGATTAGCGCTGTATCGCAAGAAGCGACGAGCCCGATGTCCTCCCTTCTTCGGCCCTCAGCTTGTGATCGAGATTAAATCCAGCTGCACAGATAGCGACGACGACTTGCCGAACAAGCGCTGCCGCCGTCTACGATCATATCGATACAAAGGTTCGGGGGATAGTAAGACCTCCAAGCCCGTACGTAAGCCTGCGCGGCTGCCTCTACCAAAACCACCGCTTTTCCACCCCATCACTGGGGCGAGAAATAACGCGGTGGCGGACACCACGTACGACACCAACAAGGAGTGGGACGTGGGGACGTGTGGGCCATCCTCGACCGTGCCGACTACAAAAAGCCGAATGAAGCGTATTTGGTGCAATGGTTTGATGACGCCCGCCGCTTTTGCGCAACATACGTATGGGGGAAAACTCTGCGCGAAGACGGTTTCAGCAAGGAAATGCTCCGCATCGACAAATGGAAGGATCAGTACAGTCACCTGACATTCGGCCAGTTTAACAAGAGGTTCCCGTCGACCTTCACGGACTCTGCCGACGGGAGGTGCTTCTTCAGTGCCATTCGGATTGCTTGCCACGTTATCGGCGACTGCAGCATTGTGCCGCTACAGCTAATTAATGATTTCGAAGCTAAGCACCTGCAAAAGGACGGTGAGGAGCAGCAGGAAGGCACTTCAAACGCAGATACAAAGCGATTTCTGTCATTCCGTCGGCGTGAATATCTTCGGGAAAAACTTGGCTGATCGATCTATCACCAATGTGGGTGCTCTGAACAAGTTTGAACTGGCACCAGGCGTTTACGTGGTAGGGGCCTCCTGTGCTCGGAAGATCAAGCATTGTTTCATCGTGCGTGTTTACGAGGATGGACAACCGCGGCAAGCTTTTGATCGCCGGTACGACGGTGGAACAGATGATGAGTTCTACGACGAACCGCTGCCAAATCTCACCTGGCTTCGCACTTGCAACTTCATCCGACGTTTCGAGCGCGTGGGGAAGGTGCCTCGTAAGTGGCCAGTTCATAAGAAGACCAAGACCAAGCAGTAGTAAGGAAGACCATGCAGCCGTAGCTATCAAGGAAAGATAAATCTACAGTTCTTCGTCATTATTGGTATTCGTAATTATTGAACTATATAGTTGAATGGTTGCTTGAATCTTACGCAACGATAAATGCTAGCATCATGGCGAGAACGGTTGGCTCCATTCAAGTCAATGGTTGAAATAGTTCGTGCAAAATGTACACTACAATGTACGAACCGTCACCAGACATTACACGTTGACGCTTTTTTAAAAAAAAAACATTCTCGTGGTTCATACGGTAGTAACGCGGGAAGTCACTCTTCAGTTTCAGAGTGTTAGGGGACGTCGGGTAGGTCGGCCCGCCATCAGCAACTCGAGTCTGTCGAACTGCTGCTGCTGAAGGAGCCATGTTCGCTTCTCACTACTGCCCCCCGCGCTGCGCAGGGGCAGCACGAGCCGATGGTGCGAACGGGTTCCTCTGCATCGACTGCTGCTGACTCGCACTTCCAGCCCTGGAAGGCACTGGTCTTTGTTGCTGCCGAGGCCGCACCGGGGCGGCACCTTAGAATCCGTTTATATACCGATAGCTTGCGGCAGAGCCGACCGATCTGGTTGTCTAGCGCCATGAAGCCGGGCTTGTGCGCCGTCGCCTGCAGCAGCTCCTTGTTGCCCAACTAGAAGGCGCGTACGAGATCCTCCGCGAGCGTGCAGTCGTCTGTGGGCAAGAAAGAGCGAGTACAGCGCGTCGGCGCATTTTAATGCGCGGTTATGCGGTCTAGTAGCTTGATGACATCACCATGCTTGCCACTCTTGACCAGGAAGCTAGCTTCTTGCGCAACGGCTCCACAGCGAGGTGCGGTTTGTCCTGCGCCTCCAGCAGGTCCCACGCCTTCCAGTAGAGCGGCAGAAGATCGTCAGCACCGCAGCCGCGAGTTTCACAGGCCTGTGCACCCTTCACAAGTGCGTCCGCGGCCTTGCCCAGCTTGATCATGTCCACGTAGTCTTCTCGTAGGCCTTACGAGCCTCGGCCGCGCGCTGCCGAGCACTGCACGCCTGCGCGCTCATCCTTGAGCTGCTGCAGGGCCGTCTTGGCCACATTCTCCCACGGCATTCGGATGTACAGAAGGTACACTCAATTCCGACACTTCTAATAACAGATGACCTCCATTATTTTTGGTACTTTCAAATATTAGATTTAGTAGGAAAGTTTCGCGCGCGCGCGAAATGCACTCCTGCACGATTCGTTCGGTACCAGACAATGAGCGCCATTCGAGCATTTGCTGCGGACGGAGCAGACCAACAAGCATGGCCAAGCGGACACCATAACGAAGAAGACCTACGACCAAGGTAAGCGTCGCAAGCCTCTCAAGGTGGAGGCGAAGGATGGATCAAGAAAGCAGAACAGCGTGTGCGTATTGAGATTGAAAGGTCGTCACGAGGAGAGCTAACAAGCTGCGCTTGGAGGTGGGGGGACCCACGCTGAACGTGGGCGTGTCTACAGGTTGGCTGATAATGTTTCTAAGCAGGTATGAGGATCGCATTTGTCTAAGACGTCGGGAAGCGACTCAAGCAACACAGTAGCGCCAGAAGCTGGGGTAGACGACGCGCGCGACGCGCTCTGCTGCCAGAAGATGGTCCAAGCAGCATCCTTAAGTAGTCTTAACGAGTCTGGTGAGGTCGACGAAGGCGCACAAAACGGGGGCCTAGACGAAGACGTACATGTAGTTGCCGACATGCTTATTGTGGCATCGACCCAGGTAGAGGCCGCTTCCCCTGCAGCAAATTATACAGTGCACAAAAGGTACCTAACATATGGTGTCGGAAGTGGCGGTATATTCTGTACTAGTTTCAGCTGCTGACAACATGCTCAGTCCGGAGAAACGCCCCGCAAAGCTGCATTCAGCTCCATTTAACTCTAAAACAGCGATAGACACAATATGAGAGTTTGTTCGCCATTGTGGCGAGCAAAATAAGCGCTAAGATGAAGGCTTTTGAACGTACCAGTAATTAATCCGGAGGGGTAGCCAAAATGAAGCATTTAGCCCTGTTAGAGAAGCTGATTAAATGATGGCTAACGTCTCGCCCTCCTCATAGCCGAACTCCGCCTTGTACTGCTTGAAAATGCGCTCGAGCTCGGCAATATACTGACTGTGAATAGCTGGAACCTCCTCGTCCGTCGGGTTCTCAGTGAGCTTCGTGGAGATTGGTTTCCCGTACACGAGTCCGAAGCGCTTGCCCTTGGATGGAGCTTTGGGCATCCACCAGAACTTGCCCCAGAAGATGATCATGGAGATGCCCAGCGCGCGGAAGAAACGGATCACAGCCGTCGGCGGGTTCCACATGCTGGAAGACGAGCAAGAAATGAGGTGAGGCGGGGTGAGCCCACATTCAGAGCGAGGAAACCATCAAGAAACGTACTTGTAGAGTCACTTTTCGCCAAAGGCGAAGGTTAGTACCAGCTCTGCGCCTTGCCGCATCGCAAGCTTGACGAATCCTAGTCGCTTGTTCAGCACCAATTCCGTCTGCACACGAACCCATGGCAAAGTTTAGTACAGGGCTTCGATTCCAGACGAGCCGTGAGCGACAGCGATTCACCGTTTTCGAGGCAGGATCCGTCGTGAAGATCTCGGGTACGCCGCCTGCTCGCTCCCGGAAGGAGCGGAGTGCGTTTCTCGTTTGGAACTTGTGTCCAGTGCCATCTCTTCCGCAATCTCCACGGCCTGGGAGCGGATGAGGCCGGCTCGGGCGGCGGTTTAGCGTAGACTTGTCCTTCAGGAACGGGCCCGTCCAGCCCAGCGGGATCAGTGGATTCATCCTGCAGGAAACGTTATGCGCGCTGCGAGCAAGGGAGAATGGTCGGACAACAACGTACCCTGAGCTTGCTGCAGATGCTGTCTTGGTACGACTGTCGCTTGGCTCCCTGGGCACGCAACTCAGCAAGGAACATGATGCAGCCGGGTCTGGTCTTTCTTACTCAGTCGGCGAATCGAAGAATGAGCGCCCCCCCCCCCCCCCCCCGCGGTTGGTGCGCTGCTGGCGCCGCTGCCTTTCACGAAGTTGGCATGGCCGATACCTGCGGATTGAAAGGAGCAGGGAAGCACTCGAGTGCCCATGCTGCTATCCTGAGTCTTCGGCTCCTGCGTCAATAATCACATTGAGAAATTTGGGGTCAACAATAATTTCAATTAGAAAATTGGCTGCAATGTAAACATTTACCTTGGATCAACCTTGCCATGGGCGTCGTCGGGCTTGCTCTTCCAGGGGCACCGCGTGGAGGGGAAGACCACGTTTTACTCGCCTCGCTACAACGAAGAGTCCGTATGACAGAGCCTGAACTTTGAGATGGCCGTATCGCGCATCACGACGCCCTTCGAGAAGGTGGCTGAAGACCTCAACCACCTGACTGCAGTATACATCAAAGTCGCCGACATCAAGACTATCCTGGCAATGTGGCCAAGCGAGGCCGAGCAGCTCGTGCTGGATCAGTTGATAGCAGACAAAGCGACGCTGGTCCTTGTAAGTGATTGAGCGTGGGTTGCATCTATCTTATTATCTTATTAATGCTCTTGTTTCTGCTTTTGAATGTCGTTCAGAGTGAGCTGTTCTTCCTGGCTGCCCGTGCTGTACCGATGGTGAAGGAGAAGCTCAAATGCCTCCAGTTCAAGCTGGAGTTTCCGTCGCGGGTGTGCGAACTGCAGTACGTGCTGTACTTACTTCTTACGAACATGTTCAAGCTGCAGAGGGATTGACATTCCACTGTAGGCTTCTGGCGCAACGTGTAACGAGAGTATATAACCGGAACGGAACATTGTGTCCACTCTCATTTTCTGCCGATATAAGAACACTTACAGACCCATTCCTCTAACTACAACCACAGCTTGCCCATTTTCTCTTCAGCACTTTAAAACTCTCCAGAACACTTCTTATCCTCTTTAGATTAAAATAGCACTTCTCTTCACGATCTCCAAACATCTTCTCGTTAAATAAAAGCTTAGAGCAAAAAAAGAAGTCCTCATGGATTTTCTAAATTTCAGAATAATCTCTGAAATTCAGAATAATCTGGGACATTCAGAATAATCTCTGAAATTCAGAATTTATTGGAAAATTCAGATTTCAACTCGTCAACTTCTGCCTTCAGCTTAGGCATCTTGGTCTGAACGAATTCATTTTTGCTCAACCATTCCAGGTAGTTAGGATCAATCGCTCGGATCTGTTTAATAGTCCTAAGCTTGTATTTGCCCCATGTCATAAGGAACGATCCATCGTCATTGTCAAATTTTTGAGCTAGGAATTTGGCAATGTCACTACCATGTGCAACGAGACCTTTTTGATTTGATAGCCAGCGGCAGTATCCAGGGTCAGAAGCATATACTTCCTCAATAGTCATTCCCCAAAATTCGTATGACAATGTGGACCACATCTGAATTTGCGTTAGACACCGTGTCTGCCATTTTCCAAAGTCTTGATTCGCTTCCCTATTTAATTGTGTGGCTACACTAGCAAATCGCGATTCGCACCAAATCCGTTAGACAAGTTGTCGAACCAGGATTCACACGACCATGATGGGTAGCAAACCAATTTCCTCGCTCAAGCGTTCCTACTCGGACTTGCATACCCCAACAAGGCACGCCTCGCGTTCAAGAGCACTTTCAAGACAGTGTAGCAACAAGGACAGTAATGTAGCAGTATTACAGAGCGTGCGATTGGCGCCACGCCACCCGCCCACGAGATATTATAATGCTTACGATACGTTGCGCGCAGAGGTGGCAGTGGGGTAAATGCTGCCGACGCTCTAGAGCGACTTGGCCGTGCGCATGCAGGCCTGCAAAACTGGTGCCTTCGAGTTGCTTGTGCACAAAATGTAATAGACTCTCCCAAGTAACCACAGGCGTTTATTTAACTAAAGATTCCTGAAAAGCCCTGAACTACTGTACAATCGACGGATTTTACCGCCGGTAATCTACTGTTGGCGCGTGTGTTAGTTCGAGAGGCCCAAGTGGGCCCCCACTGTATTCCAGGCAATAGAGTACATGAGGTAGTTGGGCTCAAGTAGGGGCAGATCTGCAGCTTGTCGAAGCCTAGCAATGCGTCTCTGCATGTGTTACGCGGTTAGTGCCGCATTTGCTGAGTCTACTTAGCGATACATGTAGGAGCAATTGGGCGGACAGTTGAGCTGGGCTACAGTAGAGCACTCACCATGAAGGGCTAAGCTCACAGCCAAGTCTTAATGCATAGTAGTGGAAACGACTTGTTTGGCTGCGATTAATGGCCACGCAACGGCGAGACTGTGTGCGTACTGAGGCAAGAACTCGACCGCTTCAGTGCCAACTACGCACTGCTAGTTGTACTTCGTAGTTGGCACTGTAGGGCAACTGCGGCAACTAAAGCGGTCAAGTGCTACCTCTATCCTATCGAACATCATACGAATTTTCACGTCTGACGATTGTCTACCAATTCCGTCTAAGAATCATTTCTATCTTAAGATAAATTTAATAATATATAGGATACGATGTGCAATTACCTAGCTAAAGACGGAATCAAATGCAAGCTGTCGCCGAAGAAAGACATTTGTCATATTCATCGGAAGTATTCGATTATCGATCACAAAAGTAATGAGATTCGAAACTTGAACAAGTCAATTGCGAATGCGAAGATGGCTAACAAATCTCTGCGCAGTGAAGTTAGTCATCTCAAGGATGATATAGTCTTTCTTCAATCAGCTCTCAAGGATAAGGATAGTATCATATTCTCAATGAAGAAAGACTATGACCAATTCATGTCAATCAAGCAATTTGAGATGAAGGAAGCTCGTTTATCGAAATATGTCCACGATATGACTGACATATACTAGCTAAAATCGTTTTGCAGATCGAAAGTAAACGTGTTGACACTATCAGAGATTTTCGGAGAACATGACGACTACTGGAGACACTACAACGAGCTGCGAATCCAAAGAAACAAGCTTTGCCATGAATTTTAGTCCATCTTAACAAAAACATATACTAGTATATCCAACGAGACTAAACCATGAAGCGCTACAACACAGAAGAGGAGAGACCCAACGCGAGACGAGAGGCGAATCGTAGATACTATCGACGAACTCGCGAAAGTAGACTCGCTAAGCAACACCAATACTACCTAGATCATAAAAATGAGATTTACGAGAAGGACAAAATCAGATATCAGCAGAAAAAATTAGCGATTAATCGATGATTTTTTTTGCTACCATTAGTATAACTTAGAATTTTCCGATCGATCTTAAGCGTACATTCCCAGTAATATAACATCTCAACTATGCCGATTTCATCAGCCCTTAAGAAAGCTCAAAAGCACCGTAGTGACCTATACAGGTTCGCCAAGAGTAAGAATCTGACTATCCATTGGGATATGAAGACGAAGAAGATGGAGGAAATTGTCAATACCTTCAAGAGTGAGAAAACTAAGACTATCATCAAGGCTCTCAAGTCATCAAGCTTAACAATGACCAATCCACTCTCAAAGCCATCAACACTACAACTGGAAATGTCAATGTTTCGCTAAGCCGCTTCAACCGTATCCGCAAGCAGATTGTATCGCCGGCTGATAAGAAGCTGCTGATTCACATCAAAGGTTCGGATGGTAGAATCGCGAAGTCATACCACGCGTTGCCAATATCAACAATCTTTTCATCGACGAGCAGAATCAATACAGCTCGGGAGATGACGTTGATTTGAATATTCTACCAACAACGACCATTGAGACTGAATGGCTGCCAAATCCTAAGCGATCTCGATCAGAGCGGAAGAATTTCTTCCGTTATCTGACGAAGGCTGAGTACAACCTACAGGCGTTCCAAGTGTTTTCAGATGAGTTCTTGATTGAAGATGAATACAATGACAACAGCTTCGTACCTGGTGAGAGCGACGACGACGACGCAGCTAACTATCCATGCTTTCTGTTTGCGCTATACAAGGCAGGATCAAACCCAGATCTTGTGAAGCAGATCTCACAGACAATGTTCAACTCGGGAGCTACTGTTGATTTCATTCGGAAAACCGCTAAGGCTTTCAACATTTGCATCTCTGTTAAGCAGTTCCGCATCGATCAAAAGACCGGCAGAGCTAAGAACGACACGAGTATTTATGGTGATAAATGCAACCCGATGTTTATCCTCGGTTCTGTTGGTGAGCTTCTATTTGCTATTGCGCCGACCAACATCACCAAAGGCGCCCTCGACAACCCCGAGCTAGTTGCCAAGCATGGACGAACTGATTTCCGAATCAAGGGAGGGAGGGTTGTTTTCAATGATAAAAAGATTTCTGTCCTCGACAGCTACGCTGTCATTAGCTACCTATACCACCATCGCGAGACTCTCCTATCGCCGGTCACGCAGCAAAATATGCCTAAGCTACTCAACAACAAATATCAAGAGGTGCGCTCACTGACTGAGGGAGATTTCAGTGCTAGCAACTTCAGAGTCATGGGCAGAGTCCCGGGAAAAGAGCTTAAGCTCGGTCAGGCTGTATTTAGAGCCTTCAACAGCAAGACGCGTGAGTACTATGATGTCCGAAAATACAGCGTAATCTACTTCGACTTCGAGACCCTGGTTATCAATGGTATTCATGTTCCATACTGCGTATCATATAGCATTTCAGAGTTCAACGAAATCTCACCATCTTCTCAGACATTCAGTGAGACGAGGGACATCTATGGCTTTGGGTGCGAGAAGCAATTCCTAAAATCGTTTCCCTCCAACAGCAAGAATCTTCTATGGGCGTACAACGCCGGCTTCGATGCTCGTTTCCTGCTAAACCATACCATGAAATCTCCGACCTCCGACCTTTCCGACTAAATGGTGTGACACACAAGCATATGTACTGAACTTTGTATGCCTATAAAAATATTGAATGCACCCTGTAAAAGTCGTTAAAAGGTAATTACGCGGAAATAATGATTGGCATTGAGCACGCGGGGATTGCCGCAGCGCGCGCACTGTCAGTATCGAAGCGACCGCGAAGTGATGTCTACATGTGCCGAAGTGACCACCCAGGAGGGTGAATTGAGGGGGCCGTGCCGCGCATCGGCACGGCTAAGAGGGGCTGTCGCTCACACGAAGAACTGTGTTGAGTTAACCCCACCTTCTGGTGCGCAGACGAGTATCCCTGCTTTGAGGTGTGCTAACCCCCACTAAAGTAGCTCAATGGAGGAACTCCCGAAAGGGTGGTTGTGGATTCGATTCCCACCTTTAGTATCCTATTGCTGGCGCGGGGCGCTGGGTTCCTGATGTGTGAAGTGTGGTAGAGGCAACAATAACTCAATAATCGTAATCATGTTTGCGCTTATATTCGAGTGTACTGTTTAGTTGTTTGCATGCGCATAACAGTTATCTACGCTTGCAGGTCTTCGTCGTCGTACAGAAGCTTCGTAAATTACGGGCGTACATGTAAGGTTGTTTGTTTTTGCTAATTACTGACTCACTACTTCTAGTACGTCTTGCGTGTAGCCAGGGGCAGGATCGCGAATTGTGGGAGGCTGGAGCAGACGCTGATGGCGCTCGATCTTCGCATTGAGATCGCCTGAGCGATGAAGCGCGCGTAAGTGCTTGAGGACAGCGCCAGAGCCACGCGATGTGATGTCACGCTCCGCAAGAAAACGCAAGATGGCTTCTTCCGCGCGCTTGCCCAAGTCCAGAACGCGATCGCGGTAGTCCGGTGCGGTCGAGTCCAGCGCGAAGCCGCCCTCCAAGAAGAGCTTCATGAAGGCTACCAGCAGCTTCGCATCGGACTTCTGCTGCTTGGAGATGGCCGCCTGCCACATCCGCGGCTCCTGCGCGTACCACGCGAACCACGTTGCGTGAAGGTGAGTGGCTGACGACCGGCGCTGCTTCTTCTTTGGCTTGCTCGCCTCTGTGTTTGTGCTGTCGGGCTTGTTTCGCTTTGCTGTAGCTTGCGCAGGATCACCGTGTAGCTTGGCCTCCAGCGCGTCCATGCGTGCGTCTTGGCGTTGCGAGTGCTCGATAAAGTGGTTAATGACAGCGGCTTGGTGTCGAATGATCTTCTGGGCTTCGGTATCTTCTATCGGTTTGCTGGGCTGGGTTGGTGGTTGCTCTGTGGTGCTGGCTTTCTTGTTGCAGTTTGCGGGCGCGGACGCTAAGTGAGTCGACCAGGCGAGGAGGTCTGCGATGGAGCTGCCGCCGTGGACAACGCAAGCTTCGATACGCTTGATCGCAGCAGCTTCTGGGTTGAGCTCCTTCGGTACCAGGTAGTGTCGAAGCACACAAGCGGTAAGTACATCCAGGACGGGCTGATTGACATTGTACCTTGCCGTCTCCAGGTCTTGACAGGCCGCGAACAGAAGCCGCTGAGCCGCGTCGATCTTCGTCCGTGTCTGAGAGTCGAACGCCTTGAGCTGCTGGATTGGTACCTTCGCCTCCGCATCCCGACCGCTGAGTATCTTGTGGTCTTGCTCACTCGTATTGAAGATGTAGTTGAATCCCTTGTTGGTTGTCGTCATGTTCCAGGCGCCGCGGTCGAAGATCCAGCGAGCTGTCAAGCTTCCGGAGGCGTTCGCGTGCTGAGCCCCGCCCCGCCGAAACGAGTGCGATGTCAGGACCGCGACAACGCCGGCAGGTTTGGAGATGCGGTCGAGGACGCGGTTGACGTGGGTGTAGATGGTCGGGGTCGTGTCCAAGCCCGCGGAAGTCGGCGCGGCAAGTCCAAGTGTCGTTATCGGGTGGTCCAGCATCTCCAAAAGCGGCACGTCTGGCGACAGTTCTACGGCAACCTGACTTGGCCGCTCTGGCAAGTTGTTGATGACATCGGGTGACGGTGCTGTCTGCGTGATGATTGCCAGGGCCATGGCCAGCAGCAGGCAGGTGGCGAAATCGGGGTCCGGGAACAGCGAGAGGCCCTGCTCTTCGGAAGTCTTCATGCGTATGAAGCGAACGAAGAGCACCTCACCAGCGTCTATCGACACGTTCTGCTTGCGTAGAAGCGCGAGGTCGGAAGCGCGGCCAAACAGGTACCACAGCAGGCAGAGTAAGGCAGCGTCTTGGTAGTCACTTGAGACACTTGCATTGACATACAAATACACAAGCATTCTTTTCAGATCGCGCTTTGAGCACGGTGGAGCCTTTGTTATAAAGCCAACACCATCTCTCTTCATGCAAAAGTTGTCAAGCGTTTTCCCCATTTTAAGCAACCGTGCCTCAAGTGCAGCACGATGCTGTGGGAACTGTTCGAGTAGCCAAAGTTTAGCTTGCCGGTAGTATTGCATCGAGGTGTTTCGAGCCAACGGTTTGCCTTTTTTGCCCTCGGTAAATGAAAGATACATACCAAACTTATCCATTACGGATACGAAACATTTACCACTATCATCACGGTTAATGCAAGCACGCACATATTCATCACCTACATCCTCAGACTTCAGAAACTTTTGAAACGCGGCTACGGCAGTTGCCTTTGCTCGTTTGGTGTTACCAGGCTCTAGTTCCTCTAACCCCATGCCTCTTGTCGGAAAGAAGCAAAATATGCAAGTGATACGTTGTTGACTTATAGTTTGAACGGCGATACACATATTTTTCAGAGTGCTCCGACCCGATACGTCGGAACTGCTGGCTTACAGGTCTCCCCTACCCCTATCAACTTCTATTGGCTCTTGTGGCTGGTACATCTACAACGATTGGACAATTATTCTCAAACTACATGTGATAGGCTGTAAGTATACATACAAATGTGTAGTAAAGTCGGATAATCAGCCATATTCAACCATATGACATACCGTATTTGTTTTGAACCATTTTTGCCATCCAAATGTAGTATTAATTGGGGGTCAGAATTAGCTTTTTCGCCGACATTTTTCGGCCGAAATGGTCACCATAAAAAATAAGGTCAGCCGACATATCCATTTCGCGAAGTGTTTCACCTGTTTGGCCGAATCATTTCTGAAATGGTCAGACATTTCCCGAAATGGTTGACCATTTTTCGACTTCTGGTGACCTTCACTCTGTTTATCTTGCTAAATGTATACACGTCGATTTACACAAATGCCGAGCACGTCGCCATGCACCGACGCGCGGAGCGAGCCGGCGGCGGCAGCGGCGGCGCTCCTATGGACGCTCCTGCGCCGCGCACATCGCGGCCTGGAGCTAGCGCAAGCTCACGCGCGTGTTGTGTGGTGCTGCATGGCGCCATGGCCTGCTGCCACGCAGCGCCAGAACGGGCCATACCACCTTCCTGGCCCCCGCGGTCTGCTGCGCCCTCTGGGCCATGTGTGGCAGACAGATAACGGGCAGCTAATGCTCCTACGTTCCTACATGCGCCCTCTACGCAGCGCTGCTGTCGCAGAGGCGCCCATCGGCTGCAGCCTTGCATGTCTACATGTAGATAAGCTTTTCAAAAAATGACCGGTCATTTCATATCTGACCGGGGTGATATTTTGGAAATGGTTTAATCATTTCGGGGGCTCTCAAGTGGCGATATTTTTTGTACCATTTGCCAATTCTGACCCCCCTAATAATGTTTTTTTTCTTCTTATGAAACCGAAATGTTTCTCAGTATTATGTTTTTTTCGTTATCATGTGTTTAAAATAACTTCTATTTCACCCATTCTTTGAACTCATCTTGTCATATACTGTAAAAACTGTAATTATGCCGCGTGGGGTACTGTGGTAGTACCCCCCTGCCAACCTGGGGCATTATTACACACTATTAACCCCTCCAACCCGGATGCTGCATAATGCAGCATAGCCTTTCCACTTAAACTGAATATATTCAGTTTAAGCGCTTTTGACTTGAAATTTGTATGGGTGTCCTTTCCCCCGACACGAGGGTATACAAAGTTTAAGATAAACGTTTGTTTGGTTTCTGTACGCGTCTTTTTATTTCCATGCAGACAAGGACCAGTGTTTGTCAATTTTTGTAATATTGATTATGAGAGGCTGTTTGGGAAACTGCAACTGATCTGTATTACTTTTCGGCGGCCCAACCAACGAGTGGCTCCTCGATCGACCGCCTCCCCGCATTTTCAAAATCTCCCTCATTCAAGAATTTTCGCGGGCAAAGATCAAGTCGCCGGAGCCGGAAATGGTGCAAGTGCTCGTGAAGGTAGTGCGCGACTACGAGGTCACAGGCCGCGACCTCTCGTTCAAGTCGGTGTGGCGCGAGCTCAAGGGCAAGGGGTGGACGCGGAAGCCGCCTCCACGGCGCAGTCTCGACGACCGCTACTTCTACGTTCGACCAGGCGAGAGCTCAAGCGGGACGGAAGGCGTTCATTTCTTCCGAGGCGAGGAGGCAGTACTGGAATACTACGCAAATGGTATGTTTCAAAGGGCTTTTATTGTTATTGATGTTATTCCAAACTATCGTTGCATACTGTGTGTAGCGCTTCGGAATGGCTCTCGTGCTCCAGCAGCAACTGCACCGCCACCCACTCCTCCCCGCGCCGCTCCTGGTGACGCGCAACTTGCCGCTGCAGCAGAAGTCGTGCGCTTGAACTACCTCGCTGACATCGAAAGGGCCGAGGCGCGAGCCCAATCCGCCACGAACGCTGCAAGTCGACTTCCTACTGCAGCTCAAGGTGCTGCAACTCAAGCGGCAACACAGTCGGATGTCCCTCAAGCTGAGACGCAAGCGTGTGAGCGCGAAGTCGTCACAACTCCAACAACTCCACCGCTCGCACGCACTCGTCCAGCGAAGGGCAAACGACCAGCACGGCGCTCCCTCGTTCGGAGTGTTAGCCCGATGACGAGTACACCGCCTCGACTTCGCTGCCCAACGCCACTGCTGGCAACGTCACCTCATGTCCAGGATTCAGATGCGTCCATGTTCGACGACGCGCCGTCGGACGACACCGTGATCCCCGACAACGAGCATGTCGAGTCCGTGTACACACCCAGTGATCATGAACATGGTAAGCTGTCTCTTATACTGTCCCTTATGCTGCATTGTATGCTGAATGTTATGATGAATACTATACTGAATATATGGTGAATGTTATGCTACATTCTGCTTTATACTGCTGCTTTACTGTAGACGATCACGGTGACGACGACGAAGCTGAAGCTGGTGCGCTCGGCAATGAGCTACTGGCCGACAGCACGGACGCGTTGAATGTTGTGACGGATGGAGATAGCGTGCCCCAGTTTGGTTCCATGGATTCTGGCGATGAAGCAGAGAAGGATGATGTCGAGACTGGCGAGTACGGGTCAGACGAAGATGTGGACGCTTCGTGCGCCCCTGATGACGTCGTCGACGATCCCGAGCAGACCGAGCAAGAGATCGCAGCGGAGGTTCTCTTCGCGGAAAACTTTCTGTCGCAGTTTGGTGGGGAGGACGAAGTTCTGGCAGGTAACCTGAAGAACGCTGTCTTGCGGGACATGAGTGCGACGGGTTGGGAGGACGTCGTTCAGCCTGACACCTACGACTATCTCATGACGCCTTATGAGCCTGTCAATGATACCGGAAGCTATCCCGGTCTTCGCCAAGGTTACTCGGGGCCTACTGCTGAGGTGCTTCGAAGGGGCGACTCCCCCATCGCTCTATTCTTCTACTTCATGCCCGTCGTGCTGTGGCAGCACATTGCTGCCTGTTCAAACGAGTGTCATCGTGAGATGCTCCCTCTTCGAGTGGACGAAGCCTATCGCCGCTATCGAGCCAAGCGACGACTCAACGACAAGTTGCCGAAGAAATCACGGCGCGACATCCAACACGAAATGGAAGGTATGAAGCCCATCTTGCCACATGAGCTGGGTCTGTTCATTGGCCTGCTAATTGCCAGAACTATTGCGCCGAACCGCGAGAAGCTGGTCAACCACTGGAAGACCACGGATGAGGGTGCTATCTCGCGTGGGTGCTTCGGGTCGGTGCTGCCACGGGATCGATTCATGGAGATCTCTCGTAATCTACACTTCAACCCCAACAGCGACCCCAGAGCTCAAACCGACCGCGCCTGGAAGATACGCAAGGTCGTCGAAGTTCTGCAGCGAACCTTTGCGCGTGGATACGTCGCTCCATCGCACTTGGCGTTTGATGAAGCAGTGCTGCCAAGCCGATCTTCGTTCAACAAGATGCGCGTCTACCTGAAGGACAAGCCCCACTTGTGGGGCACCAAGCTCTTCATGCTCTGCAGTGCAGTCACAGCGTACTGCATTCGGTACGGATTTTTTTGGTTATGTCATTTTATTACATTGCATTATGCAGTTTAATCTTACAAATATCTATTGTTTAAACTGAATATCGACAGGTTTGAGATCTACTGCGGAAAAAAGCAGCACGCGAGTGATGCCCACAAGACCGACATGAAGTCTGGACCAGCGGCGGTCGTGCGAAATCTGCTGGAAGTGTTTGGACCAGACTCAAAAAAGCAGGGTATGAGGCTGGTCGTGGTTAACCGCTTCTATACATCGGTGGCCTTAGCGATCCAGCTCCTGCTCATGGGGTTCTACTGTGTCGGCACGATAATGACAAACCGACTCGGCTACTGCAAGGAGGTGATCGAAAAGAAGAAGACGCGCCCGGAGGACATTGCGCGGGGCTCATTCAAAATTGCAAAGTCCAAGCTGGTTCCAAACATGGCTGCCATCAGCTGGTGGGACTCGCGTCCTGTGCATTTCCTGTGCACCGGTGGCAGTCATGAGCTCGATCGTGTTGCACGGCAGGACGGCGCGACGCAGGTGGAGGTCCCTTGCCGCCGCGTTATCAAAGTCTACCACGCCTTCATGGGGGGCGTGGATGTCCACGACCAGCTGCGCCTGCAGCGCTACTCACTGCAGCGAGCCCTCCGCTTCAAGAAGTACTACAAGTCGCTCGTCCTCGGCCTTATCGATTTGGCCATCGCGAATGGCTACATAGTTCACAAGGCATATCACAAGAACAAGTCGTCCCGCCCGCTCACGCATGTGAAGTACATGAAGAAGCTGCACTTGCAGCTGTGCAATCTCGACGCCACGGACATGTACGAGAACAACACGTTCGGCACGCAGCGCCGCCCGGAGACCCCCGCGTACGAACCCATTTTTTCTGGCGGAGGCCAGACGACCCCTCACACTGCTCGCCAAGTCGATGAGTGGCGCAACGCAGATACCCAAGCGAAGAGGCGACAGCGTGCTTGTAAGGTGTGTTCGGTGCTGCGTACGGGGACACAGTGAGCCTCGACGACTACGTACTTCTGCGGCGACTGCAATGACACCGGCCTGATCTTCCTCTACATGCGAGCCCGTCGCAAAGTGCGTGAAGTGGCGATGACTTGCTGGGATATTTGACACAAGGAGTGGTCAAACGGAAAGCTGATTCCGGTTGACAACGCGAGAAATATTCGAGTGAGACGCAAGCCAAGATCAACTCCACCGGGCACTCCGTCGTCTCCTACCACACCAAGCACTCCTGCTTCAACCAAGCGACGCAGAACTAGTCCATAGGCCGTAAGCTGAATATTAGGCTGTACCTAAAGCTGCATATATGCATCATTGATATGATTACTTGTTTTGCATTCGTAAAGCGCAGGATTGCGTGTTGCTATTGCACATCTTGACATGCATCATTCGTGTCTTTCTTTTATCGCCAGTGTGCTGCTAGACGTGTGTTCAAGCATATGGTCTCACTGCCTATTGCTTTCATTTGGGTTTTGTATTGAGCAAAAAAACTAGCAGATACGTGTACACTGATTGCGTTAAATGTAGAGGTGACACACCATCTTTCAATAGGCAAGTTTGTATGGGAAGTTTGAATTTCTGAATTTTTGAAAAGGAGAATGCTGGGGTCTGTCGGTTCTGTTCGGAGAGTCAGATCTGTTGCCCTGTCCATTTCGGCGCTAAAGTGCATAATGCAACATGGGGTAGCTACTCAAAGCCACTGTATGCAGTTTATATGCGAGTTAAGGACATCTTTGTAACTGGCCTGCTGCTAGCCACAGTCAGCCCTATCCCATCATATACAAAGGCCAAGTCTAATTAAGCTGAATACTGCACATGAAAATACTTTTGAGGCTCCGGTTTGGGGGGGATTAAAGGGAGTGGGGCACCAAAAAGAACTAGCGTTAAAAAGTCTATTTACAGAATAAATTTGACAGTAATCACTGACATTGGTAAGTCGACATACACCACCTTAAGATTATGATGTGAAATATTTGGAAATTATGAGGAAAAAACTCATAATCAAACTCATTTTTTCAGATAAAAGGTTGGGGTGGAGCTCTCTTTGAGGGTGGGGCACTATCGCAAGTCCCCAACCAAAGACGTCAAGTTTGGCATAACTACACTTTTTACAGTATTTCGAAAAACGTTTAAGCCGTTTTTTATATTACATTTCTTTGTTTTAACCGAACCTATCAACGTAGAGCGTTCATAATCTTTTTGGGGGTAGAGAAGGCATTTCATTGAGCGTTTTTTAAGAAGTTTTGGTACTCATAAGAAGCTTGATATGTATAATACTTAACTAATCTTAAACAAACACATTTTAACGGACTTAGAAAATCAGACCATATTTTTGGTCTAAATCAAAAACCAACGTGCTAAGAGTGACCGCACCGGCAATGCTAAATCCCAACGCTAAGTCTCGGTTTCCTAACCATAATACTTTGTGCAGTGGTATCTTCGCCGAGGTTTACGCGCCGCGCGTGGTTCGCCCTACTGCTCTGTCGCAACACGCTGAAACTGTACGTACGCTTACGGTGGTGTGTGCGTGTGTGTGTTAGGGGGGCTTGCTAAGGTGGACTTACCGATGCGTGCACTGTTTTGCCTCTAACGCGCTGCAGTCACCCGCCGTTGCTGTTGCTGCCGCCGCTGCGGCACCACAACAAGCGGAAATTGCACGTATGCTTACGGTGATGGGGTTTCGCTTGCTAATGTGGACTCCGATGTGTGCTCTACTTTATCGATACTACATGGATCGACGGGTACCAGAAGAACTCGCGACGTCAACTCCGCTTCTCTCTCTTCTCCACACCTCCATCAGCCTTGATCGTGCATCACAAGGACCTCACGTGTGAGGTGGTTAGTGGTGAGTTTGATCCGTGCTGCTTCCAAAACTCATGGAGAACGTGCTGATTAAGAACCACCTGGGAAAGCTGTACCAGCAACTCCTGGAGTTGATCTAGCCTAGTTGACGGTGGGGTGGTGACACGGAGCGTAGCAGACACCCGTCCACAGCACTATGATAAACTTTAAATTCATTTTGCTGTGGCTTATCTAGCCATCCATCGATGGTTGTAGCTCAATCGGGACTACATACGTGATTTTGGATGCTGGAGCGCTTTGGCTCTCGTCTTGAACTCGGACGAAGCGACCGATCGTGTTGAAGTGTTGCTCGAGCGGATAATCCTGGTCTTCGTACTTGCTCCTGAAACGCTGTTTCTGATTGAGAGCAACGATATAGATCACGTTACCATCGGACATCCTCCACTGGAGCAAATGGTACGAATTTACGCTTCGTTCCAGATGTCAAGGAGCATCTCCACAATGGCCAGAATCGCATCAACCTCAACATTCCACAAAACGACGGGTCGCGAGCAAGTGTCTGCCGAAGGTCGCCTCCAAGGTTCTCCGGGCCCTTGGCCTTCCTGGGGGGAATCCTCCCTGGGGAGCCCAGGAAGGAGCGTGGCGGCTGCAGCGACGGCTTGCGCGTGACCATGGCCGACGAAGGGAGTCGGTACTGGAGCAGCTCGCGCGCGACGACGGCGATTGCGCTCCAAGAGGGCGGCGATTCTATGGATTGCTGCCACGGTGGTGGGAGGCCCAGCCTTCGACCACTCTTTCAAGCTCGCGGCAGGCGACCGCGGTTCAAGCCTCCACGGAGGCATTTGGGCGGTGCCGTCATGCGATGTTGGAGCCTAGGCTCACGCATCCTACAGCACGCGCCGGACGAACGCGATTACGCTCAAGTCAAGTCCCAGTGGGACAGCGGCTACTACGGCCGCATTCAGGTAGGCGCAGGGCCCGTGCCCTGTGCCTGCCGAACCTCGTGGGTGGCGAGATCGATCACCTGTCCTCTCTGAGGTCGCGCTTTGGATTTTCATCGGACTCTCCGCAATCGGAGGGCCACCCTGCACGTGACGTTTCTAGCACGAGCGGGGCCAGGTTGCTTTGTCGTTAGTTGTTGGTAGACAGGAGTAGTAAGCTACTAGTAACTAAGTGATAATACAGTCTTCAAGAAAAAAAACCTCAATAGCAAATCTAGCCAACGCTGTCCGCGACCGCACTTTTCCTCGGCTGTCTAAAACAATATCATGCCGCCGGTTGTATACTTTTTATTAGCGAATTTCAGTGTCAGAGCGCCTATTTATTGGCGACAAAATATACACAACATGAAAACGTGTTCTAACCAGCCCATTGTTGGACGAGCGGGGGCTTACCTGTCTCCATTTTACCTACTGAAATGCACCATAGGTTACTTCTGAACTCCACGCATGCTTCAAAACTCGTAAAGAGTAATTGCACATCAGTCAGCACTCTTGTAATAATTCAAGACACCCATAAAACTATAAGAACCTATTTTATGGTATACTGCGTAATAAGCATGTAGTCACCTGCAAATACGGCCAAACCCTGCCTTCACGATTGAATGTGCGACGACTGCTTCTGCTGTGGGCATTGCACACAGAAGAATAGCAGTCTCGCACCAACCGCCTTGTCCACTGATACGGTGCAGCTAAGTCTATTTCTCCGGGTACCAATTGCGCGACAACTTGCGGTAGCTGCAAATGCAGGTACATGCAACTACAAGGCGTTAAAACTCTGATCGTCCGCGTATCTAGAATTTCTTGACTGTTGCGCACCGTTGCGTTCATAGTTTTGCACCAGTAGCAGTACTGACAGGCATCTTCAGACCCAGTTCTAAAAACTACCAGAAGCATTAGCTCCACACTTTCCCGTATTGTGTATAAAGTTATGTTCTTACCAATAAAGAATAGGGGGCAATGTTGTTTGTATAGTAAGATGGAGAGTGTTGCCTACTACAGCGCTTTTAACAGCGCTGGGCAAAATGATCTGCAGTATCTACAAAAAAATATTGTGTAAGTAATTTGTTAGGGCTCCTAAATAAATATTATTAACGATTGGCACCTTGTCTGTGAGATGAAGCTCTAGTGGCGTCGCGAGCGAGCGCGGGAAGAGCGACAGCGGCGACTGGAGCAACAGTAACATAAAGTCCGGACTTTATTTTATAGTACAGGTCTAGAAGCTTGAAATTATATGATTGTTTATCCGCTCTAAAACGTTAATCTTGGAGTTTGTATTTTCAAACCGTAATGTACCGGTATTTCTTGCGATAGGCTTGTATTCGGGAGAGTACGTTAGTTGTGCTTCTTGCGTGTCTGGCTCTAGCAGATGTTCTTCTTGAACTGGTCGTCGGCTCCAAATGTGGATATCATGCTTGTCAAACACACGCGGTGAACACTCTGCGAGCAGCCGCTGTTTTCGCAGTGAAGCCTATCAATTGCAGATCTTACGGTCCATTTTTTCTTAATGCACTAAAAAAGTCCTGTACAGTGCTAAAACCATAATCGTTTAGGCACAAGATAAGGTTCCACTGCTTACAACCTGGTGTTAAAAGCTTTTTGTTATATTTCAGAGATTATAACTAAAGGACTCTACTTCTGATTATAAAGCTAAACCTAGTTTGAGCATTACCGTTTTGCGCTATACTACAATTAAAATTCCTTCAACGCGTTGTATTACGTATACGCATGCCATAAAACTGCATACGTCATTCGTACATGTTTATGTAGAATACTAGTGTACAAGAATATTATTTTTAAGAAGAAACCATTATTGTGGTAGTCCTGTTGACGTATTCATTTTCCTAAACGGATTTGTTTAGTGCCTAATTTATGGGGAAATTGCTATTTGGTACCGGATTTTGAAAAGACTTGCTATTCAGTACCAGGCCCACAAACCCGGTCAGACCCAGCGTTTTCTGTTGCTAATCAGTACTGACACCGAAGAGGCGTGTGGGCGTGCGTCGAAGTTAGCGATGGTGGCCGGCCACACACATCGCGCTCGCTCATTCCGACGAGTTGATCACTTGTGCGGTTCTTTCAGGGTCGTCATTTTAGCAGCGGAACTCTGAACCTGTGGACTATACATCGAGTACCCGGCGTGCACGCCTGTGCTGCACTGCAAGCAAGGCATCTCTCTATCAAGATGACGTTGGCTCCGTACTATTAGTATACGTTTCTCCAAGCAGTGAATTAATGCTGAACGTGCTCGCGTAGCCGTATTACACCTGTCTCCAAGCAGTCTCGTCCCTATTGGCATCGAGTCCTCTTTGTGGGGCAACATCACTTTGCCGCCAAACAAAGCGCTCAGAATCACAATAGCGACAAAATCCAGCACGGCTTCGGAGCGGTGGAGCCGTGGTATGATTATAGCGGGAAACTTTCCGCTCGCGTGTTCCAAGTGCACCAAGCGACGCCTCGATATGCCCATGCGATCGTCGCCAAACTCAAAAAGGAAGATACCGGTAGCACAGTCAAATTAAGCTTAGCTATTACACGGCAGAAGGTTATGTGTAGTGAGCACTTAGGGTACGATGGACTAGGAACCGAGCAATTCGTATTGTGGTCGCCGTGCAGTCCAATAGCTAATAAACGTCCTCGGATGACGCGTCTTCGACCTACTTCGTATCGTTTGTTTGGCATCGACCCTTGTACCCAAGTTGTGGGTACATTACCGATTAGCAAATATTTTGAAACCCGTTACTGATTAGCAAATTTCCAGCCAAAATTGGTACCGAATTGCAATTTTCCCTTAATTTATTTAATTTAAGCATTTCTACAGTGGAAATATATTTAATATAAGTAACAGGAAACATTTTTGGAACAGGGTACAGGGTACACTTTGGATAAGCTTTTTTAAATTCTAAATTATTTCATAAAAACGTTTGGTTCGAAAATAACGGACCTGATTCGGAATTATTCTAAAATAACGGACCCGAAACACAACTTCCCCAATTTTTGATTTCATTGATGCGTGTATTTTGCAGGAATTGCTGTCCAAGCTGCTGCGCTACGTGCGCGTGTGCGACGCCGTGTACGCGTCGACGGTGGCCGGCTTCTGCGAGGAGGCCGGCGTGCCCCGAGAGCGCGTGCTGCGCGCGCACCCGGGCGGAGTGGTGTCGCCCAAGTGCGTCATCGTGGCCGACCACGAGCACCGGGAGCTGGTGCTGACGGTGCGCGGCACGGCGTCGCTGCTGGACTTCTGCACGGACCTGTGTCTGCAGAACGAGCCGTTCCTAGCCGGCCAGGGCCACCGCGGCATGGTGCACGCGGCCACGTGGCTGGTGCGCCACCTCCGCAACGATCTGCAGGAGCTCTCTCAGCAGTACCCGGACTACCGCGTCGTGGCGACGGGCCACAGTCTGGGCGCGGCCGTGGCGGCGCTCAGCGCCATGCAGCTGCGGGACGAGTTCCCGAGCATCCACTGCTACGCGTTCGGCACGCCCGCCTGCGTCACGCGGGAGTTGGCGACGGAGAGCTACGACCTCGTCACGACGGTCGTGAATGGCTACGACTGCGTGCCGCGCTTGCACCAGCACTCGCTGCTGGATCTGCAGGAGGAGATCCAGCGCTTCGACTGGCGGGCAGCGCTGCGGCAAATGGTGCAGGAGGAGATTCGCAAGCAGAAACTGGCGATCGAGAAGCAGCAACGCGCCAAGTTGGAGGAGCTACAGGCGGCACTGAGGAAACTGGATCGCCTCCAGATCAAGCAGAGGACGAGCGAAGCAACGGCGAAGCTGGATGAAGTCAAAAGGGTGCGGTGAACACGGCTATTTTGTGCTGTCTGGTAGATGGAGATGGGACTCACCTTATTTATTGCTTTGTTCTCAGCTTGCGTCGACGAATATCAAGGAGTTTGCGATCGATGTCGACACGCTTCTGGCTGACAAGCTAGACGCTGCTTTCTCGGTCTTTAAGACAGATAAACTTTCGTTGGAGCACGTCACGTTCATCAAGAATCTGCTCAAACTCGAGGACGTCAAGAAAGGTACCGAAGTATCACTTTTGGATTTTGAAAAGGGAACAAAAAATCTGATGTTGACAATGCGTCTTTGGTGCTGTAGGCGACTCGTTCTGGTGGAAGCGCATGGACGAAAGCGTGCTTGCTCTTGAGCGACTGTCTGCGGCTGTCAACAAGCCCGAAGAGTTGGAGCGCGTGCTCGTGGAACTGAAAGAATTGCTGCAGAAAACATCGGCGACAACAAGGATGCTGCTGAAGAACGAAGGCAGTTCCGGTGAGTTATTTGCCCGCGAGTTCGTAAAGTTGACAGTTCTGACGTCTCGATACGTACAGATCCTGACGCGGAGTCGACTCAGTTGGAGCTATTTCGTGCTAGAATCGATGGAATTATCGACAAGACACGCGCGCCTCTCAAGGCACGCATCAGTGAAAAAGTGTACGTAGTCTCGATACATTCGTCAGAGGTATTGTGGACTTACAAGATGAGCTATTTTGTGTGTGTAGATCGAAGGTGTCTACAGCTGTTTCTACTAACGTGAAGGACTATGTGGATACGTTAAAAGAAGAAACAGAAGCGATGGGCAACATCGTACAGGAAGAATTAGACGACGTGACATTTCAAGAAACTTGCCGTTCTTCGTTGGACTTAAGACTGCGTTACCGAAGACAATAAGCCGTCGGCCGAGAGGGCAATTCATGAGCAGAAAGATCACAGTGGCGAAGTGTTCGCGGATGCCGATCCTTCCGAACGGACTGAGGGCGAGTCGAGCGAGGAGGCAGCGCAGCAATGGGAAAAGCTGAGACTGGATCAAAGACGGTGGGAAGAGGACGCGACGGACGATTTCGGTCGAGTGGTGCTCTCGAATCGCATGCTGCTCGATCATCTCTGCACGGACTACGAGCGCGTTTGCCAGTCGCAGGCGAAGGCGTTGGATCGAGGCCCAATTGCACGTGTGGATGGATAACTAGACTGATTTTGAATACTGGAGGCTGAGCGCGCGAAGAATGAAACCTTTCTCAAGGAATGATGAGCTGCTTACTTCTGTTTTTTTTGCTGGAGAGCGGAGGGAGCTGTGTCACTCAAGACCTACTGACAGTTTGGTGGCAATATCGACAGACTTGGGAGGGCGAGAATGGCCAGACGAATTCCTGCTTGTCGACGACGTCATCACATGGACTCACTACATGAGCCAGCTCGACCAGTCTGTTATCTCCAGTCTCAAGTGCTAAAAGGCTTCTACAATTGGGGAGAAATTGCCATGTCTGACTTGTCAGTCGGAGCTCTGCTGTCCAAGAGATTCAAGAGGTTGAAGTTGGCGGGTATAGCCGTGCGACACAAGCTGGATGCTTTATTCGAGGTTAACGCTTTGAAATGATGGCACCTGAAATCATTTCAGTGCGCGCTCGAGACCTGAGACCTTGGTTGAGGAGACCAAGCGTTCTTACTCACGCGGCACTAATGCAACATCAAGTACGGGGTGGCTACGTTTCAGAACAGCTACTACTGGGAGCCTGTGTTCTAGAGCTCGGCCGGGGATCGAGTCTGCCACGAGCTCATTTCCGGATTTTCCTCGGACCGAGAAAGACGGCCAAACCCCCTAAAGCAACGATGCTGTCGAAGCTCCTGGTCGCCGCCGCCCTCGCCACCTCCGCCGCCATCGCGGTCGCCGCCGCTCTCTGGGTGGTCGGCCCCAGCACCTCCACTGAGGCTCGCGCGCACGCGCAGCCGCCGGCAGCCCCCAGCCGTTGTGCGTCGCAGCCACGAGCTTCCGCTCCCCGCTGCCGTCCAGCTCGCAGTGGACTACGCCGTCAGTTTGTGTCGAAGAAGAAGGTCGTGGTGTGCGTTGGCTATGGCCGCTCGATCGGTATCCTCGTGCGTCGACGCACCGCGCTACGCCCGCGCGTGGCTCGCACTGTGGCTGTGTTGCAACAACCCGAAATGGTGCGCTTGCGGTGTTGGGGTTCTAGCTTGTTGCTGCTCATGTGGGCTTACCAATGTGTGTTCTGCTGTGTCTATACTACGTTGTGCTTGCCAGCTTGAGACCGTGAATGAGCTACCTGCCTCCACCGCAGCCATGATTCCCGGTGGGGTAGAGGATGTCTTGGCTGACCGCTTGCGGCAAAGGCGCGAATACACCTGCTACGACTGGGACTCCGACAGCGAGTTCGGTGACTCCGACAGCGAATGCGGCGAGAACTTCGGCTCCGACTGCGACGGCAAAAGCAATGCGGTGTGCCCTGCAACTGTGTCGCAACACGCTTACAAGGTGCGTTTGATATGCTTGAGTTGTACTTATTGACATGGACTGGTTTTTATCTACGCTATGTGCTGTGTGCTCAGCAGAAGGATTCGGAGGCGTTGGCGGAGGAGCTATACGAGATGTTCGCAGCAACTGACTCAGAGGAGCAGCAGCGGGCTGCATTTGCTGCTCACGCTCGCCAACTGTCCGTCCACTTCCGCTTCGACTGCAGCGACTCCAGCCACAAGGGCTGCTTCGACCAAGACGCTGGCCCTGGGGCGCGCTCCCGTGCCTGGCGGAGCTTAGCAACCCGGAGACGTTGGGGGCATTTAAGGTCCAAGCCGAGCGCAGGAAGACCGCCGCGCTGATGGCGCCAGCTCCAGCATCGCCCAAGCCCAGCGACCTCGAGATCACGCTCGCCAAGATGACCAAGTACCTGGACCTCGAAACGGAGCCCGAGACCGAGTCCGACTCGGACTGGGAGTAAGCTCCAGTCTTGATTCCCCCATTGAGTTGTAGTTGTAGTATGCTTCCAGTATAACGTATACCAATCGATCACTTACTAGTATGAAGCAGCAATTGCATAGCATCTCATTGTAATGTCACGCAACATGAACGACAGGTTTTGAGCACTGCCGTTTGTGGTACGTATAGTAGTAAGTTGGGCTCGGTACTTGGAGTAGAATTACGGGTATTGAAACAGTTCGTTAGATGTCAAAGTGTGCAGACCTCCTGAATGATGAGTTTCATGCTGCACAACTAAACAGCAGCTCGATGATTCATTACTTTTTTGTTTTATGTGGTGGGTCCCGCACCAAACGCACGAACGCTACTCACTCACTCCTTACACGTTGAGGGACTTCTCGTAGTCCTCGATCGACTTGAAGAGCGCCGAGAAGTTGCCCTTGCCGAAGCCGCCGCAGCCGGCGGCCTGCTCGAGGCGGCCTGCGATGTCCTTCATGCAGCCCACGCGCTCGATGATCTCGAAGAAGACGGTGGCGCGGTCACCCAGCGGCTTGGTGAAGATCTGCAGCAGGATGCCCTGGTCGTCCTTGTCCACCAGCAGGCCCAGCTTCTCGATCTGCTCGTACTGTTCCTTGGTCAGGGAGTCGCCGATGCGCTCGGGCATCTGCTCGTAGTAGCGCTTGTTGGGGCTCGGCATGAACTCGAAGCCGCCCACCAGGCTGCGCTTGCGCATCTCCGCCAGCGTGTGGAAGATGTCGTTTGTCTTGAGCGCCACGTGCTGGAGCCCGGCACCGACGTTCTGCTCCAGGTACGTCTGGATCTGGCTCTTGCGCTTGGTGCCGAAGGTCGGCTCGTTCACGGGCAGCAGCACCATCTCGTTGTTGCTGGCCAGCACCATGCTGTTGAGACCCGACTCGAGCGTGCCCACGTCCTCGGCCGTGAACTCGGAGAACTCGTGGAAGCCCGTGAAGCCCGTGATGTACTTGACGGCCTCGCCCAGGCTGGGCACGTTGCCCACGCAGTGGTCCATGCGCTGGATGCCGATGCTCATGTCGGGGCGGTCCACCGCCTGGTAGCCAGGCACGAATGGGCCCTCGAAGTCGCCGCTCACCCAGCGGATGACGACGTCACCGTAGATCTTGACCTCGGAGATGACCGTGGCCTTGCTCGAGTCCTTGTCCGTGAGCGCCTGGGGCTCCAGCACGCCCTCGGCGCCGTTCTGCACCGAGACCTCGTACGCCTCCTTGGCGTCGGCCACCTGAATGCCGAGCGCGCGCACCGCGAGGCCGTGCTTGAGCACGAACTGCTGCGCGAAGGCCGCGTCGTAGCCCGGGATGGGGCTCACGGCGCCGGGCGCCTTCTCCGTCTCCAGCGCGTAGGGCGCCGTGAAGACGAGCTTGACCTCGCCGCTCTCGACCACGTAGCTGGCCGACACGTGGTTGCCCGTGGACTGGTCGGACTTGGCGATCTGGCGCATGCCCAGCCCCCACGTGAAGCGGCTGGACACGTTGGTGGCGTCCAGGCAGAAGAACTCGATGTGGTGGAACTTTTGCACGTCGAAGCGGTCGCTCATGGGGTTGTGGCGCTTGAAGTTCTTGTTGCCCACGAGCTTGAAGTCGCTGGAGGAGGCGGCGGGCGGCATCGTTGGCGCTTTGGCGGTGAAGGCTGGAGTGTCGAGCTCGAAGGAAGTTTGGAAATGGCATTCCGAGGATAGGACCACCGGCAAGCGCATATGGCTCCGTTAAAGAACTTTTTCACGTGCTTGCCGAACTTATTCGCGTACTCGAACTTCAACGTCTAAAAGTCGTGTTGGGACGCAGTGCATAGACGGGCGGTTGCGTGGACCACACCAAACGCGCTTTGCGACGATTTGGTCAATTTGGTCCAATTGCTTTTCAGCCATATCTCACTACTGCTTCTCGTAGAAGTTGAGGTGCGCCGTACCACTCTTCGGCGCACGCCGATTTCTACGACACCATTATCCCGGGAGGACAGCTAGAAGAGCTGTATGGACAGCCTCACACAGATTAATTCGTCGAAAAAAAGTTACTTGTACCTCAGGCAACATTTAAACAGCATTGTGCCACACGATACGTACACAAATATTCAACATACTTACACAAACGCAGCCAGCATACGACGTGTACCTGTCCGACAGGATGTCAGGTCAGACTAGAAATTGGAAGATTGACTTCATAGAAAATATTGTTTAACGCTGCAAATGAGGGGCTTCGTCCCTCATTTGCACCACAGCGTGGATTTTCGTGTATGCAAGCAATAAGCAGCCATTGTTGTACTGTTAGAATTGATAGATGCTGGTATGTATGCGGCATAGCTTCGCAGTGATCGCTAAAAATCGTACCACTCACTCAAGGTAAGCAGTAGCCGAAAACATTATACAAGTACCTACAATGGAAAATCATCAGCGTGCCCTGCCCTATGGAAACAAACGGTTGGTAAAACTCTACTATCCAAAGACTCCGGCTAATCTACAACAGAACAAACTTTATACTAAGAGGGCTGTGTAGTAGCATGTGCAGCTGTATTTCGTTCGCTGCATGAAAGTGCATGTATTACGGAGATACCGTTGAACTGCGAGGCTTCATAGTTGCTGGTATGGATACGACCCTTCGTATAGATTTCTAATGTAGAGCTCGCCAATGCATCCCCACCAGCCAATATAAACAACGTCAACGTAGTAAAAGTGTATATCCATTGCTTTACCTGCGCCTGCTTCGCGTCCGCTGCATAGATTAGATAAAGCGCCACTAAGGTCGGCCAGTATGCAAGACTTACAATCGTGTTCGAGGCACAAAACTGACCTTGCCACTATGACTCAGGAAAATCACTAGCAACTACCCATGGCCAGACCTCTACTAATACGGGAAAGGTCAATTTTCCCACTTTTTCAGCAAATATGACCTTTTTTGAAGGTCAAAATATGGGAAATATGGGAATCACTCCTTAGTAAGCTATTGTTTGGAGTATATGAGGCTAAACCGAAACCATACTGTTACTGCACGCTATATAGATCAAATAGATAACACTAAAGTGGTTTGCGAAGCATTCTCGCAGGTTTTCAAAGCTATATCTCAGGTCCCATTTGTGATAAATCGGACCCAGCAATTGCAGCATTTGTCAAAATTACAGAAACTGTGGCAACCCCGAAAAACATCGCTAATGAAGATAGCACCGTGGAAGCGCTGCGAAGGCTTGGTAACGCTTTAGCTCTATAACACTTGAAGCGACAATGACGGAGGCTGGCGACAGGTTTCAGCTTGCTGCTTTGCACAGGCTATTGCAATTTGGGTTAATTGTGTTCGTGGCTTCATCTACAGGGTTGTTCATGTTAAACATACCCTATCTCCAAACACCGGCAGAATCTTGGTGTGCGCAAACTCATAGACTCATCGTCAGGTTCAGGATTTTGACCGAGAAGTGAGAGGTTCCAGGCTAAAGCGCTGAAACATATATTGGGGTATATTCTGCGTTTGTTGGTGGTGTGGGCGACTTGTGTTGTTTAATAAAAGAAGTCTTTGCGTTCGAGAGAGCAGCAAGAAATGCCAATTAGCGATCTCATGCAGTGGTAGATTTACATTCTAGCATATTCTATTAACCCCTTTACTCCAGTGTATGCGAACCACTTTTTTTCATCCAAAATGCGTTTGCTTTGCAGCCTTCTACGGACTCGTTATTGGGTTCGTGGACAAACTAGTCAATAAATGCGTTACGTGGGTTGCTCGCTCGTTCCGGACAAGATAGAATAAATCCTGAAACGGATAAATAGAAGAGAACTGGTGCATGCACTTATGCATCAAGGTATAAAATGCAGCTACTTCGATGTACCAACAGCTACATATAAAGCAAAATCGACCAGACTATCAACACGGGTGGATAGCTCCAATAAAGCACCTCAATCTACATCCTGCTATGAGAACTCTCAAAATTTCTCCCTCATTCAGTGATCGCCAGGATACGGGAAAAACGGAAAATTTCTGAAATTCCCGTATTGGTAGAGGTCTGCCCATGGCAAAGCAAACGATGTCTGTCTTCAAGCGGTCCTCCCAGCCTAACGCAACGCACCCTTGTTGTGATTGGCTGAAAGCCCGTGCAGGCCCTCTCCTATTGACTATTTTTTCGTGATCTGTGAAGTGATCTGGAGATCGACGTTCAATTCTCCGTCCTCTAACCGAGAATCCTGTCTGTCGGTCATCGCGTCACGCTTTCCGCCCCTACAGCCTAGATCTGTCAATTAGACTACGCTACCGCGGCCTTATTGCATACATTATTCACTCATCAAGTCGACTGGAACTGGCTTTTAAACTATCTACGAAATTACAATAATAGCCACAATCACGCTAAAATTCGGACGTACACGGAGCCGGTCGGACTTTAGCGGGCGTGATTATCACATCCCCCATTTGAAAGTTGGCGCGCGGCAGACGGACGGACCGAGGCAGCGAGCGGAGCGCCTGGCGCAGAGAAGCGAGTGGCGAACTGCAGCGGCAGCGGACACACACAACAGTGAGTACTGCATGTCCATACATAAATAAACTACTTTACGGTTTCGGGAGTTCCGCCTGTTGGGATAACTGGTACCTTCAGGGCAGTCGAGGGTTTACAGTACGGAATTAGGGGTAGACTGGTGCTTATTAGGCGTTCATCTTCTAATACACCAAGAATGTGTGCGAACGACGCATTTAGACCACCTAACGCTGCACATAGATTAACTGATAAACAGCACGCGGCGTGGTGTAGCTGGCAATCGTGCTGTATTCATTTGCAGGAATCAAGCATTATAATACACCAATTTGAGTAGTCGCGTGCTCAACTTAAGTTACTACTACGTAGTAGTTGGTCGAATTAAGTAAACCCAGGTGCATCACCAGCGCGCGCATCGAGGCGTCATACTTACGACTTTTTATGTTTTTTATTAAGCTGATTAATGGCAGGATCTTGCTGCAGTCCGACACTCGCTTCCATAGGAACGATAGTCGCATCAGCCAAGTGACAACAATGCACTCCAACTCAAATCAAAATCGATCATATCCCAGGTGCCCTAACTCTCGCGCTTCAACAAAACAATTTTAGAAAATGCTGCTCGAATTGCGCGCAGCGCACAACAGCATGGTCGTGCGCAATTTCGAATTACTGTTACTAAGTACTGTACGCCATGCACCAAGAGCAATAACGCGTTATAAATCCAGATAAAAGATGCAGAGTAGGCAAGGCGTAGAATAGTAGTGACACTGGCAACGCATGCAGCTTTCAAAATAAATGCGCGCTGCTACCCTAGATACGTGTACCGTAAACTACTGCAGCATGCACATAATGCAGCTTAGTGTAGACATTGTCGTTAGAGCAATATATATATGAAGCTATTGGCCGGACCCCGGGGTCCCGCATCATGTACCGATGGCGACCGGAATTATTTATTTTTATCGGCGGGGCAGTGATAATATATATGTTGTGACAATTTTGTGATAATTTTTCGAGTTTAGCTAGAGCTCATTTCACCTTCAAGCATCTAGCATCCAGTATGAAGTCTAGGCGAACTGGAGGTGCAGAGGTTCCTCGGCGCAAACGTGATACTTAAGTATTGAAATCGTCGTGACCACAAAGCTGCTGCATTCGTTCGTTCTGTTAAGCGTCTTGGTGAAGATACGACCAAGAAGATTCAAGCTGACTGCTAGAAGCTAGCGCCTACTACAGCAGCAGCGGCGTCGGGCACGCAAAGTTGCGAACTCTGCAGCTCTGTGCAACTCGATAGTCGATACTACCAGAGATACATAGCATCGATACAAACATGCAGCACTTGAATTTACCGAATATACCGGTTGCTTATGACAGCTGGCGGGGCAAGCGGGGACCCCGGGGTCCCGCCAAACGCTTCATATGTGTATACACGATACACAACAACCTAACCATCGAAGACGCACAGTCGCTACCGATCCGTATTGAGTTGAGCTAAATTTGCTATGTCTATTTGAACTGTTATCGCGCAAACCAGCATTACTACATGTAGCGCGGTGCATTCATGCTGGCAAAGTTGCAGTCTTTCAGTGCTAACGTAGTAACAACACTAGAGTACGGTATCGACGACAGCTACCAGTTTGCAACGCAGTATAAACCACACCCAATCATAGTTTCAATACTTTAGTTATTACTTCAAAGTAAGTAAACACGCAGGTCACTACACTGTAGTAAGGCATGTCCGTGACAATGTAGCTCGCCTCGCAGAAACGGGTGATCAATAATACAACGGCAACGATATTCAGCTCACTCGATGTTTAGGTACTCAACTTTGCATCGTGAGCGACATTTGGTAATTAGCTTAATAGGAAAATGTATTCCTACTCATTTGCTACTAAAGCACGAAGGTATAGCAACGAATATGTGTCAACTGTATCCGCACATTATTGTTATGGAAAGCAAAATGATGCATATACTTTTAAGCTATGCTATTCCAGCAACCCGTGGTCAAAGCGCCCGCGTAGCGGGTGCCCAGAGCGCTAGTAGAGCGCTTAAGCTACAGGATCAAAACGTCTTTCAGGACGAAATAAACTTCGTCCCAATATTTCGTACCGAATTTCCAAAAGGGCGCTTAAGCTAATCACAACGCAACGAATCAAATCACTTCAGAACTCCCTCCTTGCCAGCCATACCAGAGACAATGGAGAGCGACAGCTCCGGCTAGATACTCACCTTGGGCTCCACTGCGTCGCTTCAGCTTGGTCAAGACGACCCTCCCCTGTCACCGGTGCAAGGCCCTGAGTCGCAGCAACAGGCTGCTGCGCCCGACGATGCTGAGGATAGCTGCGAGGAAAAGAGCTTTGAGGAAGTTGACGAGCCGGAGCAGCGCTCCCGCTTCAACGTCACCAGCGACAAGGCTCTGTTAGCTGAAGTCCTCGCCACGCCTCCATTTGCTGCTGACCGTAAAACAGTAAAAGGTGTGTGAAAGGGAGTGGCTAACTGACTAAACGCTACTCTGTCAGAAGCTTTTAGCTTTCGAGCGTGCAGGGACCGCACCAGTCTTCTCCTACGGAAGTATGCAGTGCGGAAGGTGCGAAACGAAGCCGCTAGCGGCACCAGCGAGGTGCACACAGAGAACGATGACATCCTTGAGCAACTTCAGCAGCTCAAGAACGCAACCGTGGCTGAACAGCAGAAAGAGAAGGCAAAATCCACCTCTAAAACGCAGGAGCTGGAGACTGCAGGTCAACTCCTCATGCAGGCAGCAGAAAGAAGGTAGTCTCGTAATGTTGTGTTGACTGCAATATATTTCTTCTAATTATGAATGCTTTTATGTAATTGTATGAACAGGGTTTCCGAGAGGCTGGCCGCTGGTACCAAAGATTCAGGCCATCCTAAGCGCCGTCGTCTCTCCACGTTGCTTGACCAGGAGCTTGAAGAAGCTATCGAGCGTAGGAAACTGGAAGCGGGAAAGGTCGAACTTCACCGAGAAGAGCTGCAAACTTCGTCGAGAAGAACTCGAGCAGCAAAAATGTCAGCAAGAGCTGCTACGCGAGCAGATCCAGCAGCAAGCTGCTCAGACCGAGTCCATTTTAAAACTATTAGCTTCAGCTATTAGTAACAAGTGAATCTAAAATGCATGTAAACACCAGTTGAGTGCGCGATTTTGGGTCATTTCGGAATTTGCCTACGACAGCACAAGGATGGTTGAGTAGAAGCTATTCGGGTCATGGCGTATTACAGAATAAGGAACAATACCAGGAGCATATTCCTAACTGTAAGATAAACCGTCCTTGCAAAGCTATAGGTGGAAGTGTAGCGGCACAAGGAGCAATAAAAGCCAGTGATCATTTTAGTGCACGATCCATAATTAATCTTGGTTTCAGTATGGGCATGTACTTGTTGATAGCACAGGTGCCTGTTAAGACATGTATGTCTTTCTCGCCGCTTTGTGATTGTGATAAAGCACACTGACACCCTCCAGAGTCATTGTTGAATACTTACCGCAAAACTTTTAGAGGCCCTTGTTGGAAGCTGTTCCATACTAAAACTGTCGCGCACAAATTTGATTATCGGGTTTTAGACCAATCAAAACATCACAATGTCGAATAGATCGATTGCATTGGTTAATAATGCATATCGTGCAATAAATTGAAACCGTGCACTCAATTGGTGTTTTAAGTTATATTGTGATGTTAAACGGAGAAGTAGCTTTCTAGCGACGGAGGCTCCACGCCAAACTATTTGCTGTTATTGTTCCCTCCACGAAGAATAGTGATACAATTGGTCAGAACCACTGCAGTTTTGTACAGCTTTGCTACAGGAACTTCTCCCAAGCACATTTTTCTCTTGTAGTCGACACCAGCTCAGTAGTTGACCACCTGGCCGTACGGCCATTCCACGGACGTCCTGACCTTCGGCATGGAGGCGTTTATTGCAGCTTGAGTGTGCGTTAAACTTGATCCTTCAAAAGGAGATACAAACACACGTACGCTTGGTCCCCGTAGACAAAGTATCCTTGAAATCTCCCGTCGCGGCGGACTCGTTCCTCCAGCCCGGACTCTCGCAGCAGTAGGATGTCGTGTCTTCGGCCTTCAGCCGGCCCGTGTAGGTGGAAGATCATGCCGTCTGGAGTAACGACGGTCTGGAACTTGAGCACATGCTTGCGTTTGTGACCACTGTACACACTTTGCTGCTCCCGAGCCCCTCCTGGCCTGCAAACGCCCCTAACGGTTCCGTCCACGAACCCCCAAATACGGTCCAACTCAGCGCCTTGGTCGTAGATAGCTTGGCTAAACTCATGCAATCTAGAGCTCGCATAATCTAAATTCCCCTTGAGCAACCTGCTGCATCTCAATCGATCACAAAGTAGAAAAAACTACTTATAGCGCTGGGCCACTGGCCGTAAATACCTGACATCTCCATCCATCGCGTTGGGTAGCAAAGTCTGTGTAGGGTGATGCAGAGTCCTTCGAGACCGCTACAACACGTACGAGAGCTCGCGCCCGTGCGAATGACGTCCGGCAGCTGAAATAAAGCTTGTAAACGGCGTAGATGGCGTTGGGTGAAGCGGTAGAACAGCAGGCAGGTGTCGTCCGTGACATTGTTGATGTCGAATCGGACACGGCGTATAGAGTATCGTGGCGTAGCCTCCGATAGCAATAGCAGCGCGCTGTGGCGCAGCCTGGATGCTGCCTCCCAGTCTCCATGTAGTCTCTTCACGCGTGATGTGTCCAGCATCTCCTTCGCCGCCTGGCGGTAAGCGAGCACATCATCGTCGCTGTCGTTGTCGCTGTTGGAGTCCATCGTTATGGCTAGACTATAGATTTCACACTGGCTCCGCCTCTGGTTCCGTTTCGTCACAACAAGCTCTTACGAAAGTTGTCGTCAGACGCAATCGAGAGGACGAAAAAATATCAGATTTTCTCAGATTTTTATCAGATTTTCGTATCGTTCTGAACTGCTTAAGCGCTCTAATGTGCTGGGGGGGGCACACACCTTCAAAAACCGAGGACTATGTATCCGGCCGTCTTGATGGCCAAACCATTGTCGCCATCGCAAACAATAGCCACCGCTTTTAGTTTTTGTCTTCTCGTTTCTGTTTCTAGCCGAAGAGAACTCGTTGTCGTTTCCAATGTGCACCAAGCTGCTGAGCGAGCAGTGCTGACTGGCATGTTAGGCAAAGCGACGACAACTGCAGTACGACTGCGCTACTATCGTTATATGCATGCAACAACACCCCGTTAACCAATTGCGATGGCAAAGGCGCTTGGACCTGGCAGCACCAACCAGGCAGACTCTGCCAACAACAGCAAATGTAGCATTCAAGAGTCCACTTATTAGTGGACAGTGGATGTTACTCTTGAATGCTACATTTGCTGTTATTAGCCGTTAGCGCCGCCTCCTTCATATCCACACGAGTCCGGTGCGCTCGTACACGATAAATAGCACCGTCGAGAGCAGCACGGCGATGCCGGCGCCGATCCACATCTTGTCCTGCCTGGCCTGCCACTCGAGCGCCTTCAGCCGCTTGCGCACCTCTGCGATCTCGGCGTTGACGCTGCCGTACTCCTTGTGGGAGCTGCGCAGACTGAGCTTCCCGTCGTCGAGAACCTTGGTCACGGAGCTCACGCGCTCGATCTCCTGCGACATCACCTGCCGCGTGCGCTTGAGCGCCGCCGTGACGTCCACCGCCGAGCCCGAGGCGGCGCTGGAGGAGGACGACGACGTGGTCTTGCCCTCCGCGGGGGGGTTGGGCAGGAGGCTCTGGCGCTGCTGCTCGAGGCGCTCGACCTTCGCGCGCTGGCGGTAGGCGACCAGCGCCTTCCTGCAGCTGGCGACGTGGCTCTGCAGCTGCTTCTTGTGCTTCTCCAGCGTCTGCGCGGCCTCCTGCGCCTCCTTGGGGTCCTGCAGCTCCTGGACCCAGTCCTGGGCAGACGACAGCGCGCGCTGGTACGCGGCGATGCCGTCGCTCACCTTCTCCTCCAGCGCCTGCTCCTCGTCGGCGGAGAAGCTCAGCGAAGAGGGAGAGGAGGAGGAGCCATGCGGCGAGAGGTTGCTCGTCACGTAGCGGCTCACTCCGCTAAGCGCACGCGCTGCTTCCTGCAGCGCGTCGTTGCTCGTCACGTAGCGGCTCACTGCGCTCATTCTCTTGCGCCCAGGTCTCAGATGCCAGATCTTGCGAGGGCTCTGTGATACGTCTGTGATGCCGTACTCTCTCAAGAGAATCGAGCACGCTGTCGTGCTCGGTGTAAAAGTTAAGGAGAATATTCGGGATTTGCAGTCGAATTGTCATTGTTTGATTTGTAGCCAATCACGGTGCAGACAAGTTGTCGTTCGAAATCGAATCCTTAATTTCGGTTGCGCACCGGTATTTTCGGTCCATACTCACTTCAAGTGGACTCATCCCGCGAAGAGGAAGAAGCACCCACGGGCTCCGATCCGCTCTCGGCTCTCGGTGGTGGCCGCCCGACGGACGCGCGCCATGTTCCTCCAGCGCTACGTGCACGTGGTGCTGGACGCCGTGCTGGGCAGCTACGTGAAGAACATCGACCCGGCGGCGCTGCAGATCAGCGTCTGGAACGGCAAGATCGAGGTGGAGGCCGTGGAGCTGCAGCCCGACGCCTTCCCGCTGCCGGGCCACGTGCGCCTGGCCAAGGGCACGCTGCGCCAGCTGCGCATCGACCTGCCGTGGACCAACCTGGCCAGCCAGCCCATCCGCGTGGACATCCAGGACGTGAGTCTGCTGCTCGAGGTCTGCGCGGACGACCGCGCGTCGTCGGACGAGCTGTCGCCCGACGAGCTGCGGCGCGCCGCGCGCCAGAAGCTGCAGACGCTGCAGCGCAAGCGCGCGGCCGTGGACGCCGTGGAGAAGGCCACGGAGTTCAGCGAGAAGACGCAGCAGTCGCACCAGAGCGGCTGGACGCAGAGCTTCCTGTTCAAGCTGCTGGTCAAGGTGCTGGACAACGTGCAGGTGCACGTGCAGCACCTGCACCTGCGCATGGAGGACGCCGTGTCCGACCCGAGACGCCCCTACGCCGTGGGGATGACGCTCGAGGCCATCATCGTCAAGTCGGCCGACGAGGGCTGGAACTACACCATGGTGGGCCGCGGAGGCGGAGGAGGGGGAGGACGCGCTCAGGACGGCGGGTCCTTCATACGGAAGAAGATGGACATCAACAAGTTCGGCATCTACTGGTCCCTGCCCCTCGTGCCCGTCCCGCAGGAGGTGCTCAAGGACGCAGACGCCTTCGCCACGCTCATGAGGAGCAGCTTTGCGACGACAGGGAAAGCGAGTGAGCCGGCGCCGTCGCCCCCGACCTCAGAGAGCGCGACCAGCGGGGAGATCACGCTGTTCAAGCAGAGTGACTACATCGTGCACCCGCTGACGGTGTCGATGAAGCTCACAGTGAATGACGGGAACGCCAAGCTGCCGATTACGCACCAGGAGCTCAGCGAGCGCGTGCTGTCGAGACTCGGAACACCCTGGATGGTGGAAACGATTGACGCTATTGGAGACGAAGCTTGGAGCGAGTTCTTGGAGATGATGCCGAAGCTGGCGGGAGAACGCAAGTACACTCTGGGCTTTGTCTTTTCGGAGGCGTGGTCAGTCGCTAGGGACCTCACGGAGGAGGAGGACGAGATCCCCTCGGTGCAGCAGTTCAAGGAGGCGTTGTCCAGCTGCATGCAGTGGTCACTGGAGGAGGTCGATCGCGTCGAGCACTGCATCGTCAAGTATCGCGAGGCGGTCGTGCACGTGATGGAAGAGAAAAGCACCTACATTGACGCTCAAGCCAGCATCGACCAGATCAGTACGTCTCTGCATCGCCAGCAGTATCTGAGCGCGCTGTCTTTCATTTCCTTTCTGACGGTGAAGCGTCGCCAAGCTCGGTACTTGGTGCTTCGCCCGAAAAGAGTCCGTGTAAAGGACAACCCGAGAGCATGGTGGAGATATGCCGTCAACGCCGTCTTGCTGGACGTTCGTGAACGCTTGGCTCACGTGGACTGGGAAGCTCTCGAGCAAAAGCGACAGCAGAGAAATCGGTACAAAGAGCTGTATCTCGTGCTGGAGCATGGAACTACATTTGCTGCCACGCTCGTTCCATCGGATGTGCGCCTCCTGCCGAAAGAAATGGCGCGCAATGAGCTTGATGACCTCGAGTACGTTATGGAAGTCAAAGAGTTAATCAGGCTTCGCCGTGCTGTGCGCAAAGATATCGCTAATAAGGAGAAAGAGAAGGAGGCTCTAAGCAAACTGCAAGCCCAGCGCGAGAGCGAGCTCAAGGGTGACGGTGGGGCTTCACAAGGGTCTGATATTCCTGCTAGCTCGCGTCTGTGGTCATACGCTACGTGGCTTACAGGCGCTGGTACAGCGCAAAGTGGGTCATCGAGCCATGTGACAGCTTCACGAAAAGGTGGCGATGTGCGTGTTGAGGACGTCAAATGGAGTGATCAAGACACAAAAGATTTGTACGAGGCGATTGATTTTCACCCTGAGGAAGATGATAAGGAGAGCAAGGCACCTGATGGTGGCGAGGTCGAGGATGCTGCTGTGCGCAAGAAACGCTTGATGCAAGAGCATTTGCACATTTTGTACCGATTCCAGCTCACCCTCTGTAAGGCAAGCTTCGGACTTAGTCTTGAGGATGCTCCTGCTGATCTCAGTGGGCGGACGCTGCTCGAAGTTGCTAGCAAACCGGCCTCCCTGAAATCTCCCTCGTCGTCCTACCTAACTGCTTCATTGGATGACGTCGAAATTCAATTTCTGGTGCGACCGTCGTGCTTGGAGGTGGGCCTTCAGCTGCGTGACGCATTTTTCTGCCAGAGTTCCCAGTCTTCGGTTCATGACCGGTTGTCGTATAGAAGAAGTTCGGTCAACTCCTCGGAAACAGACTTTTTCCTTCAGCGAATGGAAATGGATGAAGTGCTCGAGTACCATCCAGTTGGAGTTCGGAACCAAATGAGCAGTGTGCGACTTCGCCACTGTGAGAGAGAGCTCCCGTTGATACAACTCAGCATTGAATCCGAGCGCCAGCCGAAGGTTGACGATTTGGATACGGATCCGAACCAGTCTGACTTGGTCGTCACTGACGATGCACGTGGAGGTCATTTACTTCGAGTTTCATTGGTGACTCAACCTATCAAGTGCAATGTAAATCTGATGTTTCTGCTCGATGTGGTGGCCGTGTTTTCTCGACCAGTCAACGTGGATTTGTCTGGGCTCGAGCATAGTGCGTGGAAGAGAGCACAAAGTTTGCAGCGATACAGTGCTGCTCAGCTACGTGATGCGTTAGCCCGAAGAACGAAAGTCGACATGCGCTTGGATGTGATTTCTCCTTTGATTAACATTATCCAGTCGCCACCGGCGGACACTTGTATTCCTAGTGGCGATGAAGTGAGTCTCTTGGTATTCCTGGGTCATTTGAAAGCACAGACGAAACACCCAGGTGGCAGTGTTGACGAAAGTGATATACCAAGTGATGCTGGCGATAATGACAAGGAAGTAGTCGCGAGTAAAATGATTGTGCTGGCGTCACCTGAGCAAAGTTTATACGACGTTCTGGAGATCAGTATATCTGGGATCGAAGTGCAGATAATTGATGGCGAGGATAACAAGTTAGGCCGAAGCGTGTTCCGAAGGCGAAGCCATTCGAGCCAAAAGTTCGCGTGGCATTATCTGCTGGAGAAAACATCTCTAACGTTTAGTTTTTACATGAGCGTCACGCCGGATGACCCAAGTATCCCTCTTCTGAAGTTGTTTGGTGGAGTTGACAGCGTCAACCTGAATTTATCGGCAGCAAGTTTCCGCTCATTGATGCACCTGCTGCATTCCTTTGGTGATAACTTCTCGGTTCATGCCCAGCGTCGCATTGATAGAGATGCTGCTCTAGGTTCCGCTGCACCACATCAGTCATCGCGACTTCTTACAAGTGGAACTCCGCGACGAAGTATCCCCAAGCTCGTACGGAAAACTTCATCTTACGTAAAGCCTGGGACTGTTGCTTTATCCAGTAGTGGCTCAAGTGGAAGGGCAACTACGACATCCGAAAGCCCGTACCTTGGTTTAGCCAGAAAGATCCAGCTCGAGAGAAAGAAAACGTTTAGAGAGAAGGACGTCGACGACGAAGACCTACTCAAGCTGTGGAAACGTGTGATCTGCCAGCTGCAATTTGGGGTGGGTGAGATAATTCTCACTCTGCAAGTTCGAGACCTGGACCACGGATCTGGCAAAATTGTTCGTGTACGTGCGGTCGATATCAACACACGGCTAAAAGTGAGGTCCTACGACAGGAGGCTTGAATTTGCGCTGGGCACGTTCTTGGTGGAGGATATTCTTCTCACAAAGGCGTCGCCATCGTCGAAGGTGGTGGAAAAGAAACGTTTCCTGATGAAATCGGGGAATCACAGCGTGGTTACTGACCTAGACGAGAAGTCAGAGGAGGAGAATGTTTCGTCCATTAAGCCTCCATCATCGTCTGAGCAACTGATTCATGTGGCGATTACGAGTATTGCATCCGATGCTGTGCTGCTCAAGGACAAAAGTATGTGGAAGTATGCTCGTCACTCGCCACTTTCGCCATCCTCGGATAAAAATTCGGTCTGGCAAGATCCGCTTATCACAGCGGTTTCCGTTGATGCAAGTTTGCGAGTATTAACGATTGATGTATACCAAGATACGCTGGCGGAAGTCTTTGTGTTCTTTTTCAAGCACAATACAGACGAAAGTACCGGTGAAAGCACCGAGAAGCAGTCTCCACCACCACCTCCTCCGTCATTCAGAAGCGCCAGCGAAGGAAGCACGGCAAGCCGAAAGAGACTGACTACCGACCTGGAAGAGCAATCAGTCTTGTCATCGGTGGACACCGAGGCAAACGAAGGCACCTTTTCGAGGAAGCTTGGAGTGTGGATGGCGTCGTCGTTCCTGGACAACATTCCAGTTGCCAGTCCAGAGAAGGAGAAGGACCCAGATGATGAATCAAAAGACTTGGAAGGTGATGCAGAGGAAGAACTGCCAGCGTCAATGCAGTTGCGTCTTCACGTGGAGGGTTTGTCGCTATTTCTCCATTTGGACGACAAGCAGAGACCCGAAGGCATGCCGTCAGCCTTTGCTAGCTTGACGGCACAACAATTCTGCTGCTGCATCCAACGATTCCCGCGCTACCTGAGTATGTTTGCGTATCTGACTTCGTTGAAAATCTGTGATGTGTCCTTGTTGGATCAGCACCTCAGTGAGATCGTATCGCATGGAAGTACGCGCACTGAGGCAGATGAGGATAAAGTGCGGATAAAGCGTGAGGATACTCGCCGGTACGACGGAGGTATTGCGGTGGGTCACGTTCCTACGCTAAACGAGATTTTAAACACCCTCGACGATGTCCCTGCCGTGTTTTCATGCGCCGCCCAATTCTACGGCGCCGACTCCATCCAGGAAGCATGGCACCCAGGGTATAGTAGTCGATACTCGGTGCGCCTAAAATCACCACGGATTCGCTTCCTTTACAGCTTCGTGGATGACATGCGCAACTATTGGATGAAGGGCATACTACTGGAGACGGTTTTGTCGATTTTGTCTCGAGAACAAGCGGATATGCTGTGGGAGGGTGATTTCCAGCTCTCCGATATCCACGGCGGACCGGTACAAACACACCTGGATGAAGAGCAAGGCGAAGAAGGCGGGGAGGAAGCAAGCACGAGTGAGTTTCTGGGCTCTGACGTTGTGTCAATGTTCCCGCTAGTGGATATTCGTCTGGAAGATACAGTGTTGGAGATGCCTCCGCATCGTATGTCGTCGGAGTCGCTTTTACTTCGATTTGACAGTTTCCGTGCGTCGAATGAGGGCGTCGTCAACAGTTTCCTTGGAATGGAGAATCGCATCGTGGCGAAAGTGCTGTTGAACTCGTCGTTGAAGCAACTGCAACTGGATATGAAGGCGCTTCGAATCGTGTCGGTTATTCTTGTGGACCGAAACGATGGGGATAAACGGCTTGGGGGTGGAGGATTTATCACGCAAAGTTTGTTGGGACTGACTAATTATTCTTTGTCCGTGGATTTCCGCTCACATTCCGATTGGAAGTTAAATTTTAGTTACAGCCCCGTTCGGTTGGTCTGCAACCAAGAGCAGTACGCCTTCGTACTGAGAGTGCCGTTTCAAAACTACCGGGAGCGGAGTCGATATCATTTCTCGCAAGGGGTTGACACTCCGGCAAAGGTGATAGCGCGAGTGTCATCTCGTCGGTTCTCGCTATCTCGAAGCCTCGATGGAAACTCTTCTTCTGGGCGAATCGTGGAGGATGGAGACGAAGCAAGTAACGGAGCTAGTGTGTCGGAGGCCCCAGAAGTAACAGAAGAGCGCCATATCATGCTAGATCTGCATGTCCCCGAGATTACTATGGAAATTCTGCAAGGCCAACATGGATACCATCCCTCAAGCAGCGGTGACCTCGACATGGCCGAGAAGGGCAAAACCAACGAAGGTTCCATTTGTGTTTTGTCACTCGCGGTTTTAACAGGACGCGCCGACTACAATTTAGCAAGCGGAAGGTTAACCGCAGATGTTGATCTGGAGGGAGTTCACATTCGAGACTCGCGCGTGAACTCAAAGATGTCGTCTTCCTATCGCGATGTGGTGGTGTTTGAGCGGTGCAAAGAAGGCTTGCAAAAGGCAATTAAAGTTCAGTTTGGACGCGAAAGTTTCGATGTGGATATAGCGACAATAGGCTTTGACCCTGCCTTTACTTCCCACGGAAATGGTTTGCGAACGCCGCGGACTCAGTTCAGAAGCGTATCCTCCAGAGCTATTGTCGGTTTGTTCGGATCGGAGCTGTCGTTGAGGCGAACCGATTCGGAGCTGTCTGCCTATTCAGCAATGTCTTCAACGATTACGAGCCATGGCGGCGCACCTTCCGATAAATCCGGAGAGGACAAGTCAACCCCCGTGGTTGGGACGGAAGGGAGGATGGACCTGGTTGTTGATGTAGCTGGGTTCAAAGTCATTCCATCAAATATTCACTACGATGTGCTTCAGTTCTTGACGATGCCTTCGGGATGGAGCGCAGAGGAGGAAGCCTCTGTGAGTAGCCGGGGGGACTCGAAGCCTGGTGAAGCTGATGCAGATCCAAATGAGCCAGAAGAGACGACGATGGTTCCACCGGCGTATCGACGTATTAGTCTGGAGTTGAATTTAGGACCCTCCGCGTTGTTACTGGTTGAAGATCCTCACAAATTGAAGTCGCGAGCGCTGATGCTGTCATGGGAATCGTCAGTCATCCTGAATTATCTCCAGCAAACAAATGAAGATGAGTGTCCTAATATCGAAGAGAAGACCAAAGAATCTCCTGCCCACAGCCGAAACCAATTGCAGTTTTGTGTCGCTCTCGAAAATATTCACGCGACGTCACGTTTGTCGGAGGAAAGCGTGTGGGCAATGGAACAAGCCGCAACAGCTGCATCAGCCGATTGCTTGAAGCCTATCGATATGGAGACTGTCTTGCAGATGGATCTTCGTTCCCACTTCCTCCGCTTCCGAACTACATTCGATCGCGTAATGGAGCTACGATTCGGGTATTTGGATTTTTGTACGATGCTCGCAGCGCTGGAGCATATATTCCGGCGACCATCACTTACTTCACCACCTAATACCCAAGGTGGCCAGAAGAGACGTTCGATGTCAGGCTCTTCAATTTCTTCTCTTTCTGGTGGCGCTGCTGATAGTGAAACTTCGTCTTGGAGTGGGCGTCGTCGCTCACCTTCCTCGCCACGGTCTGGTCTTGCTGTGTCCTCTTCGAAGAAAAGTGAGCGGCAACGTACAGCTGCTCTATACGGAACATCCCTGATTTACTTGGTTTCTGCTAGCTTTCGAGGACGGCTTGAGACGCGACCAGTAGTGGGCTTCTACAACTCGACATGGCGCAAGCGATATCTTGTCCTGCCGTACACGGCTCAGCAGCGACAGCTAGTTCAAAGTGTGGCATTCAGAATCTTGCCAGCATCTGGAAGCCGACGGCAGATTGGAGACGAGATTTACTATGGCGATCAGATAATCTTGGAGGCTGTGGTAGACAACGACAGCGATAGTGGTGAGAAGGACAAGTCGCCCGTCAAGGATGAAGCAGTGAGTGCTGCTGCAAAAGATGCGTCTCAGTCAACTCTGATCCGGAAGTATGATCAACTTGGAGCCAACGGGTATTTAGGGCCGGAGGGTTCAGCTGGAGCTTTTGAGACCACGATATGGAAGCACGGTAGCACGATGTTTAACTCAGACAAGAGTGTTATCTACGATCGGGAACTGATCGTGTTCGAGGAGCTCACGATATATCGCTCATTCAGCAAAGGCAAAAAGTTTGGCGCGGCAAATGCTTCAGGCCAGCAGATGGATTTTAACTCTGCTAGATCAGGTCCTCAAGCAGAAGGTGCGCACACTGTCGACACGACGGGCGCACGGGGAGGTGGATACCTAATGTTTAACGGCGTTGGAGATGCCCCCATACCATTTGCTCTGTCGATCGTATCAAGCAAAGCGAGATCTAGATCGCCACAGCGCGAGGAAAAGAGCAATGTTCCCGTTGAGAATACTTCCGAGACTTTGGATGGAACTGATACCGCTGCTGGAGATACTGATGATGCCACCGAAAAGGCTCGTGCGCCTTCACGGAGAAAGCAGAGGAGAAAACGAAAGTCGCTTTTTGCCTACACCTCATTCCTTGAGAACTTGAAAATATTGGAATTCACGCTTCCTGGGGTAAACGCGACTGTGGTAAATGACTTCCACAATATGCTGCTACCGCTGCTTCACTTTCGAGTGGCGACACTGCACGCTGATATTCGAGGAAGATTAGAAGACAAATTCACGGCGCTAGCTAGTCTGCGCTTTGGAATTCAAGCCTACAACTCGCAACTGGCGGTATGGGAACCTGTGCTTGAAGACTTTGAGGTGAACATGGCGTTCCACGGAAAGGATGGCGTCTTGTGTGACTATTGTATGTCGGAACGACAGTCGGTGTCTCCGACAGGAGCAGCGCTGCGGTGTGATGGCATGCCGTTATGCCTTTTCCGCTCTTCGCGAACCGAGGTGTTTACGAATGCTGCTGCGCATTCGTGGGAGTCGAAGAACTTCATTTATCGCGAGCTTCTGGAGCAACCCGACGTTCAAGATGGCGGCAAACTGGCAAATGCATTCATGATCGTTGTGAAAGACGACTTCAACATCAATGTATCGCGCAATGTGATTAACGTGCTGGTACATTTCTTTGCTCTAGTTACGAAAGTCACGGCTGCTGACGAGGCTTTATCATCCCGCCTCGGACCTTTCATTTACGTGGACAATCAGTCCGGGATTCCATTTGTCGTCGCTACCCACCCGTCGTCATCCTCAGCCGGTGCTCCTACTGCGGGCGGAACTCCGTCGTCATCTCGACGACCAACAGGCTCAATTGAAATGCCAACGGAAGTACCGGGTGCAGACACCAACGACAACATCTTGAAGGCCGGAACGGCAATGTTTAACAGCAATGCTTGGAGTCGTCGTCGACTGTCAACAATGCTTAACGATATTTCCTCATCAGACACGGAGTGGATTCGAGTTGAAAGCGGAGAGCGCGTTGCAACTGAAATCGTGGCGCATGAAGCACCTGCCGGATGTGTAACATCACCACTACGACGTTTGTTGTGGTTAAAGCCACAGTCCCATGGCCAGAGGGCAACAGCTTCCAAGGCCATCCCAGTGCCGATTGGGTACTCAAATCGGAGCTACCTTCACCTGGAGAGCAGCGGCAAACAACGAGATTCGTGGCACGGTGAAAGCATTATTTGTGAAACCGTTGCGGAACAGGGCACACTTGTGTTGCGCTTACGAGGAAAGGTGCAGTTGACGAACTTCTTCAGTGTACCGATCCAAGTCATCTACAACGACCAGCGAGAAGAAACGATTGAACCCGGTGGCAAGGCGGCACACTATATCCCCATCCAATATCTCGAGTCTGGGACGGTCGCGTTTCGCCCATTGCTATCCAATGGTCAGGTTCAGCGTTCAGACGCGCTTTCTATCGCGTCGCTATTGCGGTCGAATGACCACAAGTTCCGCAGTCGTTCTAGCCGTCGCCAGAATGTCGGGTCACTGGAACTACGCAAGGCGTTGACCTTTTACTGGGACGTCCACCCCAGCACAGCAACTGACGAGGCCCCCGATTTCACATTTGGTGTCTCGTTGCCGCCGTTCCAAGTAATTCTGACTGCGCTGCGCAAATCCGAACGCCACGAAACGACAATAACCTTGCGTCCGCCCATCGTGCTGGAGAATCTGGTGCCTTATGAGTTGTCATACCGCACGGTCTGTATGAAATCGGAGGCCGAGGTGGTCTGGGTGGCGAAAAATGCAGCATCGTTCTCGGGTGCGAACGGAAAAGTACCGTCCGGTAGTTCTGCTTGCGTCGCAGAGCTGGATATCTTGGAGCGCGATTTGAATAACGGAGAGGTGGTGCAAACACCAACAGTAGTAGGACTCAGTCTTGCGCTACCGCAGATTCAACTGCGAAGATTCTCTCGGTGGTCTCGGGATACGTTCATTTACGGCTGCCAGTCGTTCTGTGAGCGCATTGAGTTGAATATGCGGGACGACACTGAGTTGGAAGCCCCAACTCCCGCTAACAAGCTGACAATTTGCGTCGAGATTACACAACTCGAGAAGCTGCGGTCGCGTGCGCTGAACACTCTCTGTCCTGTGGTGTGCAGAGTGTTTACAGAGTACTGGTTGATTGATCGTACGTCGCTGTCACTGGCGTTTTATACTGCCGATGACTATTTGATTCCCTCCAACCATCCAGGACGACTTTATGATGACAAGTCGGATGCTGAAGATGAATCCTCCGCTGTGTCACTTTCTGTCTTTTCGTGCGAAAGCAAGCAAGTTGTCTCGAAAATGAAAATCGGCATCAAGGGGGGCAAGGGCGAACGTGAGGTGCAGTCAGAGCCCTTTGATATCAGCGCTGTGGGTGTACGAGGGCAGATTCTTGTGCCTACCAATCGGTCTCGCGATGCCCGGTCGCTCCTTTCTACGATTGCAGAATTCGGGGCTCCGTCGGACGGACTGAAGTCGACTTTTAAGCAGTATGAGTTCGGCGTGATGATCGAGCAAGGCCCCGAGAAGTTTTCGCGATCGCGTGTTGTGACCTTGGTCCCGCGATATTACTTCATCAACACGTCGAACAGGTTTGAAATTCGCATTCGACAGGAGCGTTCGACGGACCCGAATGCCGTGATTGTGATTCGTCCGCAAGAAACCAAGATTTTCCATTGGAGTGATTCGCGCTTACCTTCGCGGGTTCAGATATGTTTTGTGCTGCCTGACAAGCGTCACGATGCACGTGACACCTTCTCGTATGCCCATTCATCTCAGTGGAGTGCACCGTTTGAACTATCGTCGGTTGGTAACTTCGTGCTGCGTGTAAAGTCCAAAGTCCGGCCAGCGCCACCATGCCTTCCTGGGTGCTTTGAGGGAAATGTCTCTAAACGAGATCCCATAGAAGATGAAGCGGAGACGGGCCTGTTTTTCGATGAAGAAGATGAGTACGGTGACGCAGAACGAATGCTCGCCGAAGGAATCCAGCTGAACGTAGCAGTTGAGCTTCACGATCCGTCGTTCTTGGTTTATCTGGAAGAGGGGAACCAGCCAGTCCACTTTTCTCCGCCATCTTCTTACGAGTACGAAGAAGATGATCGAGAGCACACGTTGACTGTGAAACAAAAGGAAAACGAGGGATTCGTTCCGTTCAAGATCAAGAACGAGTGTAGCAACTTGGCGCTGGTTGTTTGGCAGAAAACGCTGGTGAAAGACGACAAGGGGAACGTGACCATTGGGTTTGAAGGTGGTGAGCCGGTCCTACCTTTTCACACGATCGACTACGTGCCATTCCGCTTCTCTGCATTCCCGACCGTATTTGTACAGGTGCAAAAAGTAGCAGGGTTGGGCATTGGTGCATTGCGGAAGGAGCACCCACTCCACTGCCATCGCCCGGAGAAACTGAGCACCAAATCTTCAGCGGAGAAAGCAGGTAGTGATGAACCAGTTACAGCCCTATCCAGGGCAGCCACTGTGGGCCAAACGCAAGTGGTTGCAAGCTTTGAAGTACAGCTGAAAAAGCTTCAGCGGCTACCAACAATCGATGTGTCTGAAGGAGTCGCCAAGAAGCGATTGTGGGCCGAAGTGTTACTGGATGAGACTACCAAGACATTGCTAGTGACTGACATGCTACCTGGTTTCTCTGGAGAGCACAAGCGGCGCCGGCGAGCGACGCTTCTGCGCAGTTGGAAGCGCTATAACACGTCGATCGTGTTCATTTCGCACGTGTTGGCGGCGCATACTGCCCAGATAACGGATGGGTCCGATGATGACAATGTGCAACAAGAGGTACCTGTAAAGAAGAAACGCGTCCGCTTTGCATCAGACGTCACAGAAGCAAAAAGCAAGCCTGTTCCGGACGAAGCTGCGACCCCAGGCTCAACCCAACAGGGTGTTGAAGCTGGCGAGTGTGCACCGTCCGTTGAAGAGGAGAAAGAGGTGGAAGCGCTGGCGCTCTGTGTTCGACTTGTTGACGCGACGTATCTGGAGGATGTATTTCTTCAAGCCGGGCGCAGTGATTTGACATCTTGCCAGCCGTTCATCACATTCGCATTAAGAAGTGATGGTGAGGAGGCCAGGGCTAAGCTAGCTCCACAGTCGACTACAATGTTTCCACGTTGGCTGCCTGCACCTAATTCGCGGGCGGTTCTAAGTGCGCTGATCCTGAGTAATGAGGATGCTGAAAAGGAAGAAAGCCCTCGCACTTTTGGCGCTGGCGCAGAAATCATTGTGGAGATACGAGAAGCCGACAAGATTCTGTTTGGGTCCTCCATTATTGCGACAGCACGCATCCCCCTGCAAGAGTACTGCGCGGCTGCTATGATCTCAGCGACAACCGAGGCGAACCACGATCCACAAGTGGTCGAGTTCCTTGCTCCTGTGCGTGTGGCGCGGAAAGATGGAGGTTTGTCCCGGTCCATAGAGAATGAAACGCGGATTCGCTTCCAAATGTGCTGCCGACGAACGCTGACGACCCGGTCGAATGCAGCTGCGTCTAGCGGTGAAGGCCTAGATACGCTTGATGCGGTGAAGGAGTTAGTCGATATGTTATCCGCCTATCAGTTGAAAAAGGAGCTGGACGTGCTGGTGAGCTCCAAGTCGCAATTGAAGCTTCTGCTTGAGCGTGAAGCTGTGGATACGTCGACTAGTGGGACCAACATCCCAGCGGCTTTGCGGTCAGTGCCTGATCATGCAGCAGCTGAAGAGAAGAAAGACTCGGGTCTTTCGCACTTCGTCGCCCGTTCCACTGGTTCGGACGACGAAAGTCTTGGAACCCGCAGTCGAAGTACTACCAATTCAGCTCGCGGATCTGCGGTCTCGGTGACAACTGACGAGTCTACGAGTGATGGCACATACGAAGAAATGGGCGATGAAAAGCGCTTGACTGCAGTTCTGATCGGTGTGTCGAATCTTCAAATTCCCACGGAGATTATTCGGAATAATTTCAAGCACACGCACGGGACGACAGATCACCTGGAGCCAAAGATCTACTGCACCATCACGTACCAGGAGTCAACGCGCTCTGCTTTATCGGCGGTCGCCAAGTCTTCAGCTGCATCGGCTGCATCAACAGACAAGGACAAGAATGACGACGCTGGATCACCCGAAAGAGCGTCAATGGCTGGACCACCAGGCAGCAACGCGCACCTACAGGAAGTTCGCACTCATGAGTTCCCGCGGGGTCAAATGCTGGGCCTCGACTTGGTGTACCGAAACGGGCGTATGCTTGTCCAGGGTGTTGTATGCGACGGGCCTTGTGGAACGCTGGTCTACGAGGGTAAGATCCGTATTGGGGACACCGTGGTTGCAGCCAACAACAAGTCTATCGTCAATCTCCACCGCGACGCATCTTTTGCTGTGATCGAAAAGGCCATACACTGGGGAGAGGGTGTTGGTACTCAAACCCAGGAACAAGCGTCGGGAGCAACATTCACGCTCTCCTTCCTATATCAGCCGACGACGCCGCAACGCATGACTTTTAGCGATACGTCGAGGCCCCCGTGCGCGCAAGCTAAGGACGAAGAAACGGGTGTTCGGAAGTACGATGCTGAGTGGAATCGGCGGGTTGAGTTCGTTGAAACCTCGAGTACAAAACCTGCGGCAGGTACTGGCGACGAGCAGGTGCTCGTACGTGTGTACTTGCGTAACGAGACATCGGATCATGGTCTGTCAGCATCGCAAGAGTCAAGTATCGTGCCGTTCTTGTATTTCTTTGGCGACGACGCTATGATGGATCATCTTGATCACAGTAAGCAAGACTCTCGGTTCGACGTGCTTCTAGCAGAGTGCTGGGTGCCGCTGCCACCGTCCTCTCTCTCAAGCGCCTCGAATCCCATGTCTATGGATGGAAACCCGATGGCTGAGCCGTCCGCCCTCACTTTCAACGAACGGATCTGCGCACTGTACTCGCCGCAGCAACGCTCGCATCAACACTCGGCATTGGAAATGATTGGCCAGTTACGGTTAGCACTGAAATGGGATTTCATCAACCCGTTGCGCGCGGCTCAGCAGCAAGGAGATCTAAGTCTCCATTTCCAGCTTGAAGTCGCGCGCATTTGTATCTCGGTCGTGGATGATGGTGCGTGGAGCTCGGTGGCGTCTGCTGCTGGACCCCAGCAGCCTCAAGAAGTGTTGTGCATTTCTTTGTCCGACCAAAATGCTTCTGCTGGCATTCAACTAAGCTATGGCCAGATCTCGGACGGAAAACAAGTGATCAACGCCCGCATCGGTCACTTTCAGATCGACAACCAACTTCTTGATACAAACTACCCAGTGCTGCTACGCCCGATGCGTCTTCTCGATGCACAAATGCAGGAAGAAGGCTTCACGATGGCGCAAAATAAAGGAGGCAAAACAGATCATGGAGGTGCAGAGGGAGAAAGCCCGATGCTATTGCCAACCGTGCAGTTGATGGCTGTCTTCAGTCGCCAACCGAATGTCATCCAGTTTGACTACATCTTCGGTCAGCTACAAGAGCTGGAAATCAAGCTGGAGGATGCGACGCTTGTGGCACTGGCTCACGTGTTTTCCGGGGTGGAATGGTCGCATACTGCATCAAGCTCACGTTCAACCAAGCAAAAAGAGCGGCGCGGTGACGAGTTCGGGTCTAACTTGGCACTTAAGCTGCTGGAGATCGAATGGTCTACCCCCACGCTGTTGTCTACAGCAGCGGGGAACACAAGAAGTGGAGAAGGGGCAAACATGAAGGTGCTTTTGCGCTGGCTCTTGCTCTGCCCCGTAAAGGTCAACGTGACTTTCACGAGCACTGCAGACCGGTCACTGTTGCTCTCGCTGGTAGGTGCCGTATATTTGATACTTTCCTCTGTTTCCCATTTTTTTCTGACATGAATTTGTGCTTTGCAGCTTTCGCCGGACATGTCATCAGTATTGAGTACGCTCATCAGTGCAGCTGCGGCGTTGGTATCGAATCTGGACCAGGCACCTATCCGAGTACCGGAATTCTACGTTGAGAATCTGCTGGAAACGACGCACACGCTGGCATTTTATGCCATGCAGCACTATCTGCACCATGGTTTGCGCAGTTGGTACAGTATCATGGGGTCCGTCGACTTTTTGGGAAACCCAATTGGTCTTGTCAGCACTCTGGGCACTGGAGTCAAGGACTTCTTCTACACACCTGCGCAAATGCTGCTCGAAGACGAAAACGGCCTGCGGATCGACAACCTACGCACTGGCATGACCAAGGGCTCCAAGAGCCTGTTGCGCAATACTGCGGTTGGCATCTTCCACACTACGGGGAAGATCACTGAAACGCTGGGCAAGGGTATCGCTTTGTTGGCTATGGACGAGCAGTACAACGTGCAGCGACAACGTGCGTCGACGCGACAGATCAAAAAGATCAACGACCTCGGCGACGCAATTGCAGAAGGAAGCAAAGGCCTCGTGGGAGGTGTCTGGGATGGCATCAAAGGTGTCGTGGCTGCGCCAGTGCGTGGAGCGGAGCAAGATGGAGCTGGTGGGTTCGTGGTGGGTATCGGCAAGGGCGTCGCGGGTTTGATTGTGAAGCCGACGGCCGGATTCTTGGACCTGCTCACCAGTCTGTCGCGAGGAGCGAAGACAAGTGCAGAGTCCTTGGATGGTACCGATCGCAACGCTTTTGACACAGTCACTCGCTTCCGGCTACCCCGGCGTATCTGGTACGTGGTGAAGTCAGCGAGTATCGATATTTGTATAACGCACCAGCTAACACGAATGCTTCGCTTGTATTCTGCACAGTTCGGACGGCGTGCTTGTTTCGTACTCGGAGCGTGAAGCTCGGGGCTACGCGGTGCTGCTCCTCACATCACTTGATGCAACGGATGAGTACGTACCAACTGCATGTGTTGCCTTTATCGGTTGTATCGTGTCTAACCCGCGTTGCTTCGATGCGGCTGAATGCAGTTACGTGTATCACGTGGACTATGGTATCGAGCCACACCGTGGACTCTTGTTGCTGACTGACAAGCGTCTTATCTGCTTGAGTGGCAAGACCGGGCAGAAGCTGTGGGAGGTTGCGCTTGACTCGACGCTGGAGGTCCTAGTCAAAGGTGCCACGCTCAAGATCGGCCAGTCCACATCTCCATCGCGGTCCTACAACATCGAGTGCGACAATGAGGTGGCGGCAACGAATTTCCGCGTTGCAGTGGACTCCGCGCGCGTGGATGTGTCGGCCACGCGATACCTGCTTTTGAACCTGGAGAAGAGTCAGGACGAGTCTCGGATCATTGGCGGCGGGCGTTTCGGCAGTGGAGCAGCAGGGTTGCTCAAGAATGATGAAGACCGCACAGACCTGCACGTGCTGATGGAGAACGTCCAGGACACGACGGTCACCGGGCTGTCCAACGACGACCTGCGGTCGCAGCCCCTGCGCTCTGTGCGTGTGGAGGTCTGCCACCTGCAGAACAAGGATGCCCACGCGAACGTGCCGAACCGTGCGATCGACAAGTTGCTGTCCTTCAGCGTGTTCCAGGTTCAAGTGTACGGCGGACCTTACCAATGGACTGTTTTCCGGCGCTTTAGTGAGTTCCGAGATCTCTGCGCCAAGCTGGAGGCAGCGGGGTATCTGCTGGATGGCCTGCCGCCCCTCCCACCGCGAACGTTCCTCCCGAGTACGCGAGCTCCTGTGGCGAAGCATCGACAGGAGGCGCTCAACATGTTCCTGCAGGCGGCGATCATGCACTCGGTGATAAGTCGCAGCGCTGCGATGCTGGATTTCCTCACGCGCGAAGCCCGAGAGGTGCGCGTGAGTCTGCCACCGCTGTCGCCCACTGGGGGACGGGAGGCGTCGCAACGCGCTGGAGACTCGCCGTGAGGGAGGTGTTGTTGCCGAACGTCGTGAAGTGCGAGTTTTGTCTGTGTGTTTTGGATTTACTACAGTATGTATCAACATTTGCATTTTATCAATCGTGAAATCCACGACTTGTCAATCTGACGAGGGTGTCAATGCCAGCCCAAGAGCGAGCCCGTTCAAGTTCCGCCATCACCGAAGTGATTCAAGACAGCCGTCAGCAGCTTCAACAGTGGTGTCGACCAGCGGAAACCCTATTCGCACTTAGTCGGGGAGTAGCACCCCAGCCAATCACCACAGTCGCCGCCACTAGCAGCACCACACTGCCAGGGACCCTTTGACCAGCGACGAAGTAGCAGCAGCAGCAGCAGCGATGGAGGCCAAGACGACGCGCTTCCTGACGCAGTTCTCTCGCGCCGTGTTCCAGCAGTGGACGCAGACGCCCGCGCGCGAGCAGTTCTGGAAGGATGGCGCCTTCCTGCACGCGATGCTGGAGGAGGCGGTGGCCAAGCTGCCGCGCGGGAAGCTCAAGGCGCAGCTGGCGCGCGACCTCAAGCCGCTGGAGACGCAGCTGGCCTCGCTGCTGCGCGAGCTGCACGTGGAGCACGTCACCAAGCAGCAGCAGCAGCAGCAGAGCGAGGCGGCGCAGCAGGGCTCGCTGGCGCACGGCGCGCTGCTGAACGAGGAGCTCACGGAGCTGGAGCTGACGCAGGCCGCCGCCGCCGCGACCTCTGACAAGCAACGCCGCCTGGCGGGCGTGCTGGCGCTGGACGCCGGTGTGGACGTGGCGCAGCACGCGGCGGACGCGCAGGAGCAGGACGCGGAGCAGCTCGTGCAGCTGTTCGCGCTGGTCGCGGCGCGCAGCTACGAGTCGCCGCAGGACCAGGGGCGCAAGCGTGGCCTCGTGCTACAGCGACTGGCGGCCTGCGCGCAGACGCAGCTGGAGGCGCTGCCGAGCAACTGGAGCTGCGACGCCGAGAGCGACGCGGGCAAGCAGGTGCTGCAGCTGCGCGCGCTGCTGGAGCGCGTCGTGGTGCAGGACGCGGTGGCTCTGGCTAGTGAGGAGGAAGTTGATGCTGTTGCCGCGGGACAGCTGCAGGCCCCCTGGACCAAGTTCTACTGCCCCGAGAAGAGCAAGGAGCTGAAGAAGGTGTCGTACGACGACGAGGTGGCCAAGATCTACGGCGTTCTGCTCGCTCTGGCGGTCTACTTCCCCATTGAGACTGAGGACGAGGAGGACACGTCGGCGGAATCCTCTTCCTCGGAAGATGAGGAGGAGAGCACGACTACACAGCAGACGCAGAAGCGGAAGCCGCTGGGCGCGGTGGCACAGGCCCAGCTCTCGACTCGGCAGACGCTGCTGGCTGCTCAGATGCGCCAGCGTGGACTTAACCAGAGCGGACAGTGGCTCGTGTCGGTGCTGACCTTCCTGCAGGGACTGCCCAAGCCTGCAACTTACCTTGATGAAGACGAGGACGAGGCCCTTGATGCGGAGGACCGCCGTGCGCTCCTGGACTGTGTTGGACATGTCTACACGCGCGCGTTCGCCAGCGTGGCGCTGTTTGACCAAGGCAAGGAGAATGCCGCGGAAGAGAAGATTGCGGTGCAGGATCGCGCTCTGTTCGAGGCTGTCGTGTGCCTCCGCCACGCGGTGCATTTCATGCGTGTGGAGCGCAAGTCCAGCCTGCCGGCCATCACTACGGCAATGGCTCACCTGGCTGGTGTGCCGCTGCCTTTGAGCTTCACGACTTGGCTCGACCTTGAGCAGACTGCAGCCCCCAAGTCTGTGCTGGAGAAGGCGACGCAGCGATTGTGGAAGAAGTGTGCCGACCACAGCAAGATGGTCAACATCCTGCTGAGCTCGACTGAGGTGACGACCGAAGAGCTTCCTCTTATCCAGAAGGTGAGTCTTTCTGCGTTAAACCTACTATTGAGTGGAGTGTCTGACATTCGTTGCGATGATATTTGTTGTTGTTGCTGTTGCAGAGCTACCTAGAGTACATTGACCGTGTCGCTGAAGGCAACGTGGTCAAGCCTAGCCAGACGGCTGATACTGAGCCGTCGTCGTCTGCTGCGGCAGCAGCGGAGGAAGCTACGGCCGACGCCAGCAGTTTGTTCTACGTGGACAACGCAGGCGGCGAAGCCGAGGAGGCCGCTAGCAAGTCGAAGAAGAAGCGTGCCAACAAAAAGAAGCGCGCGAACCAAACCAGCGAGGCGTCGCCTTCGAAGCGCAGCCGGACTTCGAGCAGTTAGAGATACTTCAAATGCAGCCATTCCATTTCCAAAGTTTTCGTTGCTTGCTGGTGGATGCGTTTCAAGATACATGTACCTTGAGGGCCTTCGCGGTCCCAACAGTACCGCAGTGATCACATCGCAATACGGTTCATATCGTCTACTGCGTTGGCTACAGCAAGGGTGGCTGTTCTCAACAGGCGTAGCTCTAAGCTGTAGACGAATGACTAAACGACTAAGAAATCACCGATGCCACTCTCGCGCCGAACCGGCACGTGTTGACACGATTTCGTTGAATGGAGAACTGCCGCCGTGCTTGTTACAATGCTGTTGTTTATTTTGTTTTTCCATACTGTTTGTCCTTGTTGTTTGTTGTCTTGGCTCCGCCAAGGCGGAAACCAGCGCGAGGGTCCCCCGAGCTGGTTTGCTAAATAGTTCTTTCCTATTTTGTCCAAAAATTCTAAAGAAAAATCACAATCAAAAGTTTGCACACTTGTCCATCGACGACGCCAATCGCCCGCAAGTTCCACTTGCCTGCGGCCGATTCTTCCTCATGCTGGCGCGGTCAGCTGTCTCCAGCCGATCACGCTTGCAATCCACACTCTTGACGTGACTCGAAGCTCTGCACCCACCTGCTCACATCAGCGCCCGTATCATGCGCCGCACCACGCTCCAACTCCATCATAAACCCCTTGAAGTAGAAGTGACGCCTCGCGACATCAACGACACCAGAGCAGGCGGCTTCGAGCTGCGATCACTCGTCGCCCCCACTTGTCGGCTCAGACTGCTGCAGTCTCCGTCTTCGTCTTGTTCTTTTTTCTCGTCTTTTTGTCCATCCTCCACCACGGACAGCGACCTCGCCCAGCATGTCGTTCCTCTCCTTGCTTTTAGCACCAGCAACATCACACCACGCGACATACTCGACTCGGTCACTCTCCGTCTGCTTCGTCTCGTCCGCTTGTCCACTCCACTCCGCTCCACTCATTGAGCGAAGTCTAGTTCGTGGTCGTGTAGTAGGCCCGGCCGCTCAACACGCTCGGGTCGATCTTGGAGCGCAGCGGGGGGATCGAGTACACGCTGGGGGCCTGGCCGCTCGCGACGTTGAGCGGCGGCAGGCGGAAGGCGCCGCATTGCTGCTGCTGCTGCATCTTGCGCTCCTCGGCGCCGCCTGCGACACGGATGGGGGACAGCAGGCCGTGGGGGTGCATCGGCGTCGTCGCCGGCAGGGGCAGAGGCAGGCGGTTCTGCGCGTTCTGGTAGCTCATCTCAGTGATGGCGCTGAGCACGCCGCCGAACTTGCGCGCCGGGAAGGGGCTTCCGTCGGGGGACGCGCGCAGGGGGCTGAGCCGCACCTCGGTCTTCTGCATGCACCACTCGGGGCTGGGGCGGATGAAGCCCGACTGGTTGCTGCCCCACTCCATCTTGCGGATCTTGTCGCCGAAGTCGACGGACGCCGCGCGGGGGGCCACGACCTCCTCGGGGCACTGCTTGATCACCACGGGGCTCGACATGTCGGCCATCTCGACGTCGGGGGGCGACGACGGGGCCGAGGGCACGGCCACGGGCTCCTGCTTCATGACCTCGATGGATGCCAGCTCGGCCAGGCGGAACAGCTCGCTGCGCGGGGCCTCGTGGCCGGGCACACCCGTGAGCGAGCGCGCGGGGCTCACGTTGGCGTTGGCGCTGGGGAAGCGGCCCGCGTGCTGGTGGTGGTGGAGCTGGTGCTGGTGCTGGTGCTGGAGTTGACGCTGCTGCTGCTGCTGCATCTCGTCGCTCGAGACGTACTCGATGGCCTTGAAGAGGTTCTCCTTGGCCGCGTACTCGCTGGCGTCGGCCTCGCTGTGCTGCGAGCCGTCGTCGCCCGCCTGCTTGCGGCCCTTGTGGCGCAGGCCGCGGCGCCAGCGGCTGATCTTCTGGCGGTACTTCTGCGCGTGGGTCATGGTCTGGCGGGTCGTCTTGGTGCCGATGAAGGCGGCGATGACCTTCCAGGGGCCGGCCGGGTACTTCTCCATGGCCTCGAGGAACTTCTCGTGCTCCTCCTGGGTCCACATCTTGAGGGGCTGGCTCTGCTTGGACGAGTAGACCGTCGTGCCCGCCTTGGCCTCCGTGGGCTTGATGCGGATGAGCTTGCCCTCGCTGTTGGTCATCTCGAACAGCTCCTTGCGCACATTGGCCGAGATCGTCATCTTGCTTTCCCGCGTCTTAGCACCCACACGCCTGGCGCCGATGCATGTACAGCGGGCGACAAGAGGAGGGAAAGGAAGAATTGGCTTTGGCTGGCTTCGAGCGCCAGTGCAGCACAGGCAGCGACACGAAGAGCGAGCGCCCCAGATCGCACTTAAGGCGGATTTACGGCGTGATGGATCAAGCGGAGATGGGCGCGCGCGGATACGACGGTGGATTCATTTACCGCTCCCACTTTAGCGCATAGGTTCAAGTATTAGTTTGCACAGGTGGCGGTACAGTCTGACCCACCCAGCACCTCTCGCCTACGGGGCCATGCATGCTCGCTGCAACCCGAAAACTATTAATACAAAGTACCAACTACACCTGCACTACATTCACTGCGTACCGAGAGCAGAATCGGCGAGTAGCATCGCAAGGCGCGGTGGTTGCACACCTGTTTAAACGCATAGTATTATTCGAACAGAGGCTATAAAGATACGTATTTGCCCAACTGGCGCGATTCAACCCGCCCAAAGCAGCGTATTTTGGGCGGCGGTTCGTCGGTCGCGCGCCGGCGTTGCACACGCCCCTCTTGGGAGCTGCCGCCGTGCATTGTGGCAAGCGCGCTCCAGCGCGCACACCAGGACACGCTTCTCGGTGCAGCGAGCGCTCGCAAGTAGTAGTAGTAATCTTACTGGCGAGACCCTGGTGATTCAGGGCGGCGCGCGCGCAGCAAACTCTCGCTGCCAGGCGGAGCCCCAAGTCCGGCGCAACGGTGTTGCCAACAATGCCATTCGCATAGACATGCGAATGGGTTGACTCGAAATGGGTCACTGCAGCCATGTGAAAGGCAGAGACCGCACACGGAGGCAACTTCTGGTGCCCATTTTCGCCGCGTTAGCAGGAATGTCACCTAAAAAAATGTCAGGCGCTGGATGCCAGTCATTCCTGTTCACCGGTCGTGTATCCACCTCGGACGTTTCAGCCCCGCAGGTCAAGCTCTGGGTTCTCGGTCTCAAAAGTTCTAGGCTCTCTGGCAACAACTGCATTGCGCTGCGATCCACTAGCGGCCACAGAGCCTAGTGGCGAGCAAAAATTGAGCCGCTTTACTGTGTTGCTCACCGCTCGAAGCCAGTACGCAGCAGCAAGCCAGTATCCTTCCCGGCCTGCAGCGCCAAAACACTTCTCCTATAATAAGCCTGTTGAAGCTGTCACGGGCGGCCCCAATTCAAGGGTATCCCTTCGGCACGCAAAATACCCATTTCGTAGCGCCAGCTGTTAACGCGCATGGGTCCAGCACTGGCGCGAGGGCATTGCTCGGAGTCAGTCCGCCCTTGGCGTCCAAGTTGGCGGCGGTGATGTGGCAGTCCAACAATCCAGCCCCGGCGCCGAGCCGTGCCCGCCCGCCAGGCGCTGGCTAATGAGGCCTCGCTCTTCCGGGCGGCGGGTGCTGCCGGCGCGGCGCATGCGACGGCAGTGGCCAGCCTTACTCACGCTGTGCGACGTCCGGTTGAAATTGAACATGGCGGGCGAGGGAGCGCTCGGGGCACTGCCCGCGCGCTTTGCGGGTCTCTGCACGAGACCCGGCCGCTGTGTGCTGCTGCGAAAATGGAGCCCGATGTGCCGCCGGGTTCTAAAAAGCTGTAGCCATCCCCGCGCAGCATCTCGACGGCACCCGATCGCGTAGAGCCTTGCACGAGCACGAGCAGCGCCGCTGCTCCTCCCTATCCAGCACAGCAAGACGCACGCCCAGGAAGGCTTCCTGCTTCCTGAGGAAGCAGCAGCGGCGGCGGCGGCGGGAGACCGCGGTCGAAGTTCTCGATCAGACAAGGTGTCTCAGTGCGGCACCTGGCGCCCAGAAAATCCGCGCCACCGCTCGCGAGGCTCGCAGTGCGCCGTGCTGGAGCGACCGCAACATCCTCGTCATGCTGCGCCAAGTTCAACTGGTTGGCTCCCTATCCGCCGGCGGCGGCCGGGGCCCCGATGGATACATCGCACGCAAGTCAAAGAGGGTCGCGATGTGTTGCCGCCACATTAAACCATTCGCAGCAACACTAGCAAACCTCGACAGCCTACACGAATTGCCCGTGACTCACACCAAATACGTGAAGACCAGCCGGGCTGCAGCTACTAGCTAGGATAGCCTATTGCCATCGGCATTTCAGGGGCATTCATTCGATTCCGAGCCCGGCAATCTGAGTCGCGTCTGATTCCGTCAACCCATCGCGCTTTTTGTCCAATAAGAAAACACATAAAATGGGCTTCGTGCCAAAACCAGGTACCAACTACCAGCTCAACTTTGGGGGACCGGTGCCAGAACCCGTTGCTCGCAGTGCGAAAACCCGTCGCAAGCGCGACCGCGACGTCGGACCAGTATACAAACGCCAAGTGATTCCGCGATGTACCCACCAGAGATCCAGTGCATTGGGTACACGCCCCATGCGTTAGTAACCCTAGCCAGAGGAATCCACCCGCTCGGTTCATCCACCACCGATCGATCGCCACTTTGCCTTACGTTGAGAGCCCCGCAGCAGCATGACCATCTCGCGCAGCGTGTACAACCAGCTCTTCGAGCAGGCGCCCGACGCCGCGGGCGGCGGCAGCAAGGAGAAGGTGATCCGCCTGCGCCCCACGGAGGCCAAGGCCGGCGCCGTAGTCATGTCGGCCAAGAGCAAGATCCAGATGTGGACCAAGGAGGAGCACGAGCGCTTCCTCGCGGCGCTCGAGAAGTTCCCGGCCGGCCCCTGGAAGAAAGTGGCCGACTTCATCGGCACCAAGACGCCGCGCCAGACCATGACGCACGCGCAGAAGTACCGCCAGAAGATCCACCGCCGCCAGCGCGGCCTGCGCAACCAGAAGAAGACCACCAACAGCAACAGCAACAACAGTAACGTAGCCACGCCCGAGACCGCAGCCGCAGCCACTTCCGCCAACCCGGCGCCCGTGGACACCAAGGCGGACCTCAAGGGCGAGCCCAAGGCCATCGTGTCGCCCTACGGCGTGGCCGACCTGCAGCTCAAGCCCGGCTCGGAGGCCGCCGTCGCCGCCGCGGCGGGCGCCACCAACGACCAGCTGCTCAACATCCTGGCGCAGCAGGCCACGACCATCCAGGGCAAGCCCCAGGCCGAAGAGCAGGCGGAGCCCATGGAGGTGGACTCGGCCGTGACCGTGGACACCAGCGCGTCGCCTGAGGCCGACGCGGCCGCTGCAGCGGCCAGCCAAGGGTCGCCCAGCAGCGGCAACAACAACAACCTGCCGTCGCTAGCGGAGATCCTGCACCTCGGCGGCGCGGAAGCACAGGCGGCGGCTGCAGCTCAGGCAGAGAAGGCGCAGGCGTCCCCGGCCAAGGTCGAGGAAGAGGAGAAGAAGAAGACGGAGGAGGTCAAGACGGAGGAAACCAAGGCAGAAGCGGAGGAGATCACGACAGAGACAGCGGCCGAGGCCCCGACCTCTACGCAGAACCGGCCAGAGGACTGCAAGTGCAACTGCCAGTGCAGCGCGCACGGAGGCAAGAAGCCCGCCGTGGAGGAGACGACCACGCAGCCCCGGCCTGAAGAGAGCTAAGTGCGAGTGTGTGTGCATGTGTTGCTCTTCGTGGCTGGACGAGAGAGAGAGAACGGAGCAGGCCGTCGACAGCGGCGCGAGCGTCAAGCATCTCGCCGCGCTCGGAACGCGTTCTGCCTAATAATTATTGATAACAAGATACTCTTGCAACCCAACGCAACCCAGCGCATCTGTGAGATTCCGCTGTAGCCATTACGTACATGTACTGCCCTTCAACTTGCCCGACTCAAGCAGCCTGCCCAGTCCAAGCTGCCTGCCCGCAATGATTCGTCGTCTGCAGTAAATTGATTGAGCGATCTCCGCATTCGAATGCTATCGGGCAAAGGAGAAGCAGGCATGCCGGTGTCGAACGATGTGGTTCAGTACATATATAATATGTACGCCGATGGTATTTACTGTACTGTAAGAAGGCGTGCAAGAAGCGCTGACGGCCTTGTGAAGAAATCGGTACTCAAGGATCAATAGTACATCTGTACTACATGTGTGCATCTCAGTAAAAGTGGCGCGGTTCGAGTACAACAAATGACAATAAATACATGCACTCACGTTCTCTAGGTTAATCGTCGTACTGTTCGATGTCAGAATGGTATTGCTGAACTCGAGCTTCATCCGTTTTCAGGCTACTGCTGCTTGAGTTAGCCTCCCAGCCCACAGTATTCTCACACATTTTGCTTCGGGAGCGTATCTGATCGTCGCGAGACTTGAAGTCGCCAGACACGGATGAGCTGGGGCGAATTGACGAGCGCTGGATCGCGGACGAGGGCGGGATCCCGTACATTTTGTTCAGCTTGTCGTCTATGCGGTCCATGTAGTCGTGCACAGCAGCGTTGACCTTGTCGATCTCGTTTCGCCGCCTGCTCTTCTGCAGCTGTGGAGGACGAGTTCCATCCAACAATAAACTTGTTGGCGAGGCAGGAGACATGGCGGGCGATGGTCTACACGTATCGCTGGCATCGTCCCGGAAACGAACCTCTCTGCCTGCAGGCGGGGAGTCACTCAGCGCCTTGGTCACGTCGAGCTGTTGCCATTCACTCAGAAACCTCTCCACCTCTTCGGAGCGACGTGATGCATTCCAGCTCATTCGAGGAGGTAAGGGCGACACCGAAGCCGGTGGACTCGCACACGCTGTTTGATCCACGCTATTCTCACACTGCCGCCGTCGGGGTGAGCCACCGCGTTGGTCGGAATCCTCAACGTCGATCACCGGCGAGTATGCAGGTTTCTTCTTCGATCTCATCGATGGACTCGCAGCTTTCCTGTCGCTGGTTCCGGTACCACGAAGCGTGTAGAGCTCCCTTGCCTTGCTCCGGTACCCTGATGGTTCCTCCGAGTCACTTTCTTCGCCTTCATTGAAACTTTTCTCCAGCTCCCGCAGCTTCTCTTCACGAAGCTCTCGCTCTGCCTGCTCTTGTTGACGTCTGAGATGAGTCACCACCGTCTGCAGCGTTGCCTTCTCCTGGACTTCCTGCTCCAGCTGCCAGCTAACCTTTTGGTAGAGCTCGTGCGCCTTCTTAACCGCTTGCTTCAGGCTCCGAACTTCCTCCTCCTGTCGACGCGCTGCGGCTTTCGCCTTGTCAGCCTTCACTTCCTCTTCAATGGAGCTACTCTTCAACTGATCAAGTTCGAGCCGTAGTGAGGCCTTCTCGGCCTCCATCCGAGCGATTCGACCTTCAGCATCCGACACCTCGACTTGAAGAGTTTCAATCTTTGCCTGGGCTTCCACCAGTTCGTCCTCCCTTGACTGGATCTCTTGGTCCTTCGCTTGCTGCTCCAGTTGAGTTCGTTGCATCTCCTGGTCGTTCTGACTGCGCAGGGTCGCCATCTCATCTTGTAGCTCCTCCGTCTTTTTCAGCAGCACCTCCATGTCTTCCAGGCTATTCGCTTGCTGGTCCAACTGGAACTGGAACTCATAGTTCTCTTTCTGCAAGGAGTTGCGTTGGTAGTGCAGGTCTTCCACGCGTTTACCGAGTGCCAGTATGCGCTTGCGAATCAAGGCGACAGTCGGAATGTCCTCTTCGGATAACGGAGCGGTGTCGTAGTCAGTCATGTCGCCACGTGCAGCGACCCTCATCTTAACTGGTCGACGACGACGCTCAAGCAGTGCCTGGCAATGGAAGGTGCCGTTGGTGCTGGCCAGTAAAAGCTCTTTCGCGGCCGGATTGATAGCCATAACGACTTTGAGGATCAAACTGCCGAATGAAGACGGCACATAGCCCGACGATGCCGAGGCAGACTCCATCACTTCCGCGACCTTTTCAGTGATCTCCATTTTCTTCAGACGCTCGAGCAGTGGCCGAAGCGAAAGTCGAGACAAAGTCTGCTGGGGTGGCAGCACTTTAATGACCGTAGGCTGGGATGACAACGCGCTCGCCCTCTTCCTCGATCTCACCACCTTGAGTGGAGCACACAGTCCGAACGCGCTCTCTTCGCTTGAGCTGGTGGGGCAGTCACCGAAATGCTGGAACCGATTCATCGCAAACACGGCGATAACCACGCGTCGGAACAGCCGTCGACGCTGACGCTCTTTGGCCTTCTCTTCGTTCGGAGCTGCTGCTGGAATCATCTCTTTCAACACTTGTCCGATGCACTCGATCTGCTCATGAGCTTGAGCAAACTCGGCGTTCTCACGCAGCAGCAGACGCCTCTGAGCAAGCAGCTCGCTGACTTGGAGGATCAGCGGCTGCACAACCAGCACGAAAAGATGCAGAATCGTTGCAAACACGGGCAGATCTTGCTCAAAACCGTCCACCATGTGCTGAAGCTTCGCGTTGTTCTCTTCAGCTTCAGCGAGTCGAGCCGATTCCTCTTGAAGCCTTGTCTCTAAAGTGGAACGCTCACTGTCCACGTCTTCAATGCGTTGCTCAAAGTGCAGTTTTTGCTCCTGTGCGTTCTTGTTGTGGACACGCTCCATCTCCTCCAGAGCCTCTTTGAACTCCTCTTCCTTGGCGGTGAGCTCCTTTTCGATCGCGCGCAGATCATCTTGGGCCTCTTGTAACCCTCGAGACTGCTTCTCACTATCAAGTCGCCAGTGATCCCTCATCGACACAACAGCATCGACTTCCTTCCCCAAAGAAGCAACCGAGCGCGCAAGCGGCTCAACATCCACCGAGTCCGGTCCATCCCAGGACTCCTCTGTCTTCAGCGCATGATGCAGCTCCTTTCTCAGCCGAAGCACTAGTTGTCCGCATTTCTTCAGCTCTGCTTCCAGCTCCTCGCTTTTCTCACACGCCTGCTCACTCCACTTCAAGACCTCGGTCTTCTCTTGGCTGATGATCTCGCGTGCTTGCTCAGCCAGTTTTCGCTGCTCCCGCAGCTCCTTCATTTTGGTCGCGTCTTCCGCCCGCAAGTGTTCCAGCTCGGTTGCTCGTTCGACAGCGAGCGCTAGTTTGCTTCCCTGTTGCCGGACGAGGTGACGCGCCCGTTGAAACTCGTGCACGACGTTCATCATCTCATTCCGCAGTGCAGATATTGCAGCCTGAACTACCTGAAGCTCCGGTACCTCTTGCCAAACTTCCTCTCGACGCGATCGCTCACAATCTACTGCAGTCTCCAGTGCCGCGTCATCAGAGTCGGACGAATTGTGCAGAGCCCTCTCGGCATATTTACGAAGTGCTTCCACTTGCTTCTGGGCCGTACGTAGCTCTGCGGCGACTTCAAACTTGAGGTCCTTAGTCACTGCCTCCACTTCTCCTAGGTGACTCTCGAGGATTTCGTACTCCTCGCGCATGTTGCCAATGGTAGTAGCGTCACTTTTGTGCTTGGCGACGTGTTCCTCCAGTTGCGAACCAAACCGCTGGAGTTGATCTTGATATGCTGATTTGCGCTCCTTCCAATGCTCTTTGAAGACCGACAACTGGTGCTCTAGCTCTCGTTGCTTCTCCAGCAGCAACCCGTTCTCTGCTTGCATCCGGTCCAACTGCATTTGCATCGTGCTGCGAACGTTCTCCACTTTTTTGCGCTTCTCACGCTCCTGGGAGTGCGTCTTCTGTAGGCCTTCCATGCCTTCCTCCATTCTCTTCACGCAATCTGCAGCGGACGCCTCGACAGACTCGCACTGCGCGGTCTTCTCCTTTATCATCGCAGTCAAGTCGGCAATCTCACGCTTGGCATCCTTGAGCTGAGAGCGGCGCTCAGCCACCTCTTCCTCTAGGGCTGCAACAGTTTTCTTATAGAACTCGAGCTCCTCCACAGTGCGATTTTCTTGCTGACGAAGTTGCTTCGTGTTGCGCTTCCATCGCTTCACCTCCAGAATCAACTCGGAAATCTCTGACTGCGAACTCACTTGGAGTTGGTCGCGCGCATCGCGTGCTTCCTGCAATGCGGTCTGGTACTCCCGGATCTCGGATTGAGCTGCAGTTAGCCTCTTCTGAGTCACTTTCAGCTTGTGAGCCGTTTGCGCTGCTGTTGCCAAGCCCATTTGATCTTGCTGTGCTCGGGCGTCCATCTCGCTCACCTCATCGCGCAAGCGCTTTACTTCACGCTCTCTAAGCTCATCACGCTCTTTCAGCGCTTCATTTCGTTCGCGTAATGCTCTCGATTCCTGTCGAAAGCGGTTGTTCTCCAGCTGCAAGCGCCGTAGGAGCTCTAGCTGGCGACGCAGTGCATCATTCGAAGCCTCCTGCTGCTGCACCTCCTCAAAAAATTCAGCCGGCACTTTACTACGGCTCACGCCCACACCATCTTCAGTTGTGGAACTCGATCCGGGCGGTAATCGCTGGCGATGAAAGTCAGCTCGTGCCCTCTCCTTGATGCGACGGAGCATGACTTGAGCATGACTATCATCCTCCTCGTCATCATCGTTGGCGCCGTCTTCAGGTAGAGTGAAATGGCGACTAACTTGCGTTCTTTGGCGTGACACCGAGCCCACGTTCGTGACTTGGTCCTTCTGGAAGCGAAACTGAGTCCTGGCACCACTTGCAACCTTCTTCAGTGAGTTGGCACGCTGCCTCGCCATACAATCTTGGTCGTCAGTTGACTGCGGTGAACCACTGCCGTTTGAAGAAGGAGAAGAGCCTTGATCTGCCCTCAGTCCTTCCAGTAGCTTCCGCTGGCGGGCATAGTGTGCTTGCTGCTGCTTCAGATTTCGCTGCAGCTTCGTCTCCATACGCTTGGCATCTCGGTCGAGTTGTCCGCGTCGAGCCTGGATGTGTCGCTGGATAGGCGAGTCCTCTTCATCGTTGCTCTCCTTGTGCTCGTCGCCGTCGTCGTGGCTTCCTATGCGGTTCCCATCTCGCGACAAATCGTCCAGACTGAGCACCAGCTCCGGCGACGGCGGCGGTGACGACGACGAGGGCGTCTGCACGATTTCTTGAGCGCCCGAGTGAGGTGGTGTATCGACCGTGTCTAGCGTCAGTTCGTGCGGAGCATCGGCCGATATCGGGCGCGCTCCTTCCATTGTCGATGGCGTTGGAGCCCCCCGTCGAGTAAGTGACCAGGTCAAGCAGGTTTCTGAGCTGCTGACTAACTGCCCGCACGGCTCTTCGTGTAGTAAAACTTCACGTCAATGACAGCAACCGCTGTAACAGCCCCACACCCGCACTGCATGAAACCACAGTACGGGATCAGCATCAGCACCACGATTACCAACCACTTACTCGAACGGTGCAACAAGACCCGACGGACTGCTCTAGGCCTCGCTGCACCGGGTAATTTTCAGAAGCTCGATATGTATTTTTTAAGGGCGAAGCACCCGCTGGGACGTCTTCAACCAGTTGGTTTGAAGCGGCCAACAGCGCAGCTCCGTCATCCGTCTACAAATGCACACACGCGCGCTGAGCGAGTGCAAGAACTACTGGGGACCTACGCCAGCGCACTAAGTCGTCTAGTCCACGTCTTCCACCGACGAGGCACCGGCCTTCCGCTGGCGCAGCGTCGAGTCCTCCTCCTGCTTGTCGGCGCCACCCGCGGAGAAGCTGGCCAGCACCTCCACGACGTCGCCGTTCTCCTCGCCCTTGGCCACCTCCGCGGCCGTGCGGCCATCGGACGCCTTGACCGCCAGCAGCTGCTCGCGCTTGGCCGCCGAAATGCTCGACAGCAGAGCCTCGGCCGCCTCCGGCCGGCCGTGGAAGGCGCTCCAGTGCAGCGCAGTCCAGCCATCTCCGTCCACCGCGAGCACGTCGGCCCCGGCCTTGACCACCTTCTTGATGAAGTCGTCCGTATCCACGGGCGAGCCGCAGGCCACCATGAGCGCCGTCCACTGGTCCTCGTCCGTCTTGGCGTTCACCTTGGCCTTCACGGCCGTCCAGAGCGCGTCGAAGTCGGCGTCGGCGCCGGCCGCCAGCGCCTCGGCGATGGCCTGCTCGGGCGTGACGTTCTTGGTCTCCTTCTTGGCCGTGGCCGACGCAGCAGCAGCAGCAGCAGGGGCAGCAGCCGAGGCGTCCACACCGGCCGCGGCCGCCGCCTCCTCCGCCGACTCGCCCTCGAGGCGCTCGTTCCAGATGCGGCCGTTGCGGCGGCCCAGCAGGTAGGCCTGCACCAGCGGGTTGTCCCAGAGGTTCATGGGCATCATGACGCTCTGGATCATGACGACGTGGTTGACGCCCATCTTGAAGTGGATGAGCGACGAGATGCCGGCGCCGATGAGCGTCTGCTTGATGAACTCGTTGGCCTTGGCCAGCTCGTGCGCCTCGTACGTGGTCTCCGTGAGCTCGGCGTAGTTGGGCGACTGGTCGAAGGGCGACTTGGGGCCGGGCACGAAGATCTTGCGCGTGTCGTGCTTGCGCTCGATGAGCTGCTTGAGGTAGAGCCCCACGAGCAGCGCCGTGGCCTGGCACACGAAGAAGGCCGTGCGCGCGGCGGTGAGCGTCGTCTCGTTCTCGAAGTCGATCTTGCCCATGAGGAAGATCATGGGCAGCATGATGAACATGCGCATGGGGCTCTGCTTCCCGGCCATGGCTGCAGTGAGGCCTGCCTGCTGACGTGGACCTGGACCAGAGGGGGCGCGAAACGCGGAATGAACCTTTTGACCGCTGCTTCGGTGGCGCCAGCAGATGCTGCAGTCGTTGAAGTACACTATACACGACGATTGTATCGATCTGCATAACGGGCGTTGATTGGTGGAAAGTGACGTGTTTTTTAACGGTCGAGTACCTCACATCAACTGAGCATGAAGGAGACTTGGAGGCGGACGTCGCGCGCGTAGGCGCTCCCGCTGTGCTGGACGTCGCGGCCGATGTGGCCGCACGTAGAGATGTGGGCGTCGTGGAGCACAGCGGCCACGTCTTCGTAGCTGGCCAGCAGCGGTCGCAAGGCCTGGACGAAGTTGAGGGACGCATCGTAGCTGCAGACTCTGCCGAGCGCGTCGAACTGCAGCTGCAGCGTCATGGGGACGTGGAGCTGCTGATTGATCAGTCGCTGGAGCAGTAGTGAGTGCTGCGGCTGCAGGAGGTGCGAGAACACGTGCTGGAAGGTCGACGAGACGACGCGCAGCGACAGCGTGAGCTGCGACTGGCACACGGCGTGGCCGACGGCCCCTGGCAGCACACTGAAGCTCTGTGCGTGCAGTGCCAGCGACCCGAAGAACGCTGTGTAGCGGCGCCACTGCTCCAGAAGCGAGTTCTGGCCGCGCAGCTCACCGTTCGACACGTCAGGGTGCACCACCTGCTGCACGAATCGGATCTGCTCTTGACTCGGGGAGGAGGATGGCAGCCATGGCTGGCTTTCGGTTGGTGCAAACACCGAACGGAAGCAGTGTACCAGGTCACGCGCTGTCTGGAGAATGTTGGGGGTTGAAGGCACTGCATTTGGTGACGGTGGCAGCGCGGCACTTGCTGAGATGGGGCAGTCGCAACGCTGGAGCTCGGCGTTTCGGAGACCGTGTAGCTCCGATTGCAAGTGACTGACTTCGGACTGCAGAGTCTCCACAGACGCTTGCAGGTCCCGTTCGTACTGACGCTTCCGCTCGAGATACCGCAGTTGTCGAGTGCGACTCTGCGCTCGACGTCGCTCCAGTCTGGACGAGTCGCTGCTGTCGCTGGAGCTCTCTGCAGATACGAGAAATGCTGTTAGAAGTGTACCGTGTAGCGACGACGCAGCCGTGGTTTGCAGCTTGAACGCGGTCGTCGTCACCTTGACGCGGATGATTTGTGGCCATTACGCAGATCAGGCAAGAGCTCCCAACGGGTCGCTTGCTTTTCGTGGCGTCGAGTGCGGTAATGTTACGTCAGGATAGCGCATGTGTGACGCGCTGCACTTTGCTCCAGAAGCGCGCCGAAATCCACATCGCTCGCGTGCTGGTCGCCAATCCACAAGAGAAACGCATCGGCTTCAACGCGAACCCCTCGAAATCGTCTTTGTTCGATGACGCTACGGTACCATCGGAATGGCAACTCAGAAGTGTATCTGCTTGCTGCATAAAAGCAGAAATATTCTAGTCGCTGCTGTCGTCGGGTCTTCTTGAATCGTAGCAACAATTACCTCATAGTATCAGTGGCTGCACGATGCGTTTGCACTCGGATGGACGTACTCGACTGGGAGACGGCGATGGGTACTGTAAAACACGCCATGGGTCTGCTGTTTGTCGAACGGATGCGCGCGCGTCATGAACACCACCGTCGTTGACAGAGGTGTAAGAAGGAGGCTACATTCGAGCTCGTTCAATTTATGGCGACTGACTTACAAATATCGTCCCTAGCTACCAGTTAGGAGAGAACTTTAGCACAGCTCGTGGACACAGCTGAATCATTTCCGGTGAAGTATTTCACGACGGATACGACGACAACATGAGCTACATCATGCTTCGAAGTATTCTACAGCTACTAGCTGACAAACAAGCGAGAAACAAGACATCTCGCATGGTGTCGACGTCGACGGCTGGGGCCGTCGTGGCCGAGACAACGACAGGTCTAGAAGCAACGATGTTCTTGTAGCGAGACGAATTCAAACAGGACACTAAGGGTAGTAGCTATTCGCTGTTGTGAATTATTTGCTGTTGCTGTTGAATTGTTGGGAGCTTGCCCACGCAGTAGCTAGCACTTGGCACCTCGTGTTTCGACCGAAGAAGCTGCGCACGTCGAAAATATCCGTGTCAAACCTTTAGATTTCTGCAGTATCCAGGTCGCGGAAGCCTTCCAGTACGGCTTCCAACAAATCAGCAGAGCACTGCATAATGGGCGGGGTCGCGACGCTCATGTCGATGCTGCAAAACAATCATCAAGAAAATGTCAGTTGGGCTGTTCATGAATACTCAAAACACACAGTTACCTACACTGGGAGCTCGAGCCGCTGCAAATGTGTCGTCTGCATCTCCCCGAAGCGACAAATCTGTGAATCTTGCTTGCTGATTGCGCCGCCCGCCGTCGAAGGCGCAGCATCAATCGCCACAGCGCAGCGAGCGCATTGTTCCGGTGTCCGCAACGCCCTTTTCAGAAGGCGACGGAGCTCTGCCTGGTGCTCGTTTAGCTGGATCACCGCCGCATGGGTCAGCTGTTGATCCGTCTTCAAGTCCTTGATGTCTTCCGCGATGCTGTCTACGCGCGGCAGGCCGAACGGGAGTACAACAGCTTGAGGGAGAAGGAGTTCCTCTGTCGAGACTTCAACTGCCTGTCGGCCAAGTGTCTGCCGCATCCAGCTCCGCACACGCGACGTCGCATCAACTGCGGCCTCTTTGGCTGTAGCCAAAATGCGCTTGGTCTGGGCGCTCTGAAGCGCGTCGGTAGCAGCGTCCTTCAGCTTGATGGAGAGTTCCACAGTGAGGAAGACGAGCTGCTCGCAGAACATCTCGAAGTCGGCAGAATACGGCAGTAGCTCATCAGAGGCGAAGGGAGCCTGGGAAGCAGAGGACATGGCGAGTTGTAGTGGCAGTGCGTGGTCTGGTGGAGGGAGCAAAATGCGGAATGCGATCATTGACTTCAAGTTGCGGGTCGAGAGTGATTGTCACTTCAACTTCAACTAATCATATTGTAGGTACAGCTCGGTTATCTCATGAAAGCAAGCCGCTGCCACGAGACATCATCGTCGTCACTTACCACGGCAGCTCGAAGTCCCCAAACTGCTTGTCAGCGTTGTAGAACTTGCCCGTGTCTTTCATCGACAGGTGGGCCACAATGTTTGCCATGCTCTCAGCCGAGTCGGAGGGCTTGAGGTAGCCCTGGTGGTCGTTCATGTCTGTGTCGACGTACCCAGGGTTGAGCGTCACGAAGACGATGTTGCTGTCGCGCAGTCCGACAGCCAGCGAGCGCGTGACCATGTTGAGTGCAGCCTTGGACGTGGCGTAGGCGTAAGCGTGGCCGAAAAACTGCTCGGTCGCGCTCGTATTGCAGCCGAGGCTGCCCAGGAACGATGACACCTGGGCGACGGTGGCGCTGCCATGGCTCTTGGCCGCGAGCTGCAGGTTCGGCAGCAACGCGCGGGTCACGAGGAACGGCCCGACGGCGTTCACCTCGAACTGGCGCATGAAGGCGTCCTTCTTGGCCGACTCCAAGTCGTCGGCAATGTAGATGCCAGCGTTGTTGATAAGCAGGTCGATGGGCACGCCCTCGAGTTGGCGGGCGGCTTCAAGCACCGAAGCTTCGTCGCTCGCCTCGAGCTGGACGGTCTTGAAGGGCGACAGGGCCATGAGCTGGTGGCAAATAGAAAGATTGTACGTTAGACTGTGAAAAGTGACTGGAAGTAAGCTACCAAGGGACCTTCGCTATAGACCTCGTCGGTGTTGCTGTTGGTCCGCGTCGTGCCGATGACGTTCCAGCCTTGTTTTGTGTAGTACTGCGCAAGGGCGAGGCCGATGCTGCGCGTGCTGCCCGTGATGAGAACCGTCCTCTTGGAGGCGGACATGGTGCTGATGGTGGTGGTCGGTGTGCTTGGTATGAAGCTTTTCGGAAAGTGAGGGCATTGGCAGCGCTGCTAGCCCTTGAGGTATCCCCGACTTCTAACGATTATGTCGGCGTGATCATCGCTTGCAATCAGCGTATCTTTCTCGAAGTGGAAAGCGTCAATTGCCCGGCTCACAGTGGACGTGCATTTGCAGTCCGTGGCGGCATGCTCTGCATTAGGAGCCGCTCGAGATAAGACCCGAATCGTGAGCGAGCTTCAGAATGCTGCGACGCTCCCAAGTTCTTATAAATTTGCATTGGTGTTGTTTCTCGCTAACGTAGTGGTTCAAAACACGTAGCAAGACTCGAACAATGTTTAACGAAGCATGGCCTGCAAAGTGAGGCACTCGAGATCTGCTACGTAGCCACGAGAGCCGTTGTTGTCTTCGCAGTCACTTCAAACGCCACTAATGACTGCCGTACTCACTTGTGAAGCTATCGCAGCTACAGGCAAACGGACTTCATTCCGATCGACTTAACCTCGCTACTTTGGAAGTGTAAGACAGCAGCCAATGAGTATTACACTCATTCACAGCATATTCGTTAGGGGGCACTCAACTCAGTTGGCCACACTGAGGAAAGAGCCGTACGGGTATTCCCCGGTCTGCAGTGTGAACGTCGCACAGAGCGGATTCGCGGCTGCGGTCTCATTGTACACGTCGCAGTCCGTCTCGGGATTGATGGCGACAACATAGTCCGCGTCTTCGGCCACCTGCTTGAGACCCTGCCCGATTTGGGGGTAGTACACGCTCCAGTCGTCCGCCGTCAGCGTAAAGTAGACGTGCTGCGATTGACCAGGCTCGAGGCTGATCTTCGAGAACTTCTTGAGCTGCTTCACCTCCGGCACCGAGATAGAGCGGTACGGCTGCGTGATGAAGAGCATGACAGTCTCCTTGCCGACCACGCTACCAGAATTCGTCACAGTGACCGATACGTCGATGGTGTCGGAGCTAGACGTCACGGTAGTCCTGCTAAGCACCAAGTCCGAGTAGGTGAAGTTGGTGTAGCTCAAACCCGCGCCGAAATCCCACTGCATCTCGCAGTACTCGTTGTCAGCGCAGCGCGTCGATACGCGGTGGTTGTACGGCATCAAGATATTGGCAGCGTCTTTCGGGTACGTGATCGGCATGCGTCCGCTCGGGTTCACATGGCCGTAGATGATCTCTGCTAGGGCCTTGCCTGCTTGTTCGCAAGCCAGTATGCCGTTGATAACAGCGTGGACATGTGCAGGGAGTCCTCCCAGTAAACGCGGGCGGCCTTCGAACAAGACGAGGATGACCTTGGAACCAGACGAGGCTAGCTCCTTGACGTATTCAACTTGACCGGCGGGGAGGGCCAAATCGTCAAGGTCCCCGGTCTTTTCTGCGTATGGCTCCTCGCCAATCACCACAACCGTGTACTCAGCCTGATGGCAAGTCGCTTCGCCGTGGTCAGATTGGCGTCCGAGTAGATTCCATCGGCGTTGAGTCCATTGAAGTAGGTGACCTTGTCCCCTGCAAAAGCCTCCAAGCCCTCCTTCACTGAAATGCCGTTCGGGAAGTACTCGTTGCCTGTGTAGCCGTGCCAGCGGACACTCCAGCCACCACACTGGTTACCGATATTGTGGGCCGAGTGGCCAGTGAGGAAGATTGTAGACGAACTTGGGATCGGCAGTGTGCTGTCGTTGTTCTGCAGGAGCACAATGGACTCACGAGCCATCTCCAATGAACCAGGTCGGCACCGGGCATTGGGTTATCAAACAAGCCCACTTGTAGCTTGGTATTGATGATACGGTGTGCAGATTCCTTCAGGCGATCCAGGTACTCAGGACTTTGTTCGAGGAGAGCCTTGGTGGCGTTCAGATACTTTGTGTCGTAGGCCATGCTCATATCGATACCCGTCAGATTGTACGAGAATCGGATGGACTCGTTCACATTGCGAGCGATGCGGTGGGCTGTGCTGTAATCCCCGAACTCATCGAAGTCGGAGACCGTCAGGCCGGTGAACCCGAGGTCTTCGCGCAGGAGCTGCTGCAGGATCTTGTGGTTACCGATCACCGGGACGCCGTTAATCGAAATGTAGTTCTCCATAGCTGTCTTAACCCCCGCGGCAATGGCAGCCTTGAAAGGTGGCACGAAGTAGTTGAGAAGGTCGAAGTCCGAAAGCTGCGTGCCGTCCTTGTCGCGGCCGGTAGGCGTCTTCGAGTACGCAACGAAATGCTTCATACACGCCGCGGTCTGGTTGTTGGCCTGCAACCCACGAATGAGGGATTCGCTCATGACAGTCACCAGATACGTGTCCACCCGAACGTCTCGTAAGTGCGCGGCCACAGCGGGTTGCTCGAAATCTCGAGAATAGGGCCAAATACCCAAGGCACCCCCGCTGCGAGCGTATCCTGGGCGCTGATGAGGCCCATGTTACAGACCAAGTCCGGGTTGAACGTCGCGGCGGCGTTGATCTGAGCACCAAAGAGCGTTGCGTTCAACACGAAGCCAGCACCATGAACCGAGTCGAGACCGTAAATCATCGGCACGCCGTTGTTCTCTTCCATGACGATGCCTTGGATGCGGGCAATGTTGCTCCGCCACTTCGTAGCGTTCCATCCAGCCTCACCAGTAATCGCGTTGGGGGAAGTCACGAATGGCGAGACCAGGAAAGACCCGACGTGGAGATTGGCGAAGGTCCTCACCACTTCTTCGTTCAGCGAGTAGTCTTCGTTCAGCATGTAGTTGATGCTGATCTGCGTCAATTGACCGACGACCTCATCCGGCGACAAGTTTTCGACGATGACAGCTGCGCGCGCGTCCAGGTCGTCCGTAGCAGCACCCGCTGCCAGACTCAAAGCAGTGCAGCACGCCGCGATGAGCCAGTATCCAAGCATGAACAGAGTTGTTTGGCTCCCAACGAAGGAATTTCGGAAATGACCTCGTGATTCACATCACAAAGGCAAATCGCTTCGTGGTCTTCTCAATTGCTGTTAGCTTGAGCTTGACAACTAACGTCACGCCATGCAGTATCGCCCGGTCACTCTTTTCAGCAGTATAAGCGTATTAGCGGCACGCGATACATGACCACTCCCGGTGATTTTGTTGAAGGAGTACAGTGGTGAAGTGATACTTTTCACTGGAAGCTCCAGTCAGTGATGTGAATGGGGGGACAAATTGCACCACAGTAGTGCCCCTACCACTTCAAGTGGTAGATAGATCTTCAACCACTCTCCGAGTATTTGCCTCTCGAGCACACGTTTGGCAAGGACAGTAGCCAGGTAGATAAAGGTTGGCCTGACCGAATCCTTCGGGTTTTCATGTTCTCGGATTGGGTCGTAGTTGCCGGCCGCGTGGTAGACAGATCTTCGGCCTCGACAGACACCAGCCCGCTCTCTTCAAGCACTGCATGCGAGTGCTGCCGCTTCCTACGATAACCTTGCTAGCGAGAGCCGCATTCAACTTTTCGTTTCACCAAGCTACACGCAGTCCGATTCAAAGACCAGGTACGTAGCGTTTCCACCCGTCGACATCAATAAAGTTATTCCGGTTGACGCCCAGATCGATACCAACCACGCAACGCTTGTATCCATGACGTGCGAACAACCCCCCCCCCCTCAAACGCCGGGACAGCTAACCAGATGCCGAAAGCCGACGCCAATGACCGGAATCCCGATCAATCGAGCGAGAAGAGGAATGAACACTGTCCTAACAACGTGTAAATGACGATCCGGGGCAGTGATGTATCACTGTTGTGTGTTGTGTGTGTGTGCTGCATCGGAATGCACCACCACGCAAATCCATGTCTTGCGCCGCCAAGGCTCACAGCCAAGTTCACAGCCTCACGGGCTTCGTCGTCTTGCTCCAACAATCTCACAGCCCGAACCCATCGAGGAGGTGCCACCTGCCAACTGGTCATTCGACTAATGAGCTCGGCGTCATCACTCGTCGCAAGTGACGATCGCACCACTGCGACACCAAGAAGATCGCCGCTCGTGCGAGAACCATGCTGATGCTGGTGCAGCAGAGCGTGTGGATTTTCCCAGCGCTTACGACGCTGCAGAGAGACTTGCAATGGGCGGAGGCGATCATTTAGCCGCGTTGCAAGTACCGTAGAATCAGGCTGCTTGGTACAGTACAAAATCTCTACAATTTTGGTCCGTTCTCGAATTTTCTAGAAAAATGACTGCTGCAGGCCCCGCACTGAGATGCGCCGCCTCCAACGAGGCGCAAGAAGAGGGGCGTGTTCTCCCTACGCCCGCACTATCCGCCCCCCATCGCCGCTCTGCCCTCGTGGCAGGAACGATGGCGAATTGCCGCTCGACGCTCGAGCGCGTCTCCGGAGCAAAAATCATAGTTTTGCCATATGTGCATAACCGCGCACTACCGCACCCCGTCCCCTAGACGGGGGTACACTTGTAACACCCGGCGGGGTTACACGGTCTCCCGCACGGCTTGACTTGGCCCCAGTATTGAAAGCGGAGCAGGAGTCGGCGCGTCGAGCATCAAGCAGCAGGCAGCAGCAGCAGCAGCGCTCGGGGCACCTCGTCGAGACCCAAGCGCACGCGAGTTCAGAGGCAAGGGCATCCGTCCGTCGACTGCGGCGTCCGCTCCGTGGCCTCGTTCCTTCGCCGGCGGTGGACGCGCCGCGTGTCCGTCCGTCCGTCCGCCCGCCTGCCCGCATTGCTGTTGTTGTGTTACTGTAGTGAAGTGTCGTAAGAGATGACCAGGAGGGAAGACGGCCGCCTTGGCCGCGCGAGGCGCAGGTGCAGTCTGCTGCTCGTCGCTCTGGCCGCCGCCGCAGCAGCAGCGCTGCTAGGGCCCGCCGCATCGGCCCACGTTCAGCCGTCTTCTTCTACCGCCGCCTACTCGTACGCCGTGGCGCAGTCCCCCGACGTGGTCGTGGCCGGCGGACTGGACGGCCGCGTGTACGCCGTCAACGCCTGGTCGGGCGAAGTGCTCTGGTCCTTCGACTCGGGCGGCCCCATGGTGGACTCGTCGCAGTGTCTGAGCGTGCACCAGAGCCCCGAGATGCCGCCCAGCTACCACTCGGCGGCTGCGCGCGAACACGAACGCGAACATGCTCATGCTCATGCCCCAGCTCAAGCCGAAGCCGACGTGGACGCCGACGGAAGCGTCCGCGTGGCGGCCGCAGACAAGCAGGTGGAGGACCGCTCCGTGATGCAGCACCAGACGGCCTCGGCGCAGGCCATGGCGGCCAGCGCGGCCTTTATGTCGCAGTTGGTGCCGTCCTACGACGGCCGACTGTACCACTTCTCCAAGAGCAAGGTCAAGGAGCTCGGCATGACCATGGCCGACATTGTCAATGTGAACGGCCCCGTGCGCGTGGCGGTGGATCCGACTACAAGCGGAGACGTGAAGGGACCCAGAGTGGAAGGCTCCGCGGCGGCAGACATTATGCTGTTCGGGGAGAAGAAGCTGGAGATGTTTACGCTGGACGCAGTGAGCGGATTCCGTCGCCCGTATTCGTCGCCCTCCGCCGCATCGACCGCGTGGTCCAGTGAGATCCTGTTCGGCCGTTCGGAGTTCACGACGCGGGCTGTTCACTCGCGCAACGCGTCGTCGACGCGGTGCTTCAAGATTTCAGAGTTCTTCTTGGACTTTGCCCAGCAGGCGCACTGTTCTGTTGGAGATGGCGGCCACAACATGGCCCCGGAGATCCTCGTCATGCCCAAGGACCCGAACTCAGCTTTGGAAGACGAAGGCTCGACTATTGTGGCGTTTGACCCGTGGACAAATGAACAGCTATGGGAATTCGAGGTGCCTGACTTCGATGTCCTTGCTGTCTATGGTGTTTCTACTGCGCGTGGAGCTACCTTCTACAAGTGGAAGGTCGATGGTCCGTCCTCAACCGCGACCAAGCAAGGACAACGACCAGCTCAAGTGGAAAATAGCGCAGTAAACCATAACCACAGAATTGAAGCGAGCTCAGAACATCAAGCGGCGACGAAAGCACGCGTGGAGCGGGAGAAACAGCTACCGCAGGCAGAGAAGCAGCTAGTGCAAGTTGTTCCACGCACATGGGATACGATGGAGTCAAGGTTCCGTCTGCGTCTACTGGGGGACAATTATTTTCTCGAGTCAAGTGAAGATGATGGTGTGGTGGACCACGATATTGGGCAAGTCTCTCATGGATCACCACCTACTTTCCACGGGAGGCAGGCCGACGATGCCCACGATTTCCACGAAGACATGGGAGCTCGTAAGCGGCGTCGAATCTTCTGGGAACCGATTGTGAATGACGGCAAACGCGGCGTCTTCATCACGTACACGCATGTTGGAGCTATGCTTTTGGGAGTGACGACATGTGGCATGCTTCTAGCTTGGGGCTGCTACGTGAAAGGTCTTTCAGCATCGTTGGCACAGTCGGCGATCAAGAGCATGGACCAAAGCCAGTTCTTCACGTCTCATGTGCACCGCCTCACTATCCAGCGTCCAGGAGAAGAGGACATTGTTATCTCAAGTGTCATTAGTCGCTCACTCATGATGAACACGTTGGGAGTGAACAGCCAGGTGCCGCTGTTGGAGAATGGTGAGCCCGTGAGTGTGTTGTCAACTGAAGTCAGTGCTAGTGTTGACCCTGCGGCCGAAGGAATGCTCATGGAGAAGTTCTCGCGTCTGGCTGCTAACGAAGCTGCCGCAATCCTTCTCGGTGGTGGCAACGCTGGTGTCAAACACAAGTTGCTCGAAGCTGATCCAGATGCAGATTCTAACGCAACAACAGCTACATCTACCTCCTCTTCCTCATCATTAACGGACATGATTGTCCGAGGAATCTCGACATCGTCTTCTACACTCCGGGTTTCCAACCATGGTTCGGCTCGCGCAAGCAACAGGCTGGTGCTTCCGTACGCAGAAGACAAGTACCAGACGAATGACAACGTTTCAGACGTGTACGAATTCAAGATGCTCCCAGCCAGCGAGGAGGCAGAGTTTCTGTCACCTAACGCCGACAACGTATTTGACGGCGATCGGTTTGAACTGGCGGATTCGGATGATGAAATGTTTCCCGAGGGTGAAGAGTCGGCGGGAACGCTGAATGCTGCAAAATCGATTAGCTCGTCAGGAGATTCTACTACTGGTAGTTGCTGCAGTAACAGTAGCAGTGGCAGTAGCCAAGCTATGAGCAAGTCGAACGACACAGCGGGTCTTCTTGCGGAAGAACGGGCAGATGAAACCACTGATGAAAAGTCCAGCGAGGAGAAGTCAAATGCGCAAGAATCGTCGGAATCGTCCTCATCCGACTCCGGTTCCTCTCCCAATGAGGCAGAAGTGCTCTTCCCGTTTGTGTGTCAAAGTCGCTTTGTGAATGAGTTTGAAGAATTGTCTGCGATTGGCAAGGGAGGCTTTGGCCAAGTCATGCTCGCCGAAAACCGCTTGGATGGACGCAAGTATGCCATCAAGCGGGTAGGATTGAACCTGAAGAACCAGACATCCAAGACATTGCAGAAGTTCTTGCGGGAAGTGAAGATTCTGGCGTTGCTCGACCACCCCAACATCGTCCGGTACTACCAGGCGTGGTTAGAGAAGGTCGAAGAAAGTGCCAAGAGATCATCCGTCGTACCGTCTTCGGTTGCCTCGGACACGAGCTCGTTCGGCGGCCTAGCAAACGCCCAAAACTACTCGATGAGCAATCTGTTGGCGCCGATCTCGGAGCTCGAGTTTTCCGGTAACCAGCGACAGCTTGAGACGTTCTACAGCAACGGAAGCATGATGAGCGATAATGACGACGATGGCTTTGAGTGGGAGCGTGGATCATCGTCTGGCGTAGAGGATGAAAATGGGTGGAAGGAGGAAGACCTGGTCGTTCAGAATAAGCCTCGCACAAAAAACGTGCCGTCTCGGGTATCGTCTTCGCGCTCTCCAGGTGCTCTTGGCAGTGAAGAGGATTCTTCGTTCAACGCTGCGGAGAAGTGCGACCACTGGCTGTACATTCAGATGCAGTACTGCGCCGGCCGCAACCTGGCGGACTATCTAGCCGTGCCCACTCGCCCAATGGAGTTGTCGAGAATGCTCAAGATTTTCGTACAAATCGCCAGCGCCTTAGCACACGTGCATTCTTGCGGGCTGATTCATCGGGATCTCAAGCCAGCGAACATTTTCGTCGCGGATGTGGAGAGGGACGAGATCAAATTGGGAGATTTCGGGCTGTCACGCTACGCTGCGAACGTGAACAACCTGAACGCATCGGCCACCCTCGATGATTCCCAGCAAGGGCCTCCAAGCTCTGGCGGTCTAAGGGAGACCCCGTTGTCAATGTCTGTGTGGTCAAACATGTCGGAGAGCAACGAGGTCACGGCGGGTGTTGGCACGTATCTGTATGCGAGTCCTGAACAAGTCGCTGGCAAGAAGTACAACGCCAAAACCGACGTCTACTCCCTGGGAATGATCCTGTTCGAGCTGTGCCACGAGCGGTTCGGGACGACAATGGAGCGGTACATCACTCTCCGCGACGCGCGCGACAGCAAGTTCCCTGCCGACCTCCGCGCGGCCAAGAGGTGCCCTGAAATCCTGGATATGCTGCGCAAGCTTCTGAGCCACGATCCGGCTACGCGGCCAACCGCCGACGAGGTTGTGCAGTGGGGGCAGATGATGTACGAGACCAGCCTGGCGCAGAAAGCCATGGACGTGGTGCGATCGCCGCGCAACTTGGACATCGCACGAGCTACTGGCGGCGCGTACCCGTTCGTCCCCGGCATCGAGCACTTGATGGCTGGAGGCCCCGTTGAAGTCGTGGCCACTACCACGTTCTCGCTCAAGGTGGAGGCTGTGATGGAGCACTCGAGTGGCGACGAAGGCGGTGAGCGCCGCTTGCCCAACCATAATTTATTGAAGCAAGTGTGCGATGTGATCGCCGGCGTGAGCAACGGCAAGGTGGAGATCAAGAAGTGCGGGCTGCACATGCAGAGCGAGGGCGTGACGATCCTCGAGTTCGAGCTCGACCCGCAGGCTGCGATCGCAGAGGCTCCAGGCAGCGACGTGGAAGGCACCGTGGTGATGGCCATCGAGGCGCTGGCTGGCGTGCAGATCGTGCACCGTGTGAGCAAGATCGACTGAGCCGCAGCCGGTTGGTCGGGCCGAAACCCACAAGAAAAACGCAAGTATGAGTTAGTAGTTGAACCGAGTACAATAAAAAAAATACCCGTCCTGGTCAAGCAGGCATGAAATCCGTCACCGTTCAAAGCCACCTTCACTCTCCAGGCACGTTGACGTGAACAGCCAGGCGTGTCGCTAGTCGGTTCCTTCACTTTGAGCCGGGCTATTGACGTTTTTCACTTCGTAAGATACGTTGATTAGCGGTGATGATCACGCGAAGCGTGACGCTCAGAACCGCTGCTGCAGCACTGGAGCTCACTTTCCGAAAAGCTTCCTACCAAGCACACCGACCACCACCTTAGCACCCTCAGCACCATGTCCTCCACCAGCACCATGACCTCCTCCACCAAGAAGACGGTTCTCATCACGGGCAGCACGCGCAGCATCGGCCTCGCCCTCGCGCAGTACTACACGAAGCAAGGCTGGAATGTCATCGGCACGACGCGGGCCAACAGCAACACCGACGAGGTCCGTGCCAGGCTCTGGCTTGCATGCGCTCCTACTACCTTTTCACGCCCTAACGTATTCTCTTTCTCGTTGCCACCAGCTCATGGCCCTGTCGCCCTTCAAGACCGTCCAGCTCGAGGCGAGCGACGAAGACTCGGTGCTTGAGGCCGCACGCCAACTCGAGGGCGTGTCCATCGACCTGCTTATCAACAACGCCGGCATCTGGATCCCCGACGACCTCCAGTCAGCCAAGAAGGAATCCTTCATGCGCCAGTTCGAGGTGAACGCCGTCGGACCGTTCCTCTTGACCCGTGCGTTGCTGCCGAACCTGCAGCTCGCGGCCAAGAGCCACGGCAGCGCCACCGTCGCCCAGGTGTCGTCAATGCTGGGCAGCCTCCGCAGCAACACGAGCGAGATGGAGCAGTTCTTCAGCACTTCCTACGCTTATTCGATGTCCAAGGCTGCACTCAACATGGTCACGCGCTCGCTGGCTGTCGGACTGCGCGACAGCAACATCGTCTTCGTGACGCTCAACCCTGGGTACGTCGACACGGACATGAACGACCACCAGGGCTACCTCAAGCCCTCCGACTCGGCTGAGAGCATGGCCAACATCGTGGCCAACCTGTCGATGAAAGACACGGGCAAGTTCTACAACGCCGACAAGCAGCTCGGCGACTTCGAGCTGCCGTGGTAAGCGAACGTGGTGTTAAGCCCATGCGGCAGCGACGAGACCGACCGAGCTACTGTACCAACAAGTAGTTGGACAAGTTTTAAAGTTGAAGTGACGCCCGCAACTTGTAGTGATAATCAACGATGGTATTTTGCTTTCTTTTTGCGCTGGGTTCTCGTCATCTGCGGCGCAAAGCTCCCCATTGAGATGAGGTTGCCTTTCCCCAGAGCCCCTGCTTCGATGCCTGTGGCTGTAGCCATAATAATGACTGCAGTTAATGCAGTGTGTGGCGCTGGCTGTGGAAACCGTCATGTTTGGTCTGCTGCATGGGGACGCCATCTTTAAGAAATGCAGGACCAGGAAACGCGGGCGGTGGTCTAGCTGAACGAGGGTCACGACTTGGTCTAGCTACGCGTGCGGTGACTTTAGTCTAAATGGTGTTCAAGTCGGTCTGTACGGCGAATCAACACGAAAGAGTTTGTGTGCGGTGGTGTTGTGTTAATAGAGACTTTTAGAAGCACCGCTTTTTTTTTTTTTTACAGTTTTAGCAGAATAGCATAGCATGGGCACCAGGTATGCGTGTTTTCGGCATCCGTCAAACGGTAAGAGTGAGCTCTCATACCGTTGATCGAATTTCAAAATCACGTAAAGCGAAACTGGGGAAGTTGAGGCATGCGGGGCAAGCGCACGTTCTCGAAAGACCTTCGTGGTAGCGGGAGCATGTTTGTGGGTGTGCGCATGCCCTAAATGCATTATGTGTGCTCCAAAAGCGATGCGTGCAGATTGATACGGGCTTTCACCACGTCATTCCCTAAAATGCTTCCTTGATTGACAACACGGTATCGATATCTACGTGTCGTTTCAGTGCTTCTAATTAGAGAGCAGTTCTTCGTGTTTGGAACTAGAAAAATCTGGATAAAACTTCGGTAGATTACGGATAAATTACGGATGTTCCGGTAATTGGAACATCAGCCAGTAATTTATCCTATCCGGCTTTTATCAGGATTTTATCCAGATTTTCCTTACTCCAAAACTAAAGTTCTCTGTTCGTCACGGATTTTCAGCTTGTGGCGTGTACTAGATGCACTGCAACAGCAACATTCACAACGATTTTCTGGAATTCGTAAGTTGGGATGTCTCGGCGACATGAATTTGCCGAATAGAAGACCAATTGGTGATTCAAGCCGTGGTGAAGCTCTGGACTTTATCACGTCGTTAGTTTTTTTTTATTGTAGGCAACCGTAGTAAATGCTGGGCATTCGTTGGCGTAAGGCATCGCCAACTACCGCCACTGCCAACCTTCTACTCAGTACGGGTGCCTCTTAGCACGTTCAGCTGATCGCGTAGTTGTTGGCATTGCGCAAAAAGCTCGTCTCGCTCCTTTCGAGTGACCTCAAGAGCCTGGGTGGCTCGATCGAGCTCATTTTGAGCTTCCTGTGCTCGAGCATCCCGCTGTCGCTGTCTCTCGGCGGCGTCAGCATCGTCTCTTTTGCTTTTGTTGCCTCCTGCTTCGTCTTCGTCCTCCTCGTCGAACGCGTCCTCTTCGTACTCAGCGTCGCGTTGCTCGGCCAGAAGATCCTGCCAGTACTCAACCGTCTGCGTCTGCTGCTCGCGCTGGCGCAGCACCTGCAGATAAAGCTTCTCGGCGGTGTCGAGCTTCTCCTGCAACAATTGAACCTGCTCTTGGTGCCAGAGGCCAGAAGGGGTCTCGCTGGACGCCCCCGTCAAGTCTGACTCGCGTTGTTTGGGCGGCAACAAGCTCAACCGACTGCTCTGCGAACGTTGAATGCTGTGACTTGATGCCGAGGTGGCCAGTTGGCTATCCATACGCGTTAAGAAGCCCTCCACTTCGAGTAGCCGGCTCTGCCATTGACCGCTGACCGTTCTGTGCCCAAAGCCAACACTTTTGCTCGACTCAGCGCCACTACCCACTGCCACCTTTGACTTCTCCTCTTGATCCTTCTGCTGCTGTCGGACATGGGCAAACAGGCCTTGGTAGCAACGCACCAATAGCGCGTACAGCTGCGAGATGAAGTGCGGGTGCGTCAGGTCGCTAGTTTGCGCTCGAGCCTGTGCCAAGGCGTGCAACATCACGACTGCGAGCTGTCCGGTGGAGAGCTCGTGCAACGCTGACAAGGACAAGTACAGGGCGGCTTTCCCGCCTTGGTCATGACAACTCACATATCCTCCACCTCCACCTCCATTGTTGCCATGCGCGAAGCTCTCAACAACCGTCAGTGCAGTTCCAGGCCCTTCCTTAGTCGACACCGTTCGAAGCAGAAGCTCTGCAAACTCTCGTCGCGCTCGCATCCGCTCATCCAGCTCGTTCACCGAAACGTGAGCGAGCTTCGTCAAGTCCAGCTCTTTTGCGTCCAGCACTCCTAACAACGACGAAGCCTCACCATCCCCCACGGACCCCTTTTCGTAGCGACATCCTGCTGCTACAGCCTGTGCGACTGCACGTCGATATGCAGCCAAACCAGTGTCGTCCTCCTGCTGTAAGGTAGTCTGCTCCGGTTCATTAACCTTCTGCGGGGTTTCTTCCTGCTCGCTGCGCTTGAAGGCAGCTATCAGCGCCTCAATTTTCGTCAGACGCTCTTCCAAAAGGTCCTCCAGACGTTTGGCTACTTCTGCTGTTAGGGCCGACTGTGGTGCTTCGGCAGCTTGTTGCTGGGTTTGCGGATCGGTTGGGGCTGGCGGTGCCGAAGAGGAAGTTGTTGCAAGAAGCTCTTGCTTCTGTCGGAGCCCCGCCTTCTCCTGCACGAGGCGCTGGTTCATCACGGCGATAATGATCTGGGCCTTGCGACGGAATTCGTCTTCTACCAGAGCCTTTTGTTGCGCCATCCGAGCTCGAACGCGCGATTTCTGCTGTTGCCCACGTCCTTCAAGCATGAGCGTAAGACGCTGGAGTTGGGCAGTGTGCTCTCGCTGCGCCGCCTCGCGCTGCTTGGTCTTCCCAGAAGGCAACGCCTGCAGCCTTGTCGCCAGCATTTGGGTCATAGCGAGTCGTTCCTCGGCTAAGAGCGCTGCGAGGCGAGCGTCAACTTGTGCGAGCTGGTCCTGTTTCTCTTGTGCTAGACGCTCCAGCTCCGACCGCTTGTCTTCCTCGAGTTCGCGTCGTCGTTCATTCGCTTCGAGCTCCAATCGAGCACGGAGCTCCGCCACGAGGTCTTCAGCTTCACGCTGCGCTGCACTCATCATAGGCTGCTGTGGCTGCTGCTGAATGGGTTGAGTCTGGGCAGCGGCCGCTGGCATATTGGCAAGTGCCGCTGTGTGCTGTGCGTCGAAATGTGCCAGGAGATACGCGATCTCGCGCATCTGACGCTCCTTGAGGAGTTTTTCAGCTTGGTGCTTGGCCTCCTCGCTCTCCTGTGCAGCTTGCCACTCTGCCTCACGTAGTCTCTCGGCAAACTCGGCGTCGATCGCTGCGAGCACGCGCTCCGTCTCCGATTCCGTTTGGTCTTCGCCGCCTTGTCGACTTGAACCCTTCATTAGAGCCTGTGCCTTCCGAGCGGCCTTCTCCTGCGTCACGGCTTGAAGAGCCCGCCGAACGTCCTCCATACTTCTCGCTGCAATTTCAGCGAGTTGCGCCGCCAGTTCTCGCTCGTGGCGAGCACCAACAACCAGCTCAACCGCCCCGAGCAGTGGCAGCTTCAACGGTACAAGTCCATACGTGAAGAGCTGCTGAACGGCGACCACATCTTGCTGCTGCTGTCGAGCAGCTCGAATCATAGCGCCAGCCTTCTCCTCGGCAGGAGACAACACAGCACGAGCTTCAGCTTGCTCAACCGCGGTTTCTTCGACAACGGGAGTCGCCGCTTCCTTGGCGGCCTGCGCTAGTGCGGCCTCGAGCTCCTTCTCGGCCTTGGCCGTGTCTTCTGCTTCCTGCTGCTGCCGCGCGTGCAAACGTTGACGCTCTAACTCTCGTTTCTCCTCGAGCTCACGCAGCTTTCGGGCCTTCTTGGCAGCGATTCGAGACTCCAGCCGAGCCTTCTGAGCAGCGCCATCAGCGCTGTGGGTCTCGCGAAGCTCGCGTAAGTTCGTGTCGAACTCACGCGCCATTTTGTCGGCCGTCTCGATTGCCTGTTGCTGCAATTGTAGCGCCAACGCCTCTGCTCGCTTGGCAGCTTGCTCCTCGGCTTCTCGGGCGAGACGAGCTTCCAGCTCGTCCTTCTCGCGCCGCTGTCGAGCGCGCTCTTCCTCCAGCTTCTGCGCCAGTCGAACAGCAATCTCTTGTCGCTCCTTCTCCTCTGCCTCAGCCTCTGCTTCTGCTTGGGACTTGGCCAAAGCTTCAGCCTTTTCACGTTCAGCAGCGATTCGAGCGTCTTCTTCGGCATCAGCATTGGTCTGCTGAGCTTTAGCACCGCTAGTAGCGGCTTCCTCCTCCAGTCGCTGCTTTCGAGCACGTCGTTGGGCAATTCGCTGCTGCAGTTTTTCCTCCTGTCTCGCCTGCTCCTGGGCCAGTGAAGCTGTCAGCGCTCGCAGTTCACGCTCATGCTCTTCCTGTAGGCGGTTCATTTCCTGTTGAGCCAGTTGCTGCTGTCGCTCTGCGCGCTCACGCTCTTGCTGCTGCTTGCGCTCCTGCAGCGCCCGAAGATCTTCTTCCTGTTTGCGTTGAATCGCTTCCCAGGCTTCTTGTTCCTGTGCTGCTAGCGCTGCGGCTAGTGCGGCCTCCTCCTCTTCTTGCTGCTTGCGCTCGGCTTCTTCTGCGGTTTTCACGTCACCTTTTGCGGCGGCTTGGGCGTCGGCTAAGGCACGCTTCTCCTTCCGGCGAGCGATCCTTTCCTGCAGAGCACGCTCTTGTCGCTCGCGCTCCGCCTGCAGGGACTCGCGCAGCTTGGCGGACTCGGCGTCATGGATTTCCCGACATGCTGCTAGCTGGGCTTCAATCTGCGCCTCGAGACGGAGACGCTCAGCGTCGTCCTCCAAACTCTGCGCACTCGGCTCGAGTGTAGCGCTCTCCTGCTGATCCTTTTCGGCTTGTCGCTGCTGGTTCTTGAGCTGCTGCTTACGCTTCTTCTCGGCTAAGCGGTCCGCAAGCTTTTGCCTCGACTTAGCCGCCTCCGCTGCATCAAGCTGCTGCGTTTCTCCTCGGTGTCTGTCAAACTCGGCTGCAACTCGCGCTGCTTCATCCTGCGCTTGACGAGCGGCTGCGGCAGCTTGAGCCGCGGCTGTAGCTGCATCTTGGAGCTCAGCGGCAGCCTGGCGCAATGCTGCTTCTTGCCGTTTGCGTTCTTGTGCCAGCGCCGCTGCCTGCTCCTGCATAATCTCTGCCTGCAACCCAGCCATTGCCGCTTCGTCGTCAGTAACAGCCTCGCTGTCTTGCTGGCTTTCAGCTCCCTTTGCCTCACGCGCTGCCTTCTTCTTCGCCAGCTTCTCCCGAAGCTGCGCCTCGCGCTTCTGCTGATCCGCTAGCAACGCCTCTTGCAGAGAGCGCCGCTCTCGCGCGTGTTCTTCCTCAAGTCGCTTAAGTTCGCGCTCTGCTGCAGCTTGTAAGTCGAAAGCAGCTAGTCTCTGGGCTTCAGCCTCTTGCTCCAGCTTTCGGGCGATGCCGGCCAGCTCCTGCTGCTGTCGATCAACGAGCTGTTGTCGTGCAGCGCGCTCTTGGTCATCCATCTCGGCTTGGGCCGTTTGAACCTCTAGCTCCACCGCAGCATCCTCCGCGTCGCCATCTTCATTGTTGCCACCACCTTCATCCGCCTTATGCCGCTGTCGCTTCGCAGCCAGCCTTTGCTTGAGCGCTAGCTCCTGCCGAGCACGCTCGGCTCGAAGAGCTTCCTTCAACCTGGCCGATTCCTGCTCATGAGCCAGCTTACACGCTGCAAGCTGCCGCTCGATGTCTGCTGCACCGCGTTCGCTGGCTACCCGCATAGATGTTGCAAGGAGCTCCTGCTCACGCGCAGCTTCCGCCTCCAGCTCGGCCTCTTTCACTGCGCGGTCGCGTTCAATAGCCTGCAACTCCTGTTGCTCCTCCAGTAGTAGGGCGGCAGCCACTTCAGAATCCTCACCACCAGATGAAGCGCTCGCTGCAGCCCGTCGTTTCTGCTCCAATCGAGCCGCCAATGCGGCTTTGCGAGCTGCTGTCTCCGCTTCAAGCTGCTCTCGTCGAGACTTCATACCGCGTGCGTGCGCGGCCTGCACACTCGCGATTTCTCGATCAACAGAGCCGTCATCTTCAGGCTCGCTAGCCATCGACTCCATTAGCGTCGTCGTTGCTTTCTTTGCCAGCTCGGTAGACTCGATGATGTCCCGCGGCTCCTGTCGCTCCCTGTTCTGTCGTCGCTTTAGCTTTCGCTCAGCTAAGCGTCTCGCCATCTCCTCTCGACCGATTGAGCGCTCGGCCGCAGCTCCCTGTAGTCTCGTAGCTAGAGCTGCTTCATACTCAGCTCTCACACGTTCGGCTTCAAGACGAGCAGCGTCAAGCAGTCCCAGGGAAGCCTCCTCCGCAGCTCTATTGGCTGACAACACGCACATTTGCGCCAGCAGCCCCGTTTCCTTCTCGCGACGAGCTTCTTGAGCTTCAGCCTTCGTGTTGGCCCAGTTCGCTTCGAAAGCTGAATCCAATGCCTCCATCGCTAGTCGCTCTTCCTCCTTCGCTTCGTCATCTGACACAGTTGAGCCACATGCTTGCTGCTGCTCACGCTTTCGACGGAGCTTGTCATGCAGTGCGAGTTGTTGGCGCTTCTTCTCGTCCTCGAGGTTTGCGCGCAGCTCCGCCAAGTGTCGATCGTGCTCAGCAGCAAGACGCTCCAGCTCTTCCCGAGCCCTGCGTTCGGCTAGCTCTGCATCACCAAGTCGCTTCTCGACTGCAGCTTCGAGTGGAGCTAGTATCGCGTCAACCTCTCTCTGCTCTTGGTCACGTAGTGCAGTCCACGCTTGAACTTCTTGGGCCGCAAGCTGCTCGTCCAGCTCTCGCTTCAACTCCTCCTCCTCTGTCCCCTCCGTTCCTTGCGCCGGCATCGGCATGATTCCATCCCTTCTAGCAGCTCGCCTCTGGCGAAGACGCTCTTGAAGGAGCTGTTCCTGTTTGCGGCGCTCCGTCTCCAGCGCCTCACGCAGTTTGCGCTGCGCTTCATCGTGCTTCTTCCTAGTCGCCTCCAAGAGTGCGTCCAAATCGTCGCTACTTGACGCTAGACCTCCGACCAGAGCGTCTGCAGTTTGCTCCTTGGTGTGTTGAATCGCCAACGCAAGCGCTTGCGCGGCTGAAGCGGCAGACGCATCGATAGCTAAGTTTTCCTGCTGCTCTTCACGATCCAAAGCAGCCTCTGCGCGCTCCCTCTCACTCGACGACAGCGACATATTATCCTGTAGCGCCTGGCGTTTGCGTTGCAGTCGCTCCGCTAGTTGCGCTTTGCGCAGACGACTCTCGTCTTCCAGTCGCTTCTTCAGTGCGCCCCACTCGCGGTCGTGCTCGTCACGCAGCCTTTGTAACTCGCCTTCCAAGTCATCTACTACCACAGCCTGTGCCTCAGGTGACAACACCACTGCTGATAGAGGCGCATCTTCCGGTCTTGCTAACCCCTGCGGGCCGGTTGGCGCTGATGCTGGTGCTGATGCAGCAGACGGCTTGACTTTCCGACTGCGCTTCGAAGCTAGCCGTTGTTCGAGTCTGCGTCGACGGTCTTGAGCCTTCAACGCATCCACGTCCATATCGCCCAAACACGCGTAGAATTCACGGGTGATCCTGTCGGCTTCTGCGCAATGAGCTGCCGCCAAAGCCTCACGAGCTGCCTGAGCGGCTTCCGCTTCTGCGCGCAGTCGACGTGTTTCAGCCTGCAGGGTCGACTCCTTCGCCCGCATCTTGTCATCCAGCTCCTGCAGCGCCTGGGACGTTTGCTCACTTGTTGTTGCGTCCAGCCGCAGACGCTCGTGCTCATGATCGCGGTCAATCTCCGTCATTGCCTGCTGCACCATGTCATCCGTCAAATCGGTCGGGTGGCCTCGCTTCAGCTCCGCAAGGCGCTCGGCTCGACGCTTTGCCATGCGCTCAAGCAGTTTGTCCTGCTGCCGACGCTGCTCGATGCCTAGCGATTCACGGAGCGCGCGTCTCCCCTCTTCATGGTCCCGATAAATTCTGTTCAGCTTGTCCTCACTCGCAGCAAACTTTGCGTTTGCATCGTCGCAGCGCACTTTAGCCTTGCGGTCTGCCTCAGCGAACGCAGCTCCTACTTCATCTCGAAGTCTCTCGTGGAGTGCACTAAGCTGCTGCGTCTCCCTTTCAGCAATTGCACGCAGTTCTGCCGCCTCTTCTTCACTTAAAGCACTGTCCAGAGTTTCAAGCGCATCGGGGTCAGAGCCTTTACCGCCTTGTTCCAGCTCCTGAACTTTGTCTCGGCGCTTCTGCTTAAGACGCTCACGCAGAGCCTCTTGTTGAGCTTGTCGCTGAACTCGTAGTGCATCACGCAGAGCGGCAGTCTCAGTCTCGAACGTCGAATGGCAAGCTGCTAGTAATGCTTCAATGTCCGTCGTGCTTTGAGCAGCTGCCGACAGCACGGTGGTCGCGAGTTGCTCGAGATCCGCGTCGGCCTCCGCCTCCATTGCGAATTTCCGCTTGATTGCTTCGGTTTTGAGCTGCTGCAGAAGGTTTTCTTCGTCCTTGTCGGTGTCGATGGGAGTTTGCCCTGGGGTCTTGTCGTCGCTTACAAGTTGACGCTTAGCCTCGCGCTTGCGGCGCAGTCGGGCTTCCAACTCGGCCTTGCGTCGCGCTTCATCGTCCTGCAACTCTTGCTGTCGCTGCTGCCACGCGCGGAGATGGCTCGCACTCAACGCCTTGATCTGCTGCTCCACTTCAGCCGCCATAATCTCGGCCACAACATTATCTTTGGTAGCGCTGGTGCCGGGTTTCTCAAGTGCAGCAGGCACGGCTAAAGCTGCCAAACGAGACACCACGCTCCGCTTTCGGACGACCATCTCTGCGGCATCTTTCACCGACGACTTGCGAGTCTGTCGGGCCCTCCACAGTCGCATCAAAGTCGCCAATTCCTCATCGTTATCGTCTCTACTGGCCAAGATTTCGCCTCTGGCTTGGACAACCGCTTCTTTTGTGGCAATAGCCGCCGCCTCCGCGACACAGGCATCTCGGAGCTGCTGCGACAGTCGGTCTTCGTGTTCACGCTGCTTGGCTCGCTCTTCTTCATACGCACGCTGAGCTTGGGTCTCGAGCTGCTCTTCCAGTCTTTCTCTCTCCAGCGACTCCTGCTTGGCAATGACAGCATTCATCTCCGCCACTTCCTTCGGTGAAGATCCAGGCGGAAGCTGCTTTTGTTGCTGCTCGCGTCGCTGTGCCATTCTCTGTTGCAGTCGTTGCGTCTGTCGGCGCTTCTCCGCGTCTAGCGCCTGGGTAAGCGCCCACAGAGCGTTGGCGCTTTCGTCCCTGAGGCGCTCGATCTCACTTTCCGTCGCTGCTCGGACCGCGGCGGCAGCTTTCTCCCGCTTGGCGGCCTCGTTCTCCAGTGCGTCCAGTGCATTCACCACCGTCTGAGTGAGTCCCTTCGCTCCTTCATCATCGCCTGGAGCGAGTTTGCTCAGCGCGAGCTCGTAGTCTTGTCTGGTGAAGCGAAGCTTTCCTTCGACTTCCTTGCCACACTTGTGCAGCGTCGAGGCCAACGCCTTCGCCAGCGTCTTTCCTGCTTGCCGTTCGCTGTCATCAAGTGCTGCCATTGCAGCCTTGAGACTTTCGTCAACCTCAGCCAACGCCGCCATCTCTTTGTCATCGAGGCGCTCAGATAGAGAACTCGTCGACTGGGCCTTCCCGGGTTCTTTAGCCTCTTCGCCCTTGCTCATCTCTAGCCACCTGCGATTGATCTTCTCCTGTAAACGCGTTTTGCGCAACGCTGCATCGGCCTCCAGCTCTCGCCTGCGCTCAGTACACGCCCGTACGTAGTTCGCGTGGAGCTCGTCAAACGCTTCCTGGGTTCGCTGTTCAATCTGCGCAGGGATTCGACTGGCAAGGGTCTCCAGCAGCTCCCCCGTTAGGTCGAGTCGAGCGCGTGGCGTCTGAGCTGCTGCAGAGGTCGCTGCTGGAGGTTCAGCAGCAGCTTGGCTGCTGGGTTCTAGGTCATCCAGGAACGCTAACTGAGCGTCTGCCACCGCGACAGCGATAGTCGCTTGAGCTTTCTGCGCCTCGATTTCTTGCTGGTGTTGGAAGTGTTTCTCCCGCAGCTCCTCGATGGCTTTCTCAGTGAACTCGGCCAGTTGGGTCTCCAACTCCTCCTCCTCCTCCTCTGGAGAGGCTTCGTCGCCATCACCGTAGTTTTCGTCAACGTAGACATCATTGCTGCTGCCATCCTGTGCCGTTCCTCTACGACGGCGCTTAGCCGACAACTTTTCTCGCATTTTGGCTTCGAGGCGCAGTCGCTCGTTTTCGATCTCCCCCCTCAACGCCATAAATTCGCGGTCGTATTCGCTTTGAAGCTTTTGAAGCTCCGCCTCGGCCTTCGCAAAGATGCTCTCCCCTTGCCCTTTATCCGCTTGAGCTGCATTCCTCGCCGCTATCGTGAACTCTGAGACAGCATCCACAGGCTGAAGAGAACCTTGTTGACTTGAACTCCGATCAAGAGGAGTGCTAACTTGACACTCCTCTACTCGCTCTCGAAGACGATTAATCGCGCGAGTCACAGCTTCTTGTTGGCGCGCGTCCATGTCGTCCTGCTGCTTCACGACTGCTTCTAGCGCTTCTTCCTTTCTCTCCGCGGTTTCAACCACCAATTTTTGTGCCTCCTTCTCCGACAATGGAACGCCGTCACCCTCATTTTCACCCGGAAAAGCCTCATTCGGCGTCTTCCGCTTACGCTGCAGCCGCTCCTTCAGCTGCTCTCTTCGAAGCGCGTCCTCCATTGCGAGAACTCGCACGCGATCACTCCACGCCTGTGAGTACACGTCGTTGAGCTGCGCGATGATGTCAGCGTTGTCGTCCCCAGGGATTCCAGGTTCAAGGCCTTCACCTTCATCTGAGAACTCTCCGACTTCAATCAGCCCTGGTGGAAGGCTTTCATCTCCTCCCATGCCTGCATCGAAATCTTCCATCAGATCCCCTGGGGGCTCCGCGAAGTCTCCCCCAGCCTCGTCCCCGCCAGCTCCGAACTCCATCTCAAGACTCGACAACTCCTGCAGGTACTCCTGCTCAATGGCCAGCTCTTCCTCTCGGAACTGCGACTCCAACGATTGTTCCTCCTCGTCGTGCTGAGCCTTCAACACGTCGGCATCTTCCTGCTCTCGACGCTGCACTTGCGCCTTCTGGGCCTCGCGCAGTACCTCCCTTGCTGCCTGCCTCGTCGCCAGCTCAGCTTGCGTGCGCGTAGCCTCCACACTGATAGCCGACTGAATCTTACGCAGATCCGAAGCAAAATCGTCCAGAAGACGCTCCTTCTCCACCGCCGAGAGCTGAGGGTAAGTCGCATCAAGTGCCAACGCATACTCCGCGGCACTTTGTCGCGTGTCACTCTCAATTTTACGCTTGCTTTCTGCTAGTACTCGAGGATCTGCAGCCTTGGTCGGTGCGTTGTCGGATGTACCCATCGCAAACTGTTCAGGATTGACCGTCGAGGGCACGCCGTTAGTCCGAAGCAGAGTCGTAAGTCCAACGAGAAGCTCCTTGATCTGGAAAAGCGTGTCGTCTCGGAGCTTAGTCGCAGCCTCTTCCTCTGCTGATGGAGTGGGAGGTTGGGGGGTCTCAACTCTCGCAGCTTCAGACACTTGGGCATTAACTGCTGTCATACGGTCCTTCTGTTCCTGGTCGGCCATCTTCCATTGCTCTTTCGCGCTGCCCACAGCTCTACTCAGTGCGTCTTCTGCCTGTTGAGCGCCGTGTTGCAGCTTCAGAGCTCGTTGCGCCTCCTTCTCCAGCTTTTCATTCACCTTCTTCGCCCCCGCCGCGACTTCCTTGAGCAATTTACTGAGACGGCTCTGCATCTGAGCCTGCACATTGCGCTCCTTGACAGGGTTTTGCTCCTCGCGCACAGCGTCCAGCTCGCGACGGAAGCTGGCCTCCAAGTCGTCAAGTGTAGCGAGAACTTGCGGTAGCGCGGCTCCAAACTTCTGCAGCGTCGGCATCGGACCGAAGAGCGCCTCGTCCTCCCTGCTCTGGGCTTTCTCCACCTCATTGCGCAGCTCCAACAACTCTTCGACAGCCGTATCCGAGTCTTGAGTTGCTGTCCCGGTCGTACTCGTACGTTGAGGAGGCGTAAAATATCGCTGCGATGCCTCCAGCACGAAGTTGCCCACTTCACGCCGACCCTTCTCCGCTTCCGCGAGGTGGATAAGCGACGACGATGTTTGAGTCATTGGGTCAGAGCCCAGTAGCCTCTTCAAGTCGTCGAGAACAACGCGAGTATGCTCCAGACAGGTCTCTTCGTTCGTGCTAGTGCGCTCCGGCACAGCTTCATCACTAGGCGAGGACATTTCCTGCACCATCGCTCCAGTCAATTCCGCTAGCTGCGTACTCCAGCCTTCGATCTCGCGCAGACCCGCGCTCACACTGCCCAACATGGCGTCCTTCTTCCGCTCAAACTGCTGACGCTCCTGCAGATCGCGCTCCAGGTTCTCCAGCAGAAACTTCTCCCTACCCGCCACACTCTTCGACCTCGGACGTCCACTGATCGTGCTCAACGGGAGCTCTTCAGGCGCCTCCTCCTTCGCATCAAACGATACTGGAAAATCACCGCCCTCTTTGCTTGCGCTCGAAGGTGACGCGGACATTAAGTCAGACGCCACCAGTGCGTTCACGAACAGCCTCTTGAGCTCACTCGCTTCGGCTTGTAAGTGCTGCATCAACTGCTTCATGTCCCCCTTTTGGTCCTCGAAGCTCTTGGACACGGCCTCGTGATGGAACTGCAGTCTGTCCACGAGCTCTCGCAGATCCAGGTCCTCCTCATCCCAGCGACCTAAATCCGCATGGTATTCCATCGCGTTGCCCTTGGTCGGCTCCTGGCCGCCCAGTTGGAGCTCTTTCACCCCCGTCGTCGTTGGCTCAGTCGCCAGCAGACTTCCGTCGCCTACAGGAGCGTCGCTGGTAGTATTCACAGCAACCGTCCCCTTCGAGTGCATGGCCGAGAGGTTCACTTGCTTGCTCTTGGCTCGGTACCCGCTGACGCTCTTCACCGCCGTGTTGGTCCAGCTCTTGGCGCGGAAGTAGTAGAGCCCTGCAATGACTGCTATCACTACACCGAAGAGCCCGCCCAGCAGCCCCACGATGAGCGCCCAGTCCGGCGCCAAAATGAGGTCGTCCGTTCGGCGCTTAGCGCTGACGGTGATCAAGTTCTTCTCGTTGAGCGGGACGATGGCCGCTTCCGTGGGGCAGCTCGTGCCGGCCTTCATGACTACCACAATCGTTTGGGCCGCAGCGTTTAGCGAATTCCCGAAGACGTAAGTGCCCGCCTCCGTGAATGAAAACGCGAAGGCGGACACGGTGCTGGCGTTCGCGTTCACCTTGGTGGCCAGCGCTCGGAAGGCGCCATAGTCGAAGCTGGGGTTCGTGTTGAGCATCGAGTCCTTCATGTAAATCGGATAGGCGCCGGCCACCGACAAGTCGAAGAGCAGACCGTTCCCCACCGACAAGCACACCATCGGGTTCGCGATGGAGGAAGGGGTCGATGCAGTGGTCAGTCGGCGTCTTCGTCGAGAAGCTGCATCGGAGATCGATGACGGGAGGTCGTAGGACCCCGAAAAGCCGGTCGAGGCCACTGCGATCGAGTGAAGCTGGCAGTCACTCCCTGTGGTGCACGACACCTTGGACACTAGACCACTACTAGAAGTGCCGTCGTCCTCCGGTAGGGGCGATACTTCACCCGTGGCTGGATCGTACAGCTGCAGCTCGCCCGTAGTGCTGTTGACCTGGAGCTGGATGGCGTCGTCGCGACACTTCTTGTTGCAGATTGTGTCTAGATCAGGTTGTTCGTCGCACTGACAGACGCCCAGACTCGCCACGTACGTGCCAGTTCCGTTGTTACAGCTCGCATCACAGGCCGTGCCGCTTGCATACACGCACAGGCCGCTATCGGAACGCACTTGGTTGCTGCTGCATCGGTCGTACACAATCGGCTGGCAGTCCACGTCTCCGTCTTCGTCGCTGCGGAGGATCATATCTTGGTCGTAGAACTCGTAGCCAGGCTCGCAGATGCAGTACCCGTCCGTCATCTGGAAGGCTCGGTGGCTGCCGACGCACGTGCATTTAGTGGCGCCAGTCCCCGCGTACGCGCTCGTTGAGCACGGCAAGCAGCTGGGCTGCCCCACCGCGTTCTGGTACGAGTTCTCTGGACAAAACAGGCAAGCGGACGCGTTCGTGGCCTTGTAGTTGGGCTGGTACGTTCCGCTAGGGCACGCGATCTCCGACGAGCTCCCTGCTGGGCAGTAGTACCCCGGTGGACAAGGGTAGCCCCTGTCACGCTCTCGACTCTCGGGGTGGCTTGAGTTTGTAGCTCCTAGACACACAAAACCTTCGAGGCATTCGTCGCAGCGAGTCCGGTTAGCATCAATACCGAACGTTGCGGGGGGACAAGCTTCACAGGAGGAATACAGCGACGTGTACGCTCCGTCCAGTGGAGTCGTGCGGCCAAGATACCCTAATGGACAGGGGATTGGAGCTGTCGTTCCGCTAGGGCAGTAGTGGCCGATGGTGCAGATGGAAGGCGAGTCAACGGCCGGTGAGCAGAAGTATCCCTCAGGGCATGTGACGGGTGTCGTGGTGTTATACGGGCAGTAGCTGCCACCAGGACACAGCAATGGCGAGCCTGCACCCTCAGGACAATACGTAGTTGCGTTGCACACTTGGGGTAGCGTAGCTCCTGCCTCGCAGTAGGACCCATTGACGCACAAGGCGCAGTCATCGGAGCTTCTTCCAGCGCCTACAGCTCGATAGGTCCCAGAAGGACAAGCGTGAGGCTCGCTCGAGCCTCGGAGGCAGTAGGACCCTGGTGGGCAGTCGTAGTCTGCGAGGCCGATGATCCCCGTCCGGTTGCAGAGCTTCCCTGCGTCGCAAGGCAGACAGTCCTCCAGCTTCGCTTGCCCTTCAACACCGTTAAAAGTCCCGGCTGGACAGGGAACTTCGCCAACGCCGTACGGGCAATAGGATCCAGCGGGGCAGGGGACGGTCTTGGTGCCGTCGTTGCAGCTCTTCCCTGCGGGACACGGGGCGCAGTCGCTCAGTGAGATCCCGAGTATTTCGAGGCGTGACGAGTTCTTGGGGCACGCAATGGGGTCCAGTACTCCCTCCGGGCAGTAGTAGCCGATCGGGCAGGGCCCTCCAAGCTCCGTCCTCCACACTAGGTCATCATCCGAGTCCGAGACGCCATCCATGGTATTCGTCGACGGATTCGGATTGTAATTGCTCATTTTACAGTAGTACCCCGCCGAACACGAGGCGGTGATCGTTCCCCCGACGCAGAACTTGCCTGCAGTGCACGGAGCACACTCCGTGGCGGCCGTCAGCCCCACAGCGTGTCCGTAGGTACCATTTGGGCACAACAAGGGGTTCTCAATCCCCTCTGGGCAATAGTAGCGAAGAGGACAAGGTACTGGAGCGGTAGCGTTCGTGCCGCAATAGCCTCCAGCGGGACAAGTGACGCAGGAGCTCTGCTTCTCAGCGCTGTTGTACGTCCCCTTTGGACAGCGGATCTGGCTGAACGATCCAAGCGGGCAGTAGTAACCGGGGTCGCATATCCTTCCTGTTGTGCCGTCAATCGGATCGGACAACCACGCGCCGCCGAGACAAACGTGGCCACCAGCACACAATCCCCCCGTAACTCCGTCAGTTGGCTCTGCTGTCGTCGCATTCCCGACGCAGTAGTGACCAGGCGCACAGTCACCCGACGTCGTGTTGGTTGGAGGCAATCCCGAGCAAAACTTCCCCGGCGGACAGCGTGCACACTCCTTCGAGCTTGCGAGAGCCCTCTGATCGCCGAAAGACCCCGCAAGGCACGGATACATGGTCGGAGACGGGGTTTGCAGGGGGCAGTAGTAGCCGTGAGGGCACTCCAGAGGCGTGATACTCCCGATCGCGCAGTAGTATCGTTCCGGGCACAGTTTGCATTGAGCCAGGCCTTTCTCGTCCGCGAACGACCCACCGGGGCACGGCGTTGGCTCGAAAGACCCCTCCGGACACTCGAAGCCCTTAGGACAAAGCTGCGTGGCCGTACTCTCTCCGCCAGTGCAGAGATACCCACCCGGGCACTTCTCGAATGGGGTGACGATCCCAGAAGAGCTGCAGAGGTAGCCAGGAGAGCACGGGAGGCAGTAGCTGGCGTTCACGTTTTGACTCGTCTCCGAATAGGTGCCTGGCGGACACGGAATGGGGTTGCTAGTGCCCTGCGGACAGTAGTGGCCTCTGGTGCACACGTCTCCAATGATCCCGAGCGAGTTGTTCTGGCCCGTCGGGGTGGCCGTATACGAACCTTGAACGCAGTAGAACCCTTCATGGCACGGTAGAGCGGCGTCAGTGTTTGTCGACGAGCAGTAAGCTCCGGCGTCACACACGATCGGCACCGCTGAGCCTTCGGGGCAATTGGTACCAGGGAGACACGGCCCGCCCGTTGCAGTAACTTCAGCCGGGGTTCCTGTCGGTGATCCCCCAGAGCAGTAGAATCCACTACGGCAATTGCCCTTGGGCTTCACAGCCGCGTACTCGTCGATGTAAGTGCCTCCTGGCGCGGGAGTGCACTGCGAGAGGTCCTGTAAACCGTAAACCGTACCAAATGACCCCGGTGGGCATGGGAATTGGGTACCTCTTTGAGTGCTTTCGGGGCAATAGTAGCCCATCGGGCACTCGTTGACAAGGTAATCGTTGCAGCCTAGTGGGCAATAGTATCCCCGTGGGCACGCGAGGCACGTAGCGGAGCCCGTGGTGTTGGTGTATGATCCTTCCGGGCACAATATCGGGCTGACAGAGCCCTGTGGACAATACGAACCAGTTGGACACGAATCTCCTCCAAAGTAGACGGCCAGCTCAGCACTGTCAGCCGTACTCACAATGCTCTTGACAACCCCCGACGACGGATTCGAGTGCGTGTTGTTGCGCTTGCAGAAGGAACCAGCGTCGCACAGCCCCGAGGGCTCCACGAGTCCTGCGTCGGAGCAGTACCTGCCTTCGTCACAAAACACGCAGTCGCTGGACTGTACAAGCCCGGTCGTATTCGAATAAGTCCCAACCGCACACGGTACAGGAAAATACGTGCCTTGCGGGCAATACGCGCCAGCGGGACAGACGTGGGTTTCGTTCTCTGCAGTCTTGCCATACGCGCTCTCGGATCGGGGAGGGCAGAAGTTCCCAGCAGCGCACAAACCCGTGGGCTGCACTAGCGCCACGCCGTCACAGAATGATCCTGGGGTGCATTCCAGACACTCGGTGGCGTTCGTGAGTCGGATGGCGCTGCTAAACGTGCCGATTGGGCATGGCACAGGGACTTCCGCAGTGCCGGCAGGGCAATAGTGGCCCGAAGGACAGTCCGCGTACGTGTTGGTAGCCACGCCGTCGCAGTAATACCCCATCGGGCACTCGTTGCAGATGCTTTGGCCCTTGTCTGCTGCGTACGTGCCAGCAGCACACTTGATAGGGGCCGAGCTCGCCTCGGGGCAGTAAAATCCTGCAGGACAGATTCCTCCAGTCACGCCGTCCGTTGGCGATGGCGAAGACGCATTCAAAACGCAATAGTAGCCAGCGCTGCACGACCCTGAGGGCGCTGTTAACCCTGTAGCACTGCAGTGCTTGCCTCCGGGGCAAAGCGAGCACGACGCCAGACTGGTTCCTCCCTTGGACGGTCGGAACGAGCCAACTGGACAGGTTATGGCACTTCCTGTGCCTTCGGGACAATAACTCGCGACCGGGCACACGTCACCATAGCTCTGGGCCACCGGGTTGGCAACTGGCGAGGCTCCGAAGCACACAAAGCCAGCTAGACAAGGTCCGCGTGGAGCTGATAACCCGTACGAATCGCAGTACTGCGCGCTGGGGCACGGCTCGCACTGCTCAATCTTCACGAGGCCCTGCACGTCTGCGAACGTCCCCGGTTCGCATTTCACAGGTAAGCTGGTCCCCTTGGGGCAATAGTTTCCCGTGGGGCAGATCGTTGGCGAGATCGTACCGGGCAATCCGCAGTAGTAGCCGGCGGGGCAAACGACGCACTGGTGCTGGGCTGGGTAGAGATTATATTGGCCTGGCGGACAGGGCGTCGGCGCAGTGGCCCCCTCCAGGGAGAACGACCCGCTGGGCGTCTCCATTTGCGTGGGCACCGCAGCTCCTCCAGTGCAGTAGTAGCCGGGGTGGCAGCTACCTGTAGGTTGAAGCAAGCCCGGGGTCTCACAATACTGGCCTGGATTACACGGAACGCATTGTGCCACAGACTCCAAACCGGTGAAGGGGTTGTACGTCCCCTGTGGGCACAACGTCGGCGACGAGGACCCCAGTGGACAGTAAGCTCCTTGAGGACACTGGTCGCCGGTGTGTCGGTTGGTCACGCCAAAGAGGGAGGACTCGTAATTCATCGGCGCTGAAGTGTAGGCCCCCAAGATGCAGTAGTAGCCAGGGTCGCAAAGTCCTCGAGGGACCGTAAGCGCCGTGGAATCACAATACATGCCTGGCGGACAAGCCAGACAGTCTTCCACCGCTCTAAGCCTCAAAGCATTAGCATACGTGCCAATTGGGCATGGCTCAGGGCTTGAAATGCCCGTACGGCAGTAATATCCCGCCGGGCAAGTGATCGGGTAGGCCGTCCCGATGGGGCAGTACGATCCAGAGACGCAGAGCGCGCAGTCCTCCTCGCTAGCCCCCATGCTGCGATTAATATAATATCGCTCTGGACACGGCACTTGGGTTTGAGATGTCGATCGCAGCGGACAGTAGAAGCCTGGAGCGCACACCCCCGTGGGCTGCAACGCGCCTGCAAGGCTGAAGTAACCTGCGGGTGTCGGCGTGCAGTCGCTCATGCTGTCTTGGCCGGTGCGGTTACTGTAGCTGCCCGCTGGGCAAATCACCGGAGCGGGGGTCGCTGTGGGGCAGAAGTATCCCGCCGGACAGGCATCCGTCTCCAGCGCTGGCTCACTATCCGATCCTGGCGGACAGTACGTGCCGTTGTAGCACGTGCCGTAGAGGGCCCCGGGCGCAGACCACCCCACCGCGTTCGAGCGCATATTCGCTGCGCTGGTCGTGTCGCTGTTGCAGAAGTAGCCGGCCTCGCATGTCGAGCACGCCTTGGCTCCGCTGGTGGAGAACTTGCCTTTGCCGCAAGGTTTGGGACTCACCGAGGCTTCGACGCAGTAGTAGCCGGCCGGGCACGTGACGCACGCTGGCCAAGCATCCGCCGGCCCCACTGTCTTGGTGTTGTTCACGGGCGTGTAGCTCCCAGCCTTGCAAGGTATCGGAGCGACGGAGCCCGCGGGGCAGTAGTAACCTGGCGGGCAGTCGTCGCACTGGCTGGGCTCGAACAATGACGTGCTGGATGTGTAGGTGCCACTTGGACACGGGAACTGCGTGCTCGAGTATGTCCCCAGCGGGCAATAGTGGCCCGGAGCGCAGTTTCCGTCGATAAAGGACTTGCCGCCTTGACAATACCTGCCTGGTGGACAGATATTGCACTCTTCAGCTGCTGCTAGCGACGTGCTCGAGCTCCAAGTCCCCGGTAAACACGGGAACTGGTTCGAGTACGCGGTGCCGTTCGGACAGAAGAAGCCTGGGCCACAATCCAACATGGTTTGCGTTTCGCCTCCGGTGCCCTGCAAACAGGCGTGGCGCAGCGGACAAATGGTACAGTCCTGCGCTCGGATCAGGTCGATGTTCTCGGTATACGTGCCAGCGGGGCACGGATGGTCTGTAGCGAGCACGGTGCCTCCAGGACAGTAATGGCCCTTTGCACAGCGATCGACGTAGTTGCTTTGACCCACGTGAGGACACGACCAGCCTGGGGGGCAGTCCAAGCACTCGTACAGATCCGCTGCTCCCGTCTGCGGGTTGTAAGTCCCCGCTGGGCAATTCGTCGGGGAGCTGCTCGCTTCGGGGCAATACTTGCCAACAGGACACTCGTGACACTGGGAGCCGATAACCAAGCCAGTTTGGTCGCCACTATACGTCCCTGCGGCACACGGGTACTGGTTCGCAGCGCGTGTGCCTTCGAGGCAGAAGTAGCCCAGTGGACACGTCTGCGGCTCCGAGCTGCCAGTTGGGCAGTAGCTGCCTGCCGGACAAACCTGGCACGCATCGGAGCTCTTCTGTCCTGCGTCCGGGTTGAATGTCCCCGATGGACAAGGGTTTTGAGACGCGCGCTTGGTGCCTTCGGGGCAGAAGAAGCCTGCGGGGCAAAGCTGCCGCGTGAGCGGAGTCGCTCCCATTTCGCAGTAATAACCTTCAGGGCATGGAGCACACGCGTGATCGATACTCTACACGACAACGCTGTTAGTACTGTTGCGTGAAAGGCTCTCAGGAGAGTGCTGAGTGAGCGCAGCGTACCTCGCCAGCCATTTTAGTTCCATAGGTTCCTGCAGGACACAAGAAGAAGGTCGTAGCCGGGTTGCAGTAGCCTCCCAGTGGGCACGCGTCTTCGGGCGGCGTCGGGTTCGTCGAGGCGAGGCTGCACTTGTATCCTGGATAGCACGAACGACAGTTGGCCACGGCACCTGCACTATAGTAGCCCACTGGACAAGGCTGCGGCAGTTGATCCGACCGCGGGCACTCGTAGCCTGGATCACAGGCCAGACAGCTTGTCGACGCGCGAAGGCTGTAGTAGCCGACCGAGCAGTTCTTGGGCATCTCGTTGGCCGTATCGCAGTAGTAACCTCGCGGGCACTCGACGCACGACCCGGAGCCTGACGTCGAGTAGTATCCTGCTTGGCACGGCTCGGCGCTGGAGCTGTTTGTGAACGCACAAGAGTAGCCGGCAGGGCACGGAGTGCAGGAACTCGCTCCACCAGTTGAGTACGTCCCCTTCGCGCAAGGAACGAGCAGTTTGGCCGTGGAATCTGGACACGCGTAGCCGGTAGGACAGGCAGTACACGCCGTGGCACCTGTCGAGCTGTAGTAGCCGTCAGGACAAGCGACCGGAGGGGAAGTCGTTGGGTCAGGGCACGCATAACCTGCGGGACAAATAGTGCACTGCACAGCGCCTCCCAGTGAGAACCATCCGGGTGCACACACCGCGCACGTCGAGGCCCCCTCAACACTGCTGTACGTGCCCAGCGCACATGCAACTGGGGCAGCAGTCGTAGCACTAGTGCAGGCGTAACCTCGAGGACACGCCTTACACGACAACGAGCCTGAAGCGCTGTAGTACCCCACACCACAGGGCTGAGGCTCTTGGCTTGTAGATGCACAGAAATGCCCACTCGGACACGCAGAACACACCAAACTACCCGCCAGAGAATACGACCCGCCCGAGCATGCAACGGGGCCGACTTTTGGGTCCACACATTCATAACCAACCGAGCACTTCGTACAGGGCGCAGCACCGGAGTCTGCAGCGTAAGTGCCTCCTGCACACATCTCTGGGTTGACGGAGCCTTGAGGGCAGTAGTAGCGCTCGGGGCACTGCGCGCACGATTCTTGGAGCGTCTTGTTGTTGTAACTTCCTGCGGCGCACTCGTGACACTGGACGTCGCCTGCTATTGAATACGAGCCAGCAGAACAAGGCTGGGGGCTGGCTTTTCGGTCGCTGCAGGATGCCCCCGCAGGACAAATGAGGCAGGTTGATTGTCCTTCAGAGGAGGCGTACATTCCACTTGGACAAGCTTGGCAGGTACTGACATCTTCAGCGAATGCAGCGCTGGACGAAGTACCCAGCGGACACGGCACCGGTGCTGAGCAGGACCCTGGACAGTAATACCCGAGAGGGCAGCCGACACATTGCGAGACCCCCGTTGTGATGTTGGGCAATGGGAACCAGCCTGCACGACACGGTTCCACGCATGACTCCATTGCGAGCGGCTCGTAGTACACTAGCACCTCATTTTGAGGGAAAACAGCGTCGGTTTTGGCGTTGTAGTTGAGATCGGCCGAGGCGAGCTGGTGAACAATTCCGCTGGTAGCTCGCACTGTGGACGCAGACGCAGACGCAACCACGTTGATCAGCCTCGGAGTGTTCCACGTGCTTGTCGTGAATGTCACTTGGTCCGGAAACGCCTCGATGTATGAGTCATGCGGCGCCAATTGAACGATCACGTCGCTGCTGGGCTGTGAGAGGAGCGATATCTCGTAACTGTCGTTGCGAAGACTCTCCACGACGGCGAGAAAGCGATCGGAGATGTGGACGCCGGGGAAATCGTTTTCGCTGACGTGCACTTCAACGTTGTCGACTGCAGCGAAGGTCCGTTCGTCATCCCCGCTGGAAATTATGTGGGGGATAACTACAACTGTCTCTGCAGTAGCTGTTCCACTCGCGACGTAGTCATTCGGTGCAGTGACCGTGATGTTGGCGGCGCTGGACCAGTTGGACGCCGTGAAAACCACTGATTCGGGCTCGACTGATAGCCTTGCACTGCTATCGGAATCTCCGACTGAAAGGACAACAACAGCATCCCCGTACGGCGGCGCGCTCAGCGACACCGTGTACTGTGTTCCAGTGGCGTCACCTTCAGCCACTTGCAACCTCCAAGAGCTTATCACAGCACGCGCCTTCGAGAGGAGTGTGTCCGACGTATCAACGTACGCCTGATCAATGATACGGCTAGCCGCATCAACCGTCTGCAACAGGATTGATGGACCAACTGGACCCTCGAGTGGCGGGTGAGCAACTCCGTCCAGCTCAATCGACACGTCCTGCATCTCCACGCTGTCTGTCCCCGATGCAGCGTCTCTCTTGATCCAAATCGCATTGTTCTTCACCAAGACCGTGAAAGTTCCATCCAATCCAACGATACTTGACAACGCCACACCCACCAACGACCCGTACATATACGGCAAGTAAACAACCACAGCTCCATCCGTCGGTAGCGAGTGCGCCAGCGTCATGTGAATTGCCAGCGACGAGCTGCGACCGCTCAGCAAATTCGAGAACGTCGACCGCGAGTTCCACAGCACTCCAGGCGCCACCTCCATGTCCGATAGCTGCAGCGTACGTGTGAACGTAGCGCCAGTGTCCGAGATCTCCATGGATCCGACGCTAATGCGACCGGCGCGACTGGGATTCGTCACTCCTGTCAACTTAAACCGAATCTGCGACCCGGAGGCGACCTCGGAGCCGTTGCCGCTGCGCTGCACTGTCAACGAGTTGGCGCTCGTGTCCACGTCGACGCTCCAAGTGCCGTCCAGCGCCTCACTCAGCGCCGCATCATCCAGCGCCGCGTCCGGTGCGACTGTGAACAGCGCGTCCAGCTGGATCTTGATCCGTGCGTCCACTGGCAGATGCGGGGTGTCCCCCGTCGTGAGCGCAACCTCAAGCGCCGGCGACGCCAACACCGTCGCGTTACTCCATGAGGCGGTGGCCGAGGCATCAACGGCGTCCACGACGCAGTGGAGCCCCGCAAGGAGCAGCAGCGCCAGAAACACAACCAGCCGCATCTTATCAAGTGGCCCTCGAAGAGACGCGAACCTAGCGGGCGAGCACCGAAATGTGTCGAACACCGAAATAGTGGTGCGCTTCAACCTCTGCCTCAGAGGCAGTGGCAGCTCAGGTGTCTGAACAGCCGTGCTCCTTGTGCTCGGAAAATAACATTTACCTCAACGTAGGTTGAAGCGCCATTGCCAGTGTCCATGCATGATTCGGGCCCAATTCCATGCTTGACCCGGGCTCAATCAATCATTGCTGCTCGGTCCGCCTTCCAGAATCAATTACCCGCAGCCTTCAGCAAATGAGAGTGGTTGCTGCACCCGTCCACTGGAGCCATCTTTTGAATTGTCCGCACTAATAACCTAACCAACTTCGTATACGCGGTATACTTTCGACTTTCAACCATTCATTCCTAAAACTGCGGCGAGCCGCCACACGCATGAATCCCCCCCGCCGCGCGGTCGCCCTGTTGGCCGTACAAGCATGCGCATGATGTCGACGACTACCGGTAGCGCCTAGTGGTGCTGCAGCGACACCTCGTGGCGACGATGACGTGGAGCGCTCCCTGGCTGGCTGGCAAGACTGCGGTCGGCGCAACACAAAAGGCGTCAGAGCCCCCCCCCCCCCTCCTCCCTGCGCGCGTTTGAAGAGATGCATGAGCATCAGGCCACCTCTCAGTCCTGTCAGGCAAGTAACTGTTCGGGGGAGATCTATGCATCACTTGGTGTATTCATACTCGTGTCTGTACGCGCAGCGGCCAGCTTTAACCGGCGGAGACAGAAGGCACTTCCTGCTCCGCTTTCAAACAGCTTTACCAGGAGAACAAGCGAAAGAGCGCAAGCAGAATGCGTGAGACTTCAGCGTTTGGGATCAGTTCGAGGGCGGGGCTATCGTCAGTCGGGTACAGCGGTATCAGTCGGGGAAAATAAGCTTCCAGTCGGGCAATCGGGTACGGTGACGGGTGACGGTGTTCTCAGTCGGGTACCGGTGGTGATGTTTGTTGTTTGCTTGGCTAGGTCAACGCATGCGCTCAAGTTGTTTACCTGTACAAGACTACAGCTCGTGGCGTGGCCACAAGAATCTTGCGAGCTGTTGGTAGGAGTTAACGTAAGAGAACGATGGAAAAAACAATGTAATGGACTGTCCGAGATGTGTAGTGTCCTGTACTGTTCGAAAATTCGCTCCCCGTAAGCTATGCACTTAGTCATTTCACTTAGAGGCCTCAAAGAGACCATTTGCAACCGAAGCAAAGCATAGGTCTGCAATGTTCGGCGCGTGGGCCGGAAGGTATGCCTAAGTAGGAGTTTCTATCTAATCCAGATACCTCGCCTGGTCGAGCCGAGGACTTAGCGTAAGGCTCGAGGGGGTGGGGCAGGTCGCGCAGCGGCGCCCCTCGAAGTGCCGTTGCTAAGTCCACAGGCGAGAGCCAACGTGAGAGTGTCCTACCCTCTTTAACATCAAGTAACAAGTGCTTAGTCGCTTTGGTGGTCGGCATTGGGCCTTCTCGAACATTCTTCATCTAACCGGTCTATACATGGAGTATACAATTTGCTTCAGTTTTGGTCGGTTCCTGACGGTCGTGGTCGGGCGCAAACGGGTACAATAGTCTCGTCACAGCCTAGTCTTCCATATGGTGGACGGGTGCATCAACAAGTGCCTTCAGCAAATTCATGCAGTTTCTTCCTGTAATGGGAGTCATCGTGTGTCGGTGGCCAGATTCGGTCTTCTCCACTTGCGTTGAGCCAAGACGGAGAAGTATGCACAGCATTAACAGCAACGTCGGGGTCACCAAATGGTCTCAGTGAAGGTTCGCTATCCGCCAATCCGTGCCTCAGGCTGGAGTCAATTCAGCAGCAGCAGCAGAACAACAACAACCGCCTCGGCGGCTGCACGTGTCGTCTCAAACGCAGCAATCGGATTTTTCGACGAGCAAGCCGCCTCCGTCACTTTACAATTCGTGCGCTCTTCTTCTTGTCTCAAGCGCTCAACGCAAACGATGCACAGCGCCGCCAGTGGATTTCGCTTCAAGCGAGCGAGCGACGACTGCGGGGCGCTTGCGGGCGTGGCGTTCGCCGACTCTGGTGACTCGTTTCTCGCCGATGCGTACCGTCTGGATCGAGCGCTCGGATGGGCTTCAGCCCCCAACCATGGATCGCATCGACCGAGGGACTTGAGCCAAGCCAGCGGCGCTGCTCAACGTCACGGGCTGAGCCCTTTGCCGCCTCGCCGATGCGGTTGCCATATGGATCGCGAGCGGTGCCTCATTCACAGTCAAGATAGGCGCCGGGCACAGCCACGAAGAGCGCACATATGGGGCTCTCAACATAACACACGACGCCTCTTGCTTTCGTGCACGTGTGTACGCATTACTTCAAGCGAAGCTGCATGTGCGATGGGTCCGGCCGGCCGTGGGCCACCCCCCAGTCCGATCCCCACTTGACGAAATCCCCCGCCTTCAGCACGCACACAGAGCTCCAGAGCCAACTCAAGTCATGCGCACGCCCACGGCGACAGTAGTAGACGGGTACTTGGAGCGGCGCGGGCGCCACCTGAAGAGCTGGCGACGCCGCTTCTTCGTGTTTGAGGACGGCATGCTGCTGCACAAGAAGAGGGACGGCCCGGGCGCCAAGGTCCTCCACGAGGACCGCGTGTTCGACGTGCTCTACTGGAGCGGGCGCCCTCACGGCCTCTGCCTCAAGCTCCGAGGCGACCGCATCGTGTACTTGACCGCGCGCTCAGAGGAAGACGCCGCGCGATGGCACGACGCCATCGAGAGCTACCTGAATGAGCAGCGCTGCGTCGAGGACCTGCGGCGCGCGCTGTGTCGGGGTCGCCTGCCGTCCATCCGCGAGTGCGAGTAAAGCAGTGACTGAAGGCAGCTGAGCAGAGCAGAGCAGAGCAGATAATTTATTTGGCGGAGGGCGTTGACGCAATGCAATGGAGTGGAAGGGGTGGAGATTAACAGCAGGCGCGGGCTCCTGTGCAGCACCGAAAGATCGAATAAGTTGCCACTTCACCGCAACAGCATAATAAGGAGCGACGGACGTACCGCCTTGGTGGACGATTGCAGGACGGAAGGAAGTGGCCTCCACCACAGGCAAGTTCGCCGAAAGTGAAAGCCAGCTGGGTGATGGATTTTTACTTGATTTGTGTATGGTTTTCGGTCGATGGGTACATTTTCCCACACTGCGCAAGCCAAGGGGAGCTCATTGCGGAAGTCGCTTCCAACCGCTCGTGTCGCCTTGTTCGCTCTCCCGTCGCAGCACTCGCCCCCGTCGCAACTGCCGCTACGTGATTGACAAGAGTAGACAGAGAGAGAGAGAGAGAAATATTGTAGCTGAGAGAGAAAGATAATAATCGAGACCGTCGAGACATTCACGTTGTCCGTCCGTCACGCTCTTGATCTCTTCTTCTTGCAACTTGAGCCCCACAGACCATGTCGCTCTTCGGGACGTCCGTCAACAGTGGGGGCTTCGGTTTCGGTGGCCCCGCCACAACAACGGCAGGCTTTGGCCCGAGTGGCGGCTTCAGCTGCGACCCCTCTGGCCGAGTCGCTGGGGGCTTCGCGGACGCTGACGACGCCTCGGAGCCGTTCGGACGCGTCGAGAACACGCTCCAGTGCTTCGTGCGGAACGGCAGAGGAGCGACCACGTTCAAGTGGACGCCTCCTCAGCCGCCATCGCGTCCGCTGTTCCAGAGCTCGCCGTCGCCTTCGTTCGGGTTTCACTCGGGTGGGGGCGACTCGAAGCCCGATATCCCGGCATTCGGCTACTCGAGCCAGCCGCAGTCCAAGCCGCTGTTTGGATCGAGCGCCCCTGCGTTTGGTGGCAGCCAAGTGACGGTCAGTGGTGGAGGGTTCACCTTCGGGGCTACTGGCGCGAGGACACCCGCAACGGACACGAACGCAGGCTCAAGCTTCGGGTTTGGCAGTGTTGGTGGCGCTGGTGGAAGTCTCGGCCAGGCCACGTCGACAAGTTTGTTCGGCAGCACTGGATCCAGCGGCGTGGGCCCGAGTTTCGGAGCGTCTGGCGCTGTGTTTGGGTCGAGCAGCAGCGCTGCCAAGCCGCCTCTGGCGCCATCTCCGAATCCGTTCACATCGTCGACTTCCGGTTTCGACTTCAAGTCGACTACGAGTTCGTTTAGCGGTAACGCGAAGCCTGCGAACCCGTTTGCGACCTCGACGACTACGCAATTCGGAGTGTCGAAGGCGTTTTCGTTTGGAGATTCCATGATGCAGCAGTCCTCTGGAACTTCCAGTAGTAGCAACCCGTTTGCGGTCAAGAGTGCTTCCAGCTCGACGTCCAACCCGTTTGCGACCAAGCAGACTCAGGGCTCGACGTCCAACCCCTTTGCAGTGAAGCAGGTTCCAAGCTCGAGTGCGAACCCTTTTGCCTCTCCGGCATTCGCTTCGAGCTCATCGGCAAACCCGTTGGCCGCTAGGGTCTCCCCCAACGCTAACGTGAACCCGTTCTCCGTTCCTACGCCGGATTCGTCCAGCTCGAACAAGAACCCGTTTGCAGCGCCAAGCTCGTCCTGGCCACCTGCTCAGGTGTCGTGGCCTTCTTCTTCTGCTAATCCAGGCTCGGCATCGATGAAGTTCAAGAGCGGGCTGCGTCCAGCTTTTCATCCGAGTGCAAGCCCCTGGGGCACCAGCACGAAGGAGTCGTCTTCGGCACAGCCAGCTTCGATCTCAGGCTTCGACTGGACTGGCTGGGAGAAGAAGAAAGAGGAATCGACGCAGCAGAACGCTGGGAGCCTATTCAACACGCCGAATCTCTCAAGCGTCGAGACGACGAAAAGCTCTCCGAGTTCTTTGGTGCCCGCGTCTGAAGCTTCTTCTTCGTCGTCGTCGGATGTGGTGGTGGCGTCCCCTGATACGGACCCGTACGGCTCGGGTTCGTTTGGTGCTGGCCTGGTCGAGCAAAAGATCAAGACAGCGATCGCGAATCCGCCGTCGTCGGTTGAGCTCAAGATTCTTGACGCTCGATCATCGCCCGCATCGATCGCTCCAATGTCTCGCCAGCAGCCTTCAGCGAAGTTTGCTGCCAAGCTAGGTTTGGCCCGACAGCCTCTACAGGCAGTTCCCATGCGCCCAGTACAGCCACGGTTTCCGAGTCGCAGGGTTGCCACGACCGCGTCGACCTCTCGACCGCAGGTCGATCCGTTCCGCTTCTCGAGCTCGTTCTCCCGCCTGGCCATCTCGAAAAGAGCTTTACGGGTCCAAGTTGGCCCCACGGCGATGGCGAAACAGAACGACTTGAGCAGTCCAGGAAAGGCTGAACGGGTTGGCAACGCCTACGAGCGTGCTGAAGTTGCAAGTCCGGCCAAGTCCAATGAGAAGTCGGACGATGAGCCAGAAGCTGCTGCCACCCTCGAGAGTGATAGACTAGATGAGGAACAGGTCGAGAAGCCTGCTTCATCGTCTGCCTGGCCTGTTCTACGCAACGACAAGTACTTCACGCAGCCATCTGAAGGTGAGCTCCACCATCTCACGGAGGAGGAATTGGCACGCGTGGAGAACTTCGTGATCGGCTGTCGCGGCTGCGGGAAAATCTCCTTCGTTGGAGCCACGGACCTCCGCGGCCTTCAGCTCGACGATGCCGTTGTGTTTTCCGACGGAGAAATCGTGGTGTACCCGGATGAACGCGCCAAGCCGGACGTCGGTTGCGCGCTGAACAAGCCAGCTATCGTTGATCTCCACGGCATTTCCGCCGAGGTGAACGAGTCGCACGAGGACTTCTTGAAGCGTCTTGAGCGTCACACGCAGGCGTTGGGCGCAACCTTCCTGGGGTATGACGAGGACGCGCAAGATGGGAGCGGTGGCGTGTGGAGCTTCCGCGTGGAGCACTTCTAGGTTTGATTTACACAAAGCATGCATGGTTAGTAAGTAGTAAGCAGGTAGGAAAGTTAGTCAATCAGTAGGAGTAAGCCCATGCAAATATGTAGCACGAAAGATGTCAAACAAACGAGTAATTAGCGTGTGACGTGTTAGGTCTGTCCTGTTGGCTTGGTCTTATTGCCAAAGTGTGCTTACGCTCGCCAGTCGATGAACGTGGAGCAGAGGTGCATCAGCTGGCTCGTCCGGTACGATTCCACGAAGGAAGACTCGCGACCCGTGACTAGGTGCGCGAGTCCGCCGAGAAACTCGGGCTCCAGCTCCAGAGGCGTTGAGGTCGATGAGGCATCGCCAGTCAATTCGCGCTCCTGGGTGTACGACAGCAGCGAACGCAGCTGAACCGCCTGCGTCGCCAAGGACACGATCATCGACGAAACGGAAGTTTGCGCCAAAAGCGTGTTCTTGTCAGACTTCTTGCTGGCATCCTTCGCCGAGGCATCCCGGGCACTGGAAAGCTGCTGGGAGAGCAGCATAACGCGCTGCAGGAACTGGTCTTCATGGCCAACCTCAAGGCCTTTTTGCTGCTCCAAACGAAGGTACTCCAGAATGAGGCCGCCGCCGATGGCGTCCACCTTCTCGCAGCTCTTCCACTGAGGAATATACGCACACATGGGCTCAAGGTCCAGCAGCAACTGCAGCAGAACATCTTTCTCACTGGCAAAGAGGCAACGCATCGCGACGTGAGAGATTAGGCACGCATGGGCTTCTTCGTAGCGGTGCGCAGCAATCCACTGAGCAATTTCCTCATGACGCTCCTGCCTCACGACAGCTCGTACCGCCAAAGCTTCGCTAACCCATTCGGAAGGAAGGCTCAAGCGCTCACACAGCTCTTCCCGCTGAGAGGCATTCGATGCCAATGCATCCGCGTTGCGGAACAGAAGTTCGCGGCAGGTATTTTTGCGCTCCGTCGCGTCCGAGATATTTAGCGCAACATAGACTGCATCCTTCCAAAGGCCAGCGCCCTCCAATTGGCGAATGAAATTCTGATGGATGTGCGATTCCCACTGGCGATCGAGCTTGTAGCCGATCGCGCGCAAAACGCTGTGGAGGTGCCACGACAACTCGTAGTCCAGGTGGTGCGACTCCTGGCTCATAAAGCCGCTTGGCGAGAGGACTTTGCACAGCGAAGCCACATCCTCGATGTAGAGCTTCATCAATTCCATCAAAACGTCGTCTTTGTCTGAGCCCGAGGTCGCAAATCGTGAAAGCGAGTCAGAAGCAAGCTTCTTGGTGACAGCGTCCTCGTAAAGCGTCATGGCCGACTTCAGGGACGTGGCTGGGCCGCGCTTGTACCACAAGAACAGAGCTAAGCAGGCGATCCACGACATACTCGCACCTTTTTGAGCTGACAAAACCTCCACGCTTCCTGCCAGCACACTGTAGACAAGAACAAGAGTCTTGTCCATAAAGTCCAGCGCTCCGTTTTCACTCCACTGCGCAAGTTGTGTCTCCATCAAATTGCGAAAATCCGTTCCTTCGTAAGATGCGGCCTGAGAAATCAGCGTCGCGAGGCGAAAGTCACCACAGTCCAGCGCCATATCCGCTGCTTCAGCGATCCGGTGCTGACACAGAAGACGGAGCACGCCTTCCGGGCTGGGAGAGTCGTCAATACCGCCCGCGTTGCTCGCATCCTTCATGGCAGCTTCAAACCACTGAGAGATGGCCTCACGGCGCAGATCTACCGTCTGAAAAGTGTCCAGCGTCTCCACTTCGTTGGGGTCATCCCGCGACGCAAGAGGGTAGAACACAGAATCAGGGCGTTCGCCCAATTTGGCACCGTGTTCTTGTCCCCAGAGAGCCTGGATCAACTTCCATAGGAGAAGCGTATGCTTTTCACATGAATCACATGGTACCTTTCGAACTCGGTTTTCAGCGTTGGCAACGTACTTGTGCAAGCAGTTCATTAGCGGCTCGTGGACGGGGAGGGCATACTGTACTGGAACTTCGGATCCATCATGATCTACGTAGTGGTTTGGAGTCCGTCCCTGCGACGTGAACTCAAAGTGTAGCTTCAGTCCTTCTTCGAGATCGGTCTTGCGCGATTTGGAAAGACGAAGAGGAAACTCGATACTGACACGACGGCCTTTGTTTTCCACATTTGAATAGACTTCGGGTCGCGTAGTGAGCTTTCCAAGGTTCACGAGCTCGCCATTTGGCCCCCAGGAACAGCGAAACGAGCGAGCCATGAACATGCCGCCGTCGACATGGTTTCGGACGACTTTCGCTTGTGATTGGTTAGAGGTCTGCAACATCATTTGGTATGTGGTAGATTTCTCCGCAGGTGGCAACCGATCGGCGTTGCTGTTCACGCCAAGTGGCTTCAAGGTGTACGGGATGACAGGGAACACTTCACTGGTTGGGCGCTGGTCTTTCTTCGTGGCCACCACCACCTCCTCGACATTAAAATCCATGAGCGAGTCGGACTCAGGTCCCGACACTCCTGAGTCGTCTGACATCGCGATCGACTTGTCGCTATCCGCGCTGGGGACTTGCTGCTCTCCAAATGACGCAACCACATTATTGTTCACCTCGCCACCGTAGATCCAAGACTGACGAAACAGCCCACTTCGATCAGCCGAAAAGGGACTCTTTCCACGACCGACTACATGGCCTCGTGTCATGCCTGGCTTGCGCGGGGGCTGGTCCATATGCAGCTCCTTGCTGTCCGCCACTCCGTTCTGGCCGTCCATGTCAACGTCGTCGTCGTCGTCATCATCATCAAAACCGTAGCGGCTGAAATGCTCCACACGGAACCGCCAGATACCCTTATCCGTAGAGTAGTCAAGGAAGGTGGCACCGATATCCTGTGTGCGCTGTTTTACGCGTTCCTTGTACTTTTCGGGCGACGAAGATTTGCGCGGCGGGAATATTCCCAGCAGCTCGACAATAGCGGGTTTGTTCAGACCCTTGCCGAGTTCATGCTTCTTCTCATCATCCTTGTAGACGATCACCTCTTTTTTCTCAAAGAACACCAGCTCATCAAGGTCAAGATCACGCACATCCGTCTTACCGATCCACTCAACGGCCCCCAGTCCTCGGCAGCCGACAGTAAACTTTTCCACTTGCGAGAGTTCCTGATCGGTCATTGTCTGCAAGCGTTCATACGAGGGGATAGTGTAGTAATCTTTGTTTTTCAGCACAGGGCAAGAAGAAGCGGCAGGGGAGTCACGATCGGCTCTGTTCGCTGCAGTTTCCTTGAACAAGTCGTCCTCATCGCGACTGGCAGAAGCCAAGTACTCGTCGTACGTCATGAAGCGCTTAGGCGGCGCCGTCTCTTCACTAGTATGTGCTTCAGGCTTCTTAGTCAGGGAAGAAATCGACGAGCTGTGGTCCTCACGCTTCTTGTCCTCGGTGCGATTTTCAATCACAACAACATCGATGGAATCCCCGTCCTTCAGCTGCAGTTCTTCAATGGAGCTTGCGTCATGCACGATGCGGCCCTTCAAAACCAGCTCAATGTCGACGATGGGGGATGCCGTCGAAGTACTGCTCTCACGCAGCAACTGCTTCACTTCAGTTCTCGCTTGTTTCACAGTCTGGTTCGGGTAAAGACGCAGCGAGAACGACTTTTTGTTTGTCTGGTTGCAGAATGTGACGCTGTACTTGCCATCATCACCGGTCTTCAGTAGCCGACTGCGCGCACTTCCAATTTCGTGAACATCTGGGCGGTCACTGTCAGCGATCGGCACAACGGATACGTGAGGGCTCGCTCCCAGCCGAGACGGAGTTTGTTCTCCCTTGTCAATCACAAGCTTCTTCGTGACCGAGTTTCGGAACAGCGACGAAGTAAACTTGAACTCGTCTTCCTTGGAAGAGCTATCGCCCTTTGAATTCCCATCCGTTCGGGCTCCGCTTGAAAGCGAAGACGAAATAGCCGGGGACGTGAACGTTGAGAATCGGCTCTTCGAGCCCTTGAACGAGCCACGGATAAAGGACACCGGAATGGCGTGACGGTTGCTGACCGTCTGACGGCGTGTCACGAGAGGTGGGTCCAGTGGGCCCCTGGGAAGCCCAACGTCATCAGCGAATGTGGTGAGTCGAGAAGACGCACTAGATCCAGTTTTGATCGATTGGAGATCCAGCGCGGCCTTCACGTTTTGCTCAACAAGACCAGCACCGAACGACCCGGCACCGTACGGGTTCACATCAGGAGCTGCGACCAGGTTCAGTGGTTGCGCGGCTGCTGCCTGAGCCGGTTGCTGTGGCTGCCCAAACAGGCTACTCGTCGTGCCGAAGCCTCCAGTTGGCGCAGCAGGCGTAGCAGTGGTTCCAAAGCCGCCAAAACTACCAGTAGTAGTGCTACCAAATCCGCCGCCAGTGCCGAAGCCGAACCCAGTGGTTCCTGTGCTCGTGGCAGTATTAGCTCCCCCGAAAAGAGATGATCCACCGGCTGCCGGAGTACTACCGAATAGCCCTCCCGTAGTCGTACTTCCAGGCGTCGATCCAAACAGGCTAGTTGTCGCAGGCTTAGCCGCTCCAAACAAACTGGTGGTCGCACCAGGCGTAGCGGCTGGAGTCGTGCCAAATCCAAAGCCGCCCGTTGAACCGGTCGTTCCACCCGTCGAGCCAAAGAGTGAGGTCGTGCCGGCGGCCGGTTGCGCAGGCGTGGTGCCAAACGCACTGGGCGTCGTAGTACCTCCAAATGCACTGCCCGTCGTGCTTCCAAACGCGCTCATACCGCTAGTGGCACCGAAGCCGAAACCTCCAGTAGCAGGCTTGGGAGCGGTACCTCCGAACGAAAAACCAGTTGACGCAGGTGCTGCCGTGCTAGTTCCTCCAAACAGCGACGTTGTCGCGCCAGCCTGGGGCTGTGCAGTTCCAAATCCGAAGCCTCCCGTAGCTGGGGCCGCAGCAGGCGTGGTCGTGGCGCCAAATCCTCCAAAGCCGGTGGACGCTGCAGGCTTGCCAAACGCAGAAGAGCCAAAGCCGGAGGAAGCCGCTGGGGTAGTCGTACCGAAGCCTCCAAAGCCGCCAGTCTGTGGCTGCGCCGCAGGAGTCGCACCAAAGCTGCTTCCGAATCCGCCCGTCGTCGATCCAAATGCACCACCTGTAGCGGGAGCTCCAAATGCCGACGTAGCAGCGGGCGCGGCGCCAAACGCACTGCTCGTAGCTGGCGCACCAAACGCTCCCGTCGCGGGGCGGGCAGCAGTATTTCCAAACAAGCCGCCGCTCGTGGCAGGCGCCGCCGGTTGCGATCCGAATCCACCAAATCCTCCGGTTGTCGTTGAAGTGGTCGAGCCAAACGCAGACGACCCAAAGCCGCCACCAGCGGTGGATGTTGCACCGAAAGCTGACAGCTGGCCGGTGCCGAATCCTCCAGTGGATCCAAAAGCCGAACTGGTTGCCGGCTGGGCGCCGAAGCCCCCGAACGCGCCGGTTCCGCCCGTGGTCGCACCGGGTGCCGGCGCGTTCTGCGTAGCCGCCGCCTGGGCTGCCGCCGGGTTCGTGCGCTTCAAGTAGTCTTCGTAGCGCAGCTCCTCCGTCGACTTGTGCGCGTACGCCTGCATGCGCGAGATCGAGATGTAGTTGGCCGTGCCGCCCGTTCCTGACGGCTCCATTTCGCGCGTGGGCTGGTACGGCGGTTGGCCCGTGCCGACCTGCACCTGTCCAGCCGCGGCGCCGGCCGCCGGCTGCTGGGTGCCAAAGCCGCCGAAGCCCGTGGTGCCCGTAGCCTGCGAGCCGAATCCGCCGGTCGTGGCCGTCGACGTCGCTCCGAACGGGCTCTTGGCCGCCGACGCGCCGAAGCCGCCCGTTGTGCTGCCGAACATGCCGCCGCTGGCCGGCGCTGGCGTGCCGAAGCCGCCCGTCGTGGCTCCTCCTCCTCCGAACGCGCTGGTGGTACCGGCACCGCCGCCGCCGCCGAAGGCGCTCGTGGATCCGAACGGACTGGGGCTCGCCGCCGGCTTGGCGCCGAACGGGGTGCTAGCGCCGAAGGCCGACGTGCCGGAAGATCCGAAGCCGCCTGCAGTCGCGCCGCCGCCGAACGCTGACGTGGCGCCGAAGCCCGACGTGGTGGCGGGGTTCGCAGCCGCGCCGAAGCCCGTGGAGGGCGCCGCGGCCGCTCCGAAGCCGCCGAAGCCCGTCGTGCCGGTCTGCTGCGCGCCGAAGCTGCCTCCTGTGGCCGGCGCGGCGGCGGCCCCGAAGCCCCCGAAGGCCGGCTTGGCCGCGCCCGCGCCCGCGCCGAACGCCGACGTGCCGGAAGATCCGAAGCCGCCCGTGGTGGCGCCGCCGCCGAACGGAGACGCGGCCGCGGAGCTGCCGAAGCCGCCGCTGGTGCCGCCCGAGCCGAAGCCTCCGAAGCCGCCGCTCGCGGGTGTGCTCGAGCTGCCGAACCCGCCGAACGACATGCGGAGTGAAGGTCCCTCTGTGCTGTCTGGGTGCCTAGAGTGGGGGCAGGCCGCGGGGTGCAATCGAACGAGCGTGAGCCGCTTCGCTGTCGACCTGCCGATTGTGTTGTGCTTTGTATGGCGTTGGGTTGGTGGGCGCCAAATTAGACCCGCACTAAGTGCGAGTAACTTTGGTGTACAATACACCAACTTCAACATCCGAAAGGGATCAAGTTGAACAGGGGAGTGTCAATTCACTCTGGATACAATTCGCCACGGCACGCCAGAGCAGATTGATGGAAGAAGAAGACGGCAACAGAAGAATTTGAGATTTTCATGCAGCGATCTTCTCAATTCCAACAGGAAGCAATACTGTAGCAACTTGCTACTGAAGTACCCCGCTCTGTCAGAACTCGCCCGCAGAGTTTTATCGATGCCGACATCGTCAGCAGCCGCGGAGCGCAGCTGGAGTATCTACACGTTCATTCACAGCAAGTACCGCAACAAACTTCTGTCGGACAGGGCTATGAAGCTGCTGTTCGTCTACAACTGCCGTTTGGCGCGCAACACAACTCCTGACGCGGTGTACGACCAGTCGACCTTTGAAGATCAAGTGCAGAGGAGGAAAGTGGTGATGAAAGCGAGCCTTTCCTCGGCTGTGATGCTGAGCGCTGGCAGCCCGAGCACCTGCGCGTTCTCCTCAGTGGACGTCGCGGCGAGAGCGAGGGCACCTCTTCACCCTTCGACGCTGATAACAGCCTCGACTACCAAGGTTCTCAGTAGACAACCAGTATTTCCAGTGCTACTCTACCTTCCACTAGCTTAATTTTTATTTATTTATTCAAATACATTGACACCTCGGACGGTTTTACTTCCATTCGTCCCTCTATTGTACGTGCCATGGTGTTGTAGTGTTGCTACCGCTGCTACGGCACACCATTCTCCTCCGGTCAATTTCAAGGCGGCCGGTGGTTTTTGCCGCGGATTAAACCGGATTAAGCTGATTAATCCAAAAAATAAAACCGGTTTTGCCACGGCCAAACCCAACGCTACCAGCAAGATGCTCGCTAGTATCCCGGCATCAAGAAATGATTGGCTTCGTTGCTGCGTGCGGAACCCGGCTCAGCTCGCAGAGTTGCGCTTCAGTTATGATGGTCGGACCACATCAAACCTTTGTTGGTGGTAGTCTGGCTCGGCTCGGACTGCCCGTGTGACGGGTCGCACAGCACTTCTTAACAGAGGAAGCAGGAGTATACAAACTCCAAGTGAACAGTCGTTCACGTGTCCCTGGTCTGAAGGGGACGACTTGACCTGAAAAGCGGTAGATCTAAGACTGAATGTATTTATAGGTTGGTACAGATTTGGCCTGCATACAAATCCTAAGTTCCCTATAGTTTGTGTCATACAAAATGTATCTGTTGGCTCTGAGGCCACTTGGGTCACTATCCAGGGGAGTGACCGATGTAGCCATCCCGGAATAGTGATAGGGTCACTATTCCATGTAACCCCGTTACATCCTCCCCCACTTAGATTCGATCTTATTGACCAATCAGAGCGAGGTTACGCCGGCGACTCACATTTCACTCGCAAAGTCGAAATCCATCGACAACGGCGCGAGCTCTGGCGCCTCGGCTCCCGGGCCTCACAGAGCAACTGGCGCATCGCCGTGCAAGCCGCAGGGTCTCCACGTCGACCGGAAGCTCCAAAGCGCAGTGCGCGCAGTGCGAAAGCACCTCCGAAACCGCGGGCCGTAGGGCCGAAGACCAGGGCGGCCAAGGCCAAGGACGAGTCATCCGCGCTGATGGAGGCCACGAAGGCGGCCGAGGATGTGGTGCGCTCTCGTAGCAGCACGCCGGAGAGTGGCCGTCAGGACGGGGCTCGGAGCAAGTCTCCTGACGCCGCGCAAGGCAAGGAGGAGAGTCCTCGGGGCCATAAAAGCCCGGCTCGCGACTGGGAAGCCGCCGTCTTTGACTGCACGATGGTCCAGTACTCCGGTGAGAGTTCACCCGACGACGAGAACGTCTCGGAGGGCAGCACACACGCTGCCGAAGGCACGGAGCTGGCGGCAGGCGACATGACCAACGCCTCGGCCGACGCAAATGCCTCGTCAGAGAAGGAGGCGGAGGACGCCGAGTCCGGCTCAGGCGACAGCAAGCAGTCGCACGACGAAGTCGCCATGGCCGACGCTGGGGTCGTGGCCGAGAAGTCGCCGAGCGACGCGGGCTCCAAGCCCAAGGAGGTGCTGGCATCCAAGCATCTGACGCTGGCACAAGGTCGTGAGCGTGCTCAAGCGTCGAAAGCGGCTGCCGCTGCGAAGGCCGCCGAGGCCAAGGCGAAGAAGCGTTCAGCTTCCAGGTCGCCTCGCGGCTCCAGCTCCAAGCTGTTCATCGACTCGGAGTCTGAGGACGAGGAGGGTGCCGTCCACGAGCCCAAGGAGCTCTCCAACAACCTCGACGAGCAGCAGCAGCAATACCACGCTGCTAGCTCGGGTGCGTATGCCAGGCAGCCGACTGCCACGACTGCCATCGAGTCTTCTTCAGGCGGGGATGCCACGTACCCGCAGGGCTACTTCCCGCCCGAGCCTGGCACTGGTGCACCAGCGCTGTTGGAGAAGCTCTCGGCTCCTCGTGGCCTTATCGGCGGGTACACCTCGAGGGGTTCCTATGAGCGTGCTCTTGTTGAGAAAGAGCCACTCTTTCTTGGCGACGTTGAAGTCGCCCGGTGTGTGCTACTAGCACCACACAAGCTCACACTGAAGGAGTTCACCACGCTTCGCAAGAAGCCGGAGGATAAGGGTGGACTCCATCCTGTGTGGGGTTTCCACTGGGTCAAGCCGAATGACAACATGACCTGGAGCGAGGTGGAAGACCTCTTCTGGCGCTACGTCCAGCGCAAAGGGTATTCCGACCAAGAGTTCAAAGAACTCCGTGAGGATCGCACTCTGTCCGCAGTCCTGGACGTGCGCGAGCTCCGCATCGAGTTCGCTCAACTCGTGAGCAAGCGCAAGCTCCACTCGAAGATGGACGAGCTGAAGCAAGAGGCGAGAGCCAAAGCTCATGAAGAGCGTGGGCGTGGTGCGAGTACGTCTGCTACCGTGCCCCGGGTACCGGCCAAGAAGCCAAGGACTACTTACGAAGCTGCCGCTGCTTCTCGTCCCATATCGCAACAGCCTTCGGGCAGTCTGCCTGGAGCTGATCAACGGGCTCCCACGACTTATCCGACTCAGGGTAACCCCTCCACTTCACGAGCAGCTGGCGCTTGACATGGAGCCGCCGCTCCCGGACGACTCGTTCCACGTGGTAGTGGATCTGCCCATTACGATCAAGGAGGGCCGGCGGTGGCCTCGCACGGCCATGGCTACGAGCCTGAGGCGACGCAGCCGTATGCTGGGGCCCCGAGTCAGGTGGTGGCCCTGCAGCAAGAGGAGATTCGTCTTCTCCGGGACCGTGTGTACGTCCTCGAGATCGCGCTTGTCGTCGGCCTTGGTGGCGAGGCTGCCGCTCGTGCTGGTCAGCCTGGTGCCGTGGAGCGGCTCCGTGAGGATGTTGCCTCGCTCTATCAAGAAACTCGGAGTCTCCATGGCCGTGTGGATCGTCGAGCCGACCTGTCGTCTTACGACTCGCTGCGAAACCAGCTCGCTGACCTTCGAGCCGAGCTTCATGGCCACGCGCCGTATCCGGAGCAGCGGCAGCCTCACTCGTATCAGGCCCAGTTTGGCCAGGGCTCGTACGGGGCCCCTGCGTATGCTGCTCCGATGTACGCCGCGCCGTCTTACGACCAGCGCGCGTATCAGGCGCCTTACCGCGACCCGACGCCGCGCTTCGAGGAGCTGCGCTCTTCTCCACCGGGCCACCAACCGCTTCCTGCGGGGCAGCCAGAGCCAGAGGGTCATGGTACCTCTTAAGACGACCCACGTAAAACGTCGGGTGAGTCGTCATCGACTTGGGCAAGTCTATGGTGTACGCCGCGCCATGCCGGCTGAGGACCGTGAAGGGTCCAATGAAGCGGTGCTTCAGCTTGTTGCTCTCGACCGAGCTAACAGTGTTTAGCGGTAGGTTTCTAGTATCTAGGAGAACTAAATCCCCAACCTTAAACACGTTCATGTTTCCTCTTCCATTTCGGTCAGAGTACTCCTTCTGTTTATCTTGGGCTGGCGCCATGGTGTCTCGCACCCTGCTGATTATGTTCAGCCTGTCTTCGGCAAACGAGGACAGTTGCTTCCGCAAGGTGGCTGGACTCACGTCCGAGACTTGGGAGGAAAAGGTTTTCCGAGCCTCTCCCCCACTTAGGACCGAAGCCCCGGTACTGCCTCGTAATGTGAGCGGCACCTGAGGGTGGCGCAACCCGTTCAGGTAAAAGGGCGTAAAGCCCGCCGATGCATGTACCGCATTGTTGAGTGCGAACTCAACCATGGGCAAGCGATCAGCCCAAGAGCGGGGCATCTCCGCGCAGATACTGCGGAGCGTGTCTTCGAGCACGCGATTGACGCGCTCCGTCTGGCCATCCGTCTGCGGGTGGTCCGCCATCGACAGTCGTGTGCCGAGAAGGCGAAACAGCGTCTGCCAGAACGTAGCGGTGAACCGCGGGTCTCGATCAGAGACAATGGTCTCGGGCAGACCGTGGTGTCGGAAGACACAGTCCATGAACAGGCGAGCGACCTCGTCGCCAGTGACGGTGTCACGAACTGGAGCAAAGTGGACCATCTTGCTCAGACGGCACACGAAGGCAACAACACCAGTGTTGCCACGGTCATCGGCCGGAAGTCCGAAGACAAAGTCGAGACTCATCGACTTCCAGCAGTCCGCTGGGACCGGCAGGCTCTGCAATGGTGCGGAGGCGTGACCGGCAGGCTTCACGCGCTGGCACGTCTCGCACGTACGGACGTAGGTGGCGACCCACTTGTACATGTCACGCCACCAAAACATCTGCGAGACAGACGCGTACGTCTTCTCACGGCCGAGATGGCCACTGGATGGAGCGTCGTGCGCCTCCATCAGGATGTCGTACTGGAGATCCTCGTCGTTGGGCACGACAATACGGGGAGGATCTTCGGGCTCGACCCTATAGTGGAGCAAACCGTCAGCCCACTCATAGCGGTGCAGCCTTGCACGTTGTCGGGGCGTGAGCCACTCGGCCTTGGCTTCCGAGCCAGCGGCCAAGAACCGCACAAGAGGTCCGAGACTGGCATCGTCTCGGTACCCCAGCCAGATGCGATCATACAGATCCGTCGTGACCCGACTAATATGAGCAAGCTCGTAGTCGGGTCGGCGCGACAGCGCGTCGGCAAGCACGTTCAACTTGCCCGGCTTGTACTCGACACGGAAGTTGTATTCCGCGAAGAATGACAGCCAACGCGCCATCCGCTGTGAGAGATGCGGCGTGTTGACGGCAGTCCGCAAGGACGCGTGGTCTGTATAAACGACAAAGGGCGTCGAGCCCAGGAGGTGCACTCGGAACTTGACAAGAGCGTACTTCATGGCAAGTAGCTCCTTGTCGTGGACTGGATAGTTCCGTTCGGCTGCCTTGAGCTGCCTGGACTGGAACGAGATGACCCGTTCGCGGCCTTCATCGTCGGCCTGCAATAGCGCACAGCCAATTGCGTAGTCAGACGCATCACAGACTACGCTGAAAGGCTTCGTCTCGTCCGGCAATGCCAGGACTGGCGCGCGCTGTAAGCTCGCTTTGATGTCGTTAAAAGCATCTTGATGGCGACGCTCCCAGCGCCAGTCGACATCCTTCTTCAGGAGATCCAACAAGGGCCGTGCCAGCTCGGCGTAGCCTGCACTATACTTGTGCAGGTAGTTGGCGAGGCCCAACCACTGTCGTAGGTCCTTCTGCGACCGAGGTGGCGGCCAAGCCGCGATTGTTTTCACCTTCTCCGGGTCCGCCCGGACCCCGGCGCTACTGACGAAGCAGCCCAGGACCTTGATCTCCTCAGCTGCGAACACACACTTGTCGATGTTGGCGTACAGCTTGTTCGCCCGCATGACTTCGAACACACGTCGAAGGTGCTGGAGATGCACCTCCATGGCCGTCTGGCCTGCCTCGGCACGGCTTTGGACGAAGATGTCGTCAAAGTACGTCTGTGTGAACGCACGCAAAGGTCGGAACAGTTGTGTGACCAAGCGATTGAACGTTGCCGGGGCGTTAGAAAGCCCCTGAGGCATGACCAGCCACTCCCAGAGCATACCGCTCGGCGTGCTCACAGCCGTGAGTGGGATGTCGCTCTCGCGCACCAGGATCTGGTAGTATCCGTCCACCAGGTCCAGCGCGCTATACAGCGTGCAGCCGGCCATGTTGTTGAGCAACACGTCCTTGCGCGGGATCGGTGTCTGCGCAGGCACTGTCGCGCTGTTCAGCTTGTTATAAGCATGAACCAGACGCCACTTTCCGTTCGGTTTGCGAACACAGAAGGTAGGCGTCGAGTGCGGGGACTTCGACTCCCGCACCATGCCTGCCTTTGCCTTGGAGGCAAAGAAGGCATCAATGACTTCACACTGCTCCCGCGGAAGAGGCCATTGCCTCGTGACACAGTACTTCGTGCCCGGCACGAGATCGATCTCATGCCTGATTCCCCTGTCCGGAGGGAGATTGGACGGTGGATCCTTGGACACCACGTCCTCGAACTCCTTCACCAAGGGGTACACCGGGTCCCGGGGGTTCTTAAGAATCTCAGAGCCCATGCGCGACGCGCGCTGTCTCTGGAACTCCTCCAGGACTGCCTGGTCCGTGACCGAGGACGAGTTCAACTCGGCCGACGTGGACTCCGGTCGGAGGAGAACCAACTCTGCGATCTCCCCGGCCTTTAGCTCGGCCAAGAAGTCCTCCATGGCGGGCTCCTCAAGGTTCAGCAACTCTGAAACCTCGGGCAGAGCTGTAAGCTCGACAGCTCCTGTCTTGACCCGACGACCGGTCGCGCCGTCGAAGATGTGATAACACTCTTCGGTGGCTGGAGCCTTGGCTTGAGGCTCGGAGTCGCTGGCGACTGGCGTCGTCGGCCACACGACTAGGCCCGGCTTACGACGTGTCTTCGTCTCGTGGCGCCGCCTTGACGGCACCACCGATCTTCTCGATCTCGTGCGGAACTACGTTACCCGCCTTGTTCTTGAGCGGAACTTGGTTACCCGCCTTGCTGGATGGAACTATGTTACCCACCTCGCCGTGTGGAACTTGGTTACCCACACCAGGAGCGCTTCCAGCGACTCCCGCATCAGTTATGGTCTGAGTGACCTCCTGTGGAACTATGTTACCCACATCGGAAGCGCCTGCAGTGCCTTCCTCATCAGTTACGGTCTGAGTGACCTCGCGTGGAACTTGGTTACCCACGCCAACGCCAGCGGGGCCTTCTCCAGCAGCCCTTGCTGCCTGCGGTACTTCGTTACCCGCGTGTGGACCTACGTTACCCACCTGGTAGGTGCTGTCCGGCACCTCCACTCTCAGGCCTTGTCCGGCCCGGTCGGAGTCGCCGTCAGTCTTGACGGACCCCAAGAACTCATTAGACGCTGCTGCGCCCTGGCGGCCCTCGCGGGCGCCCCAGCTGCTGCCAGAGGTGGGAACATACCTCACCAAAGCTCTGTCAGAGCGTGGGGGACGGCTGACCCCGATGGCCTTGCCGCGCCAGTCGATCCAAGGCTCGTGTTTCTCCAGCCACGGCATGCCAAGGTTCAAGTCGTACTTGTCCATGTCTAGGACCAAGAACGGCTCCGTGCTGTCGAAGTCCTCGAACTTGACAGTGAGGTCCATGTGGACCCGTGGTACTTCTACCACCGTACCGTCGGCCAGTCTTACCGAGACCAGCCCGTTGTCTTTGCTGCCTCGTAGCGCATCGGCGTACTTGTCGCGATTGCGTGCGACAGTCTGGCGGCGCGCAAAGTTCTTGGACGCCCCAGAGTCGATCAAGATTCTCAAGGGATGATCGTATCCCGGTACACTCGCGTGCACCACAAGCAGCCCACCGCTGCCCTTCTCCGCTTCGAGAGTACAGAGACTCTCAGGGGCTAAGTGCGCCACCCGCACGCCCCTCATGAAGACTTAGTGTTTCCCCAGTAGGGCGCCCCGCCCCTACTGGTGTCCAGCGTTCACCTGGTTCCTGGGGCGCGGCTTCTGCCAGCGACCCCTAGAGCCAAAGGGCTTCGAAGAGAACTTCTTCTTCAGTCCTCCCGCGGGACAAGCACGTTTCGTGTGCCCAAGCTTGCCACAGCCGTAGCAGCGAATGTCGCTCTGCTCGGCCATGCCCAGATCCATGGGAACCGGCCCGTTGATCGCTCCATTGCCGGAGTTACCATTAGGCGCACCGCCAGAGGCAGGGTTGCTCTGCCATACCGTGACAGGGGTACGAGCCTGCTTGTGGCTGTACTCCTCCTGGAGGGCGATCTGAATCGCCTCCTCCATAGTGTTTGCTTGCACACGGAACAGTTGCGTGCGGGCAGGACCGACACGCAGACCGTCCATGAACACGGTCACCTTGATGTGTTCAGGCAGGGGGTTCCCCACCAAAGAGGCAGTGAGCACTCGCATCTCCTGGATGTACTCATGCAGCTCGCGCCTTCCTTGTTTGCAGGCGAGGAAGCGCGAACGCTGGCGGTACTCGTAGTTCGCCGGAAGAAACGCGGCCCGCAGCTGCTCGCACAGCTGGGACCATGATGCGAAGCACCCAGGCGTCGTCGCTTCGCGCGTATACGCCCAACTCTTAGCGCGACCACTAAGGTTGGAGAGCGCAAAGGCGACACGGAGTCGCTCGTCCGAGACGAGAGCCGCGTCCATCGCGAGCTCGACCTCTCGAACCCAGAAGTGAAGGTTTTCTCCTTCCTTCCCTTCGAAGGGGTGAACCTTCAGCCGCAGGGGCTTCGGTTGCACCGGCTTCGGCGCGGCCGCAGTGGCCTGCAGCCCTTGAACGTGGGCGATGAGCCCTCGCTCGTAGGTGTCGAACGCGTTGATGCGCTCAACCTGCTCAGCCGGCGTCGCCGCCGCTAAGCTACGCAGGCATCTGTCCCAAAGATACCTGCCATCTTACGAACGGACTCGTACTGCGAGTCGTTCAGATGGGGAAACTCCGTACGATCCATCTTGGCTCACTCGATGAGACCACAGAGGATTCAGGTAGTCCAATCTACCCGCGTAGGCGTAGGATTGACTACAAGTGCTACCAAGTGTGACGGGTCGCACAGCACTTCATAACAGAGGAAGCAGGAGTATACAAACTCCAAGTGAACAGTCGTTCACGTGTCCCTGGTCTGAAGGGGACGACTTGACCTGAAAAGCGGTAGATCTAAGACTGAATGTATTTATAGGTTGGTACAGATTTGGCCTGCATACAAATCCTAAGTTCCCTATAGTTTGTGTCATACAAAATGTATCTGTTGGCTCTGAGGCCACTTGGGTCACTATCCAGGGGAGTGACCGATGTAGCCATCCCGGAATAGTGATAGGGTCACTATTCCATGTAACCCCGTTACAGCCCGTAAGGCAAGCAAGGTGTGGGTGACTCACCTGGACTCACTTTTTCATATATATCTCTGCAAGCTTGAAGAATATATGAAACGGGACCTTGTGCCACACGGTCACTGCCACATTGGACAAGCACGATGGGCACCGACTGCAAGCCAATGACAAAAAGACTAAAGGCTTTAGTCAGATCCACCTTGTATACTCAACCTCTGCTGGCGGCTTGGAGTGGTGACCACGTTGCATGGGATTTGGCGGAGAAGGTGCTTATATCGCGACCCGAGGGAGGACGCGTCATTGAAACGGGCGGCTGCCGTCCTACATGGACGCCTTCGTTCCGCATACCTAACCGTTCGGATCCACTCTACGTCCACAACGGCTAGTCCGCACCAAGGAGCGGCTGCACGGATTTGCCATCTCGCGCTCACTTCGCCATCCCCGGAGACGCAGAGCCTGCCGCGCCCCGCTCCGACTTCACAGCACACGCTGCTCTACTTTGATGGCGGGGCTCGTGGAAACCCCGGCCCTGCTGGCGCGGGGACGGTGATCCTACAACTTGGTGGCGCAAGCCTCCAGCCCGCCGTCCTCTGGTTGGCCAGCGTTTCCTACGTGTCGAAGACCACGAACAACGTCGCTGAATATCGCGCTCTCCTTAACGGCCTGCGTTATGCGGTACGGCACTCAATGGTGGGATTGCATATTGTTGGCGACGGCACTCGTTAAAGCAACTTGGGTTTGGGCAACTTCGTGCAACTTCATTTTGGGCAACTTCGGGCACCTTGGGCAACTTCGTGCAACTTCGAGTTGACCCTATTGTGAAATTCACGTGGATCTTCACGTGACGGCCTCATTCGCCAATTCGCGCCGTCGGCCACAGATCTGCGCGGGAAACGTTGCGCAACTTCCTGCAGCGCGCTCCACACGATCACGTACGCCTAGCCGCTGCCGCCGCCGCACTGACATGTAGCTCTGATCTAACCCTTCTTGCGATGCTATGGCAGGGATAACGCTTCAACACAGTCGTAACGCGGGGGTTGGTGAATGCGCGCTTGCAAATTCACTCGCTTTCTCGGCACGTTTGGATAACAGAGGCTTGACTGCGTGCAGCGCAACGACAATGGTCCTGTAGCGAGTTGTTCGTCGATGAGCACGTGGCACACATTCCGACGCGTTGTGATAAGGCCTTAAATGCAGCGGCGCGAAGGCAAAGACGCATTAAGGGGACTGTTATTGGTGGCGCTTGATCTGATGTGGCTCATGTGCATGGCATATTGCACGGCACCACGTCGCCTTTTGAGCACAAGTGACCCGCAGTGGTAAGTAATCTGATGGACAGTGTGCGTTCGTTCCTCTATTGCCAGACTTTCGGGCATGTACGTCCACAAATGTTTGCCGTCTAACTGCTGTTTTTATATGCCATGTTACTAGAGTATGGTTTGTGGCTGTTAAAAAACGTCCATGCGCCAACATATTGCGTAGCTCAGAGGCGAGAGGACTCGAGACTCGAGCGTTGAGCGGTGCGCAAGGTCTACTGGGCAAGGAGCTTAGTGGCTCACTACGACCTCGACCCAGTTGGAGCGCTGTATGTTGATGAAGCTGCGATTGGGCACGTTCAGCTCCTGACGCACGGTCTCCATCAGGATCGACGCCGTCTACAGCAGCAGCAGTAGCAACAGCAACGACAAAGACGTTCATTAGCCAAGTATCGCTGGTTTTGGATCCCTCTACCTTCACCTAACGACGAAGCACCGGAAAATTTGGGCAGAGATACGATAACACGAGATACCAACAGAAATATGTATGAGAACTATTGCGTAAAGGCTCTTCTGTAAGCTTGAAGTGGCTGAAGATTATACCGTCCTTTAAAACTATGTAGAGAGGTGGGTCGGTGGTGTGAACGTTAGCGTACGAAATGACTGTGAGCCAAGCAACCACGACAAAATGCATCAGCACTGACACGGGGACCGATGATCCCAACGCGAACTATGTAAGGTAGGACATTTTTTTACTGCATGTATTTACTACTAGCCTTATGTTTTGAACGGTATCAAAATGCCACTGCGGCCATACAGTCGTCGTTGCTTAGTCACGGCAACAAGGGCAACCTGCAGGTATGGTATACTGTACTTGGACGTTTATTCTAGGTCCACTACTAGAAGAGCGGAAACTGTGAAGCATGGAATTTCAGGACTAGCATGCAACGCAGAGATACGTGGACATCGAGAATACTTCATCAGTGCTCCACAAGTACTCGTCACGTAGAAGATAGCGAACTATCTACTTCAAGTACTTAAGTTTTAATTATGTATCCCGAAGATTGAGCTTGGAAATACTTCTATCATTAATGGATACCTGTCTAACTCCTCCAATGTGTAAGCTATATAAATTATACAGCAACAAACTGTTTGTGAGCACTAGCGTTTGCTTAAGTTCGTGCTCCACTCTGCCCCACTCTAAGAAAGTAATTATCACGACTCCACCAAAAAGTTGCGCAACTTTCTCAGTGATGATGTGGATCATGCTGCGTTCATCAAACACAACACCTAGTGTCCTCGCCTAGAGGAGCCCCCATTATGTTTAAACATAGTAAAGTTAAGATAGTCGCTATGGTCTCAAACAGCTTGATGTAGGTTGGAGTTCCTAGCTTGCTTCCCAGCCACATCGTCAGTGATGGTCCCGCTGGAAGTAGCGCGTACCACACGAAAAAGGCAGTGCGAATCATTTGTTTATCTGTGTAGCTTTATGATTGTGACAGAACACGAGTAACTTTACAGTGTGAATACCATCGATGCAAAGCCTTACCCTGACTTGGCATTCAAGTCAGCAATAAGAGGTCGACCTTCGCTTGAAAGGGTTACCTGGGCTGAACTGAGCTGTGTTGGCTCAGGTCGAAGTAAAAGATGTTCACTCCGCCCCCTATATAATTTAGTGTCCTTCATTCAACAGCTTGCCTAGCAGTACAGGCAGCGTGAACGCACTCTGCTGAATGGTGCATGTAGTTGCTGTTGAAGTTGCAGAGCCTACTCGCTAGTGCAAAAATTCAGTATTGCAAATGTTCGGGTTTCGTCGAAGTTGCCCAAAGGTGCTGAAGGTGCTTGAAGTTGCACGAAGTTGCTCAAACGAAGGTGCTCAAAGGTGCGCAAAGGTGCACGAAGTTGCGCACCTTTGGGCAACTTTTTTCGACCAAGGTGCCCGAAGTTGCACGAAGTTGCTGAAGGTGCCCAAACCCAAGTTGCTTTAACGAGAGCCATCCTAACACAATTGCAGAAGCGAGGGCTCGTCACTTACAAGGGCTTTACGGACAGTGCTGGGTGCTGGCGGACCGACAGATGGTGTCTCGGCCTAGCAAACATTGCTATGGACACCAAACAAAGCAAGCAGGCGACGGCGGAAGATATCTCCCGCTTACCGCCGCAGTGGACAACCGTACTCGAGTCCCGCCAAGCGGACGTTGAGCACTGGATGGACACCAACCCGGATCGGGAGGGCATTGGCCGGGCCTCCCCTCGCACTGGCGCACCGTAACACGTGTGCATCTGCAGCCACACTTTGGGCGTAGGCAGCACACCCTCCAACGATCCTTAAGCGCGGGAGGGCTGGGCATTTACTAGGTCGTTAGCTAGCCTAAATGACTGTAATGTACCTCAACTTAAAACGAAAAAAACGAAACGATTTAGTCAGATCCACCAAGGCAACTGGAAGTTGTCTTTTTACTTGGGAGCAATCCATTTTGCGCAAATTACAGTGTGTGCGTTCGTGCGTCTTGCCGCTAGCTATCTGAACAGTCGGAGCCCTACCGGAAGTCTAGCAACACGAGGTGCATCTTCTTTAGGTCCCGTCGGATCACAACCTTGCCCGGTACGAGCTTAGAGAACTTTTCGCCGTCAAAGTTGCTCGGCACCTTCAGCACGATGCACTTGGCGCTCCCCTGCAGACGCGCACAGATTTCGTGCAGCGGCAGGCCTCCGAGGAACAGGTCCACCTTCTCCAGGTCCTTGTACTCGGGGCCGCCCCATGGCGGGTCCAGAAACACCACGTCCTGCTGCAGCTCGAGCATCACGTCCAGGTAGTTCGCGTGGATGCACCTCGCGTTCGTCTTTTTGAGTACCTGAAGGTTGTGGCGCAGCATCTGCACCCGTGTGGAATCGTTTTCGATGGCGTTCACGTGTGTGAAGAAGTCGCAGAAGGACAGCACGTTGCCGCCGACACACGCGGTGCCGTCCGTTACCACGAGCGGGAACCTTTTCCGCTCTTTGATAGTCGTGCTGGCATCTTCGTGGTCCTCGTTGCCGCTCTCGGAAGTCGTGTCGTCTTTCGGAGGGGCAAACAGGTCTAGCACCGCCTGAGAGATCCTTGTAGCCATCTCGAAGTCTGTCACGCTAAACTCCGCCACCTCGTCCACTTGAAGTTGGCTCCGGAGGTCGTAGTCCAGGTTCCGGAAGAAAAAGTCGCGCTTGTCGCCACATTTCCTCGGGCGTGGAGAACTGTGCGAGTCCGACCCAGAGCGAGGCGACCGGGGCGAGTCTAATCTCGACGACGATCGACGGTTTGCTCTGCTGCCCCCTGTGTGCTGTGTGTGTCCGCGAGGGCTCGACTCCGCGCTATCATTGTGATAGTGCCCTCGCTGATGATGCACGGCCGTCGATGAAGGGCTCTTAACTTTTCGGGCTCCGTAGTCGGGCGAGTTCACTACGCCTGTAGGGCTACGCCGTTGCGTATTCCCGTTCGTTTGTCTCGCGCTGTGTACCGCGACGGTGTCGTCCACATGCAGCTTGTCCGCCAGCCTCTGCAAGCTGCTGCGCCGCGCGAACATCACTTCTCCTAGCAGCGACGGGTGCGGGACACCGTCCACGCTCTGCAGTTTCGCTTCTTCTCTCTGCGAAGGCGTTTTCTGCCGCCTCTTCATCTGCTGCCTCCGCTTCCTTCGGGCCAGGTCGGCGGTCTCCATCTCGTCTTGGCTCAAGGAGCGCCCCGCACTAACGGCAGCAGAAACCGACGGCGCGTCGAGTGACTGAGCGAACCCAAGCACGGGAGGCCCCGGCGGCAACGGGAGGAAGATGCCGGCGGCCGCGTGCGTCGTCCGGCGATCGTTGCGCGCTCGCCGGCCGTGCGACACCACGGTCTTCCACTCGCCCTCCTCCACGATCACGTGGTCGTTGGGCTTGGGGCCCTTGGCCAACTCGGCCTCGCGCCGCTTCTTCTCCTCCTGCATCTGCTGCATCTGGCGGGCGCGCTGCAGCTGGCGCTCGCGGTGCAGGCGCTTGGCCTCCAGCTCGGCCTGGTGCTTGGACGCGAAGCCGCTCGCCGGGCGCCACGAGCGCTCGTTGTCCAGGCTGCTGCTGCGCTGGCGGCCGCTGAAGCGCAGGTGCGGCGCGGCAACTCGAGCTGCCGCCGCCATCGGCCGAGACGACACACGCGGAGGAGGCTCCTCGTGCTCCTGCACTTCCATCAACCAAATGATTTTGAAACGTAGCTGCTCGCGAAGGTAAGAGCTTGAGGGATGACTAGGCGTTTGTATGCTGCAGTTTCGACCAATCCCAGTCGGTCTCCGCTTTCAGCTGGGGTTTGGAATTGAAGTTCGTGCACAAGAATGCCGCTTCCAAGGCAATGGGCTGTGGATCCATCGCTTGTGTATCGCAAGGCCATGCTGCTAACCGCTCAGCATGAAGAGGCAGCGCAACAAACCTGCTCGACGTGAGCTTGGACGAATTGGCAGCGACGACGAAGATGTCCACGAGACGACGCTGAGCGCACTACGCACTCGAGTTTATCGGGTTGTAGACAGCTACAGAGGTGCAACGCGTGGCTGAAAACGCGGCATATAGTGCTAATGCAAAACAAACTCGTACAAGATTACCGGTAACTGGTGAACCCAAATGTCAACGTGGCCCACCCACGGCATCGTAGTGATCATGCGTACCAGAGCAGCAAGGCCGCCCAACCTACACGGGTCGAAAGAGGAGAAGCCAATACAGTCAATCCCACAAGGAGAGGTTGTATTTTGAACTTAAGAAGAACTAGACCCGATGACACAAACGCATTGATGCTGACTTGAGTTGCGGGTTCAGTTTTTCATTTTGCAGATGAAGGTGTTCGTGGAGTACTTGGCCAAACGCCGACTCAACTCGAGGCGACAGGGTGGCATTCGATTGCAAATAGTGCGCGTTGGTGCTGCAAAGTAAATTTCTTATGCGGGTGCTGTCACGCTGATGGGAGCGGCGTTCTTCATCGCGAGATCGTCGTTGCGAGATCGTGTTTGTCGTGTTGCAGTCAAAAAGAAAAAGATCTCGAACACCGGAATCACAGCATGCACATGTACTCTGGGGTAAGTAGCTGCATTATCAGGCTGATCAGGCAGCTCACACAAGGCTCACCATGCTCAAAAGCGGGCTCCTGCCAGTGATCATAACAGGCCCAGCCAACCTGGTGTAGCAAAGCCTGGTGTAGCAAAGTCTGCACTTGAAGCTGTGCCAGGTGCCTCGGTCTTCGCCAAATGGCACCCGCGGCCGCATGGCCAAGCGTGGTCATCCACCGTCTGTCCTTGACGCTCGCAGAGCACCGCTCCCCACGTACTGTAGAAGTAATAGTGGCCGCGGCGCTGTTGTTGCGTCTGTCGAGCATGCTTCCACGCCGTCGAAGGCGAATCTGTGGAGCCCATTTGTGCGCCAGACGTGCTGCCGCTCGCTCCGCGGTGCTGCGGCGCACACTCAGCTTTGCGGCACCGTCACGACCGCACTGGCGAAATGGCGCTGGGGGCAATGCTGCTTGGAGCCAATGTGGTGCCTTTTGCCAAGATTGCCGAGTAATCATCGCTGAACCGCCTTTAGGGTTGCACTTGAGCGGTCCCGATGTAGCCCACACAACTTTACCGACTTGAACTTGCTACGAAACCCCGGTAGAATACGTTATTGAAGGTGTATTCGATATGTCAGAGCGCCATAAAGCTTCTTAGCTGGTATACCTAAAGTTGATTACAGTCTAATCACATAAGATACAATCCGAAGACGAAGTGTATTCGTTGTGCGAAGTGGTCCCGTGTTTTTGACCGCGAGAGCCCGCCGTTCACTCATTCTCACTTCCGCCGCATGCTGCCCACCGCGTTCGACGACGATACAGCGCCGTCGGCTTGATTGAGATCGCGGCAAGTGCGCGAGGGCAGGCCGGAACAGGACAGCGCATTCGCTTCAACTGGACTCGCTCCTGGGCCGCTCAAACCGCGTAGCTGGAAATACACCGGAGTCAGACACACAGGGCAGACAAATCAGACACACAGACAGACCCCGCAGGACCGACAGCGACAGTGGCAGGTCAAGATGGTGGGCGTCGCGATGAACTTCTACGACGACCAGGGGCGCCAGGACCTGACGCCCACCGAGGGCAACCGCACGTACGCCATCATCGTGTGCATCTTCGCGTCGCTGGGCGGCATCTTCTTCGGCTACGACCAGGGCGTGACGGGCGGCGTGCTGGTCATGGAGTCGTTCCTCAACGACTTCTGCGTGGGCTGGCACGGCCAGACCATGACGGACTGCACGCGCGCCACCAACGAGCTGCCGCAGCGCTGGGTGGACTACACGCTGTGGTACAACATGACGTACAACATCGGCTGCATGGTGGGCGCCATCATCGGCGGCTGGATCGCCGACAAATTCGGCCGCCGCCTCACCATCTTCCAGGCCGGTTCGCTCTTCTGCCTAGGCACGTCGTGGCTCACCTTCTGCCCCAGCCAGGCGCACGGCTCGCTGCTCGTCGCGCGGTTCATCCAGGGCATGGGCGTCGGCAACTCGTCCTTCTCGCTCCCACTCTTCGGTGCCGAGATGGCTCCCAAGGAGCTGCGCGGCTTCCTCTCGGGCTTCATGCAGATGACGGTCGTCACGGGGCTGCTGTCTGCTAACATCGTCAACCAGATCATCGAGAACCACGAGCGAGGCTGGAGAATCACCAACGGCGTGGCGATGGCGGCGCCCATCGTCGTCATGCTCGGCATCTTTTTCGTGCCGGAAAGCCCTCGTTGGACGTACCTGCACAAAGGCAAGGACGCAGCCTCGGCCGTGCTGAAGCAGCTGAGACAGACCAAGAAAATTGGCCGGGAGCTTCGCGCAATCGGCGCGCAGATCGCGAGGGAAGGACAGCCCGGAGGCTACAAGGAGCTGATGGAGCCGTCCGTGCTCAAGCGTGTGATCATCGCCATGCTGTTGCAAGTGCTGCAGCAGGGCACAGGAATCAACCCCGTCTTCACCTACGGCGGTCTGATTTTCAAGGATGTTGTGGGAGACGGCATTTTGTCGGTGCTCATTATTTCCATCGTGAACTTCGTGAGCACAATTCCCGCTATGCGGTGGGTGGACACGTACGGTCGTAGGCAGTTGCTGCTGATCGGTGCCGTGGGCATGGTGGTCGGTCACCTAGTGTCCGCGATTCTGTTCACTCTCGGCTGCAACGGCAACACTGAGAGCGCAGGCTGTTCCAAGTCAGCAGGGTACGCCATTATCGTGGCCACCTCGTTCTTCGTCTTCAACTTCGCCATCTCGTGGGGACCTGTGTGCTGGATCTACCCCGCCGAGATCTTCCCGCTCAACGTGCGCTCCATGGCTGTGTCACTCTCTACGATGGCCAACTGGCTCATGGGCGTGGTCATGACTTGGGTCGTGAAGCTCTTTCCGTCTCTGAACATCAACGGTGTGTTCTTTTTGTTCTCCGGCACTTGTGTTGTTAGCGGAGTGTTCGTGTACTACATGTGCCCGGAGACCACTGGCATCCTGCTGGAGGACATCGAGTCGTTGTTCGACGGCAGTGCGCGTCACAAGAATTCACCGAAGGAAGTGCAGGAGACGCCGTTCCAGTCCATGCAGAGCTATCGCACTCCGGTATGATCCACATAGTTGTGTTATTATCTATGCGGGCGTCGTCGTCGTCGTCGTTTGCTGCCCCTTGTAAGCTTGCAGTTGTAAATACATTAACGATGTGTGTTCTTTGTTTTTCTAGGCCGATCGCAATGCAGTGCCGTTTTCTAGTCTTAGCTCAAGAAGCTGACTCAGTTCATGCCAAGCGGCAGTTTCGTTCAAGTTGTTTCAAAATGGCTGTATTGAATACGGTCTAGCTCAATATGAAGGCCAGGGCCATGGGGCGTGGCGGCGATGAGGAAAAATCTTGCTGGGTCGACTGAGCGCGGTTGGCCGGTGAGGAATGGCCGTAGTATCCATGATTTGTACTGCTTATTCTGGAGTCGATGGGGTTACCGGTGACCAGCTCACTCGAGTATTCCGGGTGAGTCATCGGGTCCAGAAGCGCTTCGACGCAGTGGAGATTGGGGATCGTGGCCAGCAGGCCGCCGACAGCGTCAAGCTCGACGCTTACAAAGGCCAAGTCGCCCGCCTCGAACGGGGTTGCTGTGTGGAAGCGGTACGTGCAGCTGTACGCGACCTCCCTCGCCAGCAGTCGCGCGGCGAGGTGCTTGTTGTGGCGGATGACTGGGAAAAGCACATCAAGGTCCGCCGGTCGGTACTGGGCGTATAGTCGGCCGTGGGCAACGACGATTCTGCTGTCGCTGGGGCCCTGGATCTCGACCGACTCGAGCTTGAACAGCATCGGAGTCGCGATGTGCTGATGCCGTGCAATGAAGTACTCGGACTGGGACGGACTGAGCGGCAGGAGCCTCTGCTGGGCGTGAACGTGCTCCGCAGATCGAATCTCGTCCGAGGTGGTCTGCTGGACCAACGCAGCCGAAGGTGAGTCCGAGCCCCGATCGATAGACGCCCAGCGCTCGTGGAGTCGGATCAAGCCTTCGTACACGACTTGCGTGGCCGCCCGCACCTCGTCCAGAGCCACGCGGGGATACTGCTGCGGCAGGAGCTGGCGCAGCTCGAGCAGCCGCTGCAGCTCGTGCACCTCGCTCTGCAGCCGCTGCACGTCTTGCTCGAGCTGCTCCTCGTACTCGCGGTACTTCTGGCGGTAGAACTTGCCGCGCTCGCTGTTGTTCATGCGCGGCAGCTTGGTCTTGGAGATGACGCGCATCCGGCGGCCGCGGCCCCGGCCGCCGCGGATGAGCACCGCCGTGTCTTCAGGTCGTGACGGACTGGCCGATGCGATGGCGTGCAGCTCGGCTCTCGCGATGGACGCCATGGTCGGACGGAGCTGGGAAGTTTGTAAATGAGCGCGCAAAGCGCAGGCAACGGTCGGTCGACGCAAGTACTGCGCCACCCCGCGGGAATCGCGCGAATGCGACGAAGCAGAGGGTCCGTTGGCGAGCTATTTTAAGAGCAGCCTTGACGCCGAAACGGTATCTTTCCACGAATAACTGCGTGGCTTTGCGCGCTGACCGAGGTGATAATGAATGACTCAGCTCGCTCGCCTCGCCCAGGCTTGTCTAACGGGCGTGCATCGGGTATTGGTATTTATCAGCTCTACTGCTTGAGCAGGACCAGCCCGCGCGCACTGCTTGTTGGACGGCAACTCAGATGCGGTGCTTCCAGGCCGTGCTGCTTGGTCACGCGGCAAGATGTTCAAAAGTTCGTGGTGCTGCGTGGCGCTGCGCCCGCGACGTTTCGCCGCTAAAAAACTTTTGCACACGCATCGCAGCTGTAAAAAGCTTGTAAAAAGCTGCCTTTGACGAGCCCGTCGCGGGGCAGGTGCCGCCTGGCCCGAATCTTGTAGACCTGCCGGCGGCAGCTGAGTTGCGGTAGTTGATCTTATCGCAGCCGCAGTGGTTATTATCCTCAGAAACGGGCTTTACTCGTCGCGAATACCGCTACGGGACCGCACCAAAATAGTAGTAGAGCTGGCTGCCCAGAGCTTTCTTTTGGGACGAAGCGCTCTGGGATGGCGCGGGCTTACGATACGTTCTCAGCAACCGTAGTAGCAGTTACGCGGGTTGCTCCCGTCGGTCGCATTGCTATTTCAAGCAGGCCCACGCGAGCGGCCGGAGCCAAGGCGAGCCGCCAACGAACACGGGGCAAAAACAATCGTCCCGCGCTTTGGTTTCACACGCGCCAGCGCTGCGCTGGCTTCGCCCCGACTGAAATCCGTCACCGGCGTTGATGTTGGTTCACTACGTCTCTCAGCAGTCAAAGAGTTCTCACGAGTTCTCCGACGGACAAGCGCTTGCTTCAGACACAGTATCCAACTTCGACACACAGCCAGCGCCCATGACGGCACGAATACAAACTGTAACACGTAAAGTACCCCCACCGCTCAGGACTGTATTGAGGCCCCAGAGACAGAAGCGTGGTTTATTCTGCTCGAACATCAGCCAGCGATGGCAAAAATGCATGTGCACACTCCGTCCGTATACGCAGCAGAACACGTCGTCAGCTAACGAAAGAGAGACGAACTGTCGCCGACGCCATCTCAAGTTGTTGACAGCCTGTGCTGGGGCTTTTCCGTATGAACTAGTGCTGTCGAGCGCTGGTGCTGCTCCAGAGCAGAGTAACCAGCTTCAACGTGAAGCCTCACACCAGTATACCGGTTAAAAATCAACAACCTGGAAGTCATGGTCCACCACGGGCTCTCCGACGCCTTCTGCTAAGTCGGCGAGGCCGCTTGCCGCTGCAGCGTACGCCACCCCAAATGGCCATCGCGCCCCCACCTGCTTTCGGCGGACCAACCAACCGCAATAGCTTGAGGCGACTACATGTACTACTAGAGCATCCCGCCACGGCGGCACTGATCTTCCGACCGCGAGTCGAGTATTTCGCGACCCGCGCTGGGTGCATGGCGGCGGCGCTGGCACCGAATGCACAGCGCAGGGCAGGCAGGCTGGCAGGCAAGAGCCACGGCTGCCGGTCTCACTGGAGCTGCCGGTCGACGTCACGACACGCCAAGGCTGAGTGAGACTCAGCCACAAGGCGGCGATGCCTCCTTTTTGTATGGCGCCAGTAACGCAGGCAGGGTTGTGTGTTGCACACCATGGCTCGTTTCTGCTGCGCCGCCCCGCGCCGCAGAGGACCTCTCGGGCAATAACTCGCAGCCGTGTAGGTGAGTCCAGCCTTTTAGTGCAAAACTCCATTTCCATCCAGCTGTGATCGGTACATACAAAACTTTTTATGCGGAACGGAAACGGCCGGGGGGGAGTCAGTCGCCGCGCTTTTCGAAAAAACTGGACAGCAATCTCGAAATTAGACATTTCAGCAATACGCACAGTCGCTGCGGTATCGACGACGCCGCGCAGAGAGTGAGAGCGTAGGAAGGGAGTCAGAAGAGAGTCCCCGTCCCGCCAGAGCTCCCCTCGCAGCGAGACGCCTCCTCCCTCCGCCCGGCCACTCCGACAGCCATGGCGCAGCGCGGGGACAAGGGCGCCAAGGGCGAGAAAAGCGGCTTCTTCCGCAAGATGTACTCGTCCATCGGCAGCTCGTCGCGGCAGCAGGCGGCCAACCGCCACGACAAGGACAAGCGCAGCGACAGCACCAGCAGCGGCACCAGCAGCGGCTACAACCAGGGCAGCCCCAGCGACGGCGCCACCACCAGCAGCGGCCACAGCGCCAACGGCGGCGGCGGCCTGCAGAACTTCGTCAAGCACCACAGCTTCAACGGCCACATGCCCTTCTCGAGGGACGACCCGCGCTCGGCGGGCGCAGGCGACCCGCACCAGAGCCTGCTGTCCAAGCGGCCGAGCCTCATCGTGCCCTTCTCCAACCAGCAGCAGCTGGGCAACGGCGCGGCCGCCAACGCCGCGGACGGCGTGCAGAGCTACCTGGACGACTTCCAGGCGCCCATCTCCAAGTCGGGCGTGCTCATTAAGCAGGCCAACCACTTCAAGACGTGGAAGAAGCGCCTCATGGTGCTCAAAGGCCACTCGCTCTTCTACTACGTGTCGGGCACGGTACGGGCGGATGAACGGATATGACTATTGATACGTGGGTCGCGGCTGACCAGTGATTGATCTGTTTGTTGTGCAGTCTGGAGAGGACTCGTACCCGCGCGGCGTCATCCCGCTGCAGGGCGTCAGGATCACGCCCATTGACTCGGCCAGATTTAAGAGGCAGAACTGCTTCGAGATCTGTCACCCGGTGCGTTTGCAGCAGCAGCAGCAGAGCCGCTGAAATGATAGAAGCTGACACTGTGTCGTGTTGCAGGGATACCGTCCTATCTACCTGATGGCTAAAAGCGAAGCGGATTTAAGCGTCTGGATGAGCAGTTTGACGTCGGCTGCGATGCCGACGACGGCCGACCGGAAAATGCTGCTGGTGACGGAGCCGCTGGAGTCGCTGTTTAATACGCCCGCGCTGGAGGATGCTGTGCCCTACAAGCGGACTTTCTACTTCCGGCAGAAGGTGGCTTTCTGCATGCCGCGGAAGGAGGATTCAGGGTACACGGCTGTGGAACTCTTCGACCTGAACGAGAAGCGGCTGACGACGCTGTGCGACCTCAACAGCTACTGCGACTCGTTCCCGATGATCTTGGACGACCCACAGCTTTTCGTGGAACTGCTACATGTGGTAGGGTGCTACATTTTCAGGCCGTTCGCAAAGCTGCAGTCGACGTCGCCCGGTAATATCTTTGTGGAGGAGCCGAGCCCGGAGGAGACGAGTATGTTGGAGAACCCGATGGACAAATATTCGGAATACACGACGGAGGAGCAGCTGTGGGGACTGCTCTCGGCCTGTTACGACCTGTTGCTAAAGGCGATCGAGCACATTGACAAGTTAGAGAAGCACGTGCGCAAGGAGTTTTTCCCCCTGCGGTTCATCGCGCAGCTTGTCAATCTGTTCAAGACGCCGTCGTTTAAGGAGCGGCAGGTACTGAAGGGGGTGCTTCATCGACTGTACTATAAACTCACGCAGCGGCGGTCGGCCATTCGCAAGGAAATCGCCAACACGTTCTACGAGTATATTTATGAGACGTCGAACCACTACGGCGTGGCGGAGCTGCTGGAGATCCTCGGCAGCATCGTCAACGGCTTTGCGTGCCCGATCAAACAGGAACACGTGGTGCTGCTCGAGAAGGCGCTGATCCCGCTGCACTCCACGCCCGCCTTCATCTCGTACCACCAGCAGCTCGCGTACTGCATGATCCAGTACGTGTCCAAGGACCATACGCTCTTCACGCCCATCGTCCGTGGCTTGCTGAAGTACTGGCCCGTGGGCAACTCGTTCAAGGAGGTGATCTTCATCGTGGAGTTTGAGGAGATGCTGGAGCACGTGTTGGCGGAGACGGACTTTGACTCGATTTCGCCCAAGCTGGCGCGGAGATTGGGGCAGTGCATGATCAGTGACCAGTTCCAGGTGGCAGAGCGCGCGATCTCGTGCTGGAGTTCCCCGGCGTGCTTGCGCATCATGAACGAGTACGAAAAGTTGGGGCAGGGCATGTTTGACGTGATCAAGCCGTTCTTGCAGCGGGCAATAACAGGCCACTGGAATACGCTGATTCAGCAGAAGGCGCAGGAGACATACACGATGTACTACAACATGGGTTACGACACGGACGACGTCTCAACGGCACCATCCGCACTTGTATCGGACGGGAAAGTATTGGATAGCAGCGCCAAGACGGAGGAGTCGGACCCGGACGAGGAGGCCAACAACTCGAGCGAGGCGAACCTGTCGATGGCGATCCGGCTGTCGGCTTCAAACGCAGTAGAATCATTAGACGTCGTGCTGTCGGACGAGGACGAAGACGAGAAGCCGGACGCGTCCTAGAGCGCAGCGGGAGGATGGATGGATGGAAGTTGCATTGCGATAGAGAACGCCAGGGCAGCTAGGGAACCCCAGGCAGCGCACGCCACGCCACCCCCGCCACACTCTTGACGCGCTCCCGGTAGCAGCTACGGTACACACAGATGACACAACAAGCAAGAAGAGAAAAATCTAAACAGGTAAATGGATGGGAGATGAAGGATAGGCAGCGGCGAGCAGCGGGCACCGAAAGCGGCGGATGAAGGCGCAACGATAACAGAGGCAGGGGTGGATGAATGAGTTTCAAGTTTTGGCTATTATTTGAAATACTACGACAGATAACAGGGAGGGACTGGCACGATTGCGCCAGCGTCAGAAGGAAACGGTGGGGGCGAGCACGGAGCGAAGAGGGCGACGTAGCCACAGGGGTGGCCCGCCCCCTCCTGGCTCGCGTTGCCGCGCCAGTCATGCCAATAAAACTACTCATTCATCAAGCAGATACAGACTCATACCCTAGACCAAGCTATCGGGTAACCGGATTTTTAGGTCAATCCTACATTTTGGACACGGGTCAAATCCTTACTTTGGTCACGTGACCTAAGCGAATGAGGTCACATGTAATTCGCAAACGGTTTGGTTGTTAAGTAAATGCGTTATAGCGATTCTGCTCCTGACAGATAGCGACTTCCGCACCATTATTCCGCGCTGCCGTAGTCAAAAGAGTCGTCTGGACGATAGTCTGCTGTCTCATGATCCATCTCCTCTGAACCCACAGCACTAGAGTAGGATCCAGGGTCATCAGTGGCGATGGTCGCGACTCGGCCGTCTCGGAGGCATAACGACTGTATTTGTAGCGAAGAGTTAGAGCTGTAAGTAGGTTTCGGACCACTATTATAAAGGACCAGGGAAGCTAGCGCTCCGAGCAAACCAAAGCTCTGTTTAGCTTAAGAGGTTGATTTCAAAGTAATCTGTGTATGTGTTTCAGCTGACTCCTGCTAGTGCCTTCTGCTAGCGTCTACTACCAAACCGACCCCTCTCTCTCTCTGTCGTTTGCATTGGTTTCGCTGTTCCTCCCTTTCCTACTGCCCGCTTGGTAGCGTCGCTCTGTAGAAGCCACCCGATGAGTGGGCTGGGCTCGCTTCTGTGAAAACCTCCACTACACTTATCATGTATTTGCCTACCATATTTCACTGCTAGTAGTACCATGCTATATTTTGAGCCGCCTACCATACAGAATTGCACCTAGCTTTCATTCTACACAATAACGCAACTCAACGATTACAAAGTACACAGTGTAATAGCGAGGCAACCGGCTCGTATAGTGCGACATGGTAGTAGTACAAGTAGACTGTAGGGCTACACACCCTCCCATGAACAACTTCGTCGACACAGGGAACCCATTATGAAATTTCGACATCGTCTCCGGATTCTATTTCGTGCTTTGTAGCATTCACTTAGAAAATTTATACGCGCCTAGAAGTAGCTAACCCATCGCACCACAGCTCAGCACTCGAGCTTGACACTTCAACATGAGACGGCCCCCATCGCGTAATGTAGTTCACGAGAAGGTATTTCTCACGAATATGCGGCACCGCGCGTTGTTATCTATTCCAGGCTCGGTAGGCCTCCTCGGCGGAAACGTCTCCAGCTGCCGAGTGCGCCTCAACTGCGTCAGGCCGCCGACATTGTGGGGTCAGAGAAGAGCAAAGACTTATGAGAGCAGCCTAGGATCTGCCCCGCTTACCGTCGCGGTGGACAACAGTGCTCGCGTCCCTCCAAGCCGAAGCTGGACGCTCGACCACCGGACCTTCACTCTCACTGGCAACACCGTAGCAAGTGTGCACATGCTGTCACCTTGCAAGGTAGGCAGAGTGAATTGTAAGCGCTGGAGGATCGGGCATTTGCTAGGCCGTTAGTTTGGCTAAATGACTGCAATGCGCCGCACCTTGAAACGAAACGAGACGGCGAGTCGAGTGTGCGGCCAAATCTGTGCAGCATACCCATGGCCTTCGGCAACGCTGTGATCCCAGGAACAGCGGGCGGCCGAAGTCGTTAAAGCAACGGCAGGACTAGCAACTTCAGCAACGTCAGGACTAGCAACTTCAGCAACGTCAGGATATCATAGGGTTAGGGGATGGATTTTTCTGCAATTTTAATTTATCGAATAGTTATTGTGAGAACCGGCTAAAACGCATATCTGTAGCAACCCCTTATTAGACCTCAACCACTTAATTAATCAGAGTACAAATCAGGGCTGAAATCGATCGTGATCTAGATGCATCGCTTGCCTGCGCGATTGCCTAGGTATTCTGATGAAGCACGGCTATATCAACGTGGCTTTTATAAAACGATCGCCTAATCTGCACATCCACTCACATATGCATCGCAGGACGCGATCGATTTACAAATCGATAGAGCTAAATCAGGGTGCTAATCGATCGATTTACGAGCAAAATAGGCAAATGAAGCGGTTTTCACAAAAAGCTCTTTGCGCATTATCTGATGTAAATTTTATTGTACGTTTTGTTGCACATTGGTGTAGTTTCTATTATCATACACACGCTACTAACCTTACATATTAGTACATTGCAGGTAGAAAGTTGTGATTGGCACCGTTATCTACTGTGCATTTGATGGTTGGGTCTCCACATATTTTTTGTGTTGCTAACACTAGTGTGTGTAAATTACTTGTAAGTGACGTTGATCCAAAACGTAGAGTTAGACTTGTTGTAATCGTTCAAAATGAAGATCTTTACAAACAAACGTCTGATGTGAGGTTTAATTTGTTTGTAACATTCACAATTAAGCTCTCTTTTTTTAGTAGGCTGAGCTTGACGCCACTATCTCTTTCGATGCGAATTACCTGCTAGTGTGTCGAGGACGGCGCTCGCCTTTTCGTTGAGATAGATTGTTTTTAATTCGTTCATAGGGATGCTCTACGTGCCTAAACTTACCTGGAACGGCATGTTCTCCCTCTCTACATTAATATATACCAACCGGACACTTGGAAACTGTGGCGGCGTCTACACCAACAAATAGCTGCCGGACACTTGGAAACTGTGGCGACGTCGTGGTGCGTATGTGGGATGGTGCAATCAAACCACTGTTAACGAGGAACATTATTCAGAGAGCGTTAATATGCAGGACGAATCACCAATACATTTATGAATAAAAGTATGAAATGGGATTAGTTGTTGGCATCGGCATCACCAATACATTTATGGATAAAAGTATGCAATGGGATTAGTTGTTGGCATCGGCAACTGTGCTCGAGTCCTGCTGTATCCTAACCTTCCGGCATCCTAAGCTCAGTTGTGGTCATGTTCCTTCATATCTCAATCCTATTACTACTCACCACTAAAAATGTCTAACTGATACGCGCGGGGCATATTTGTATGGCAGCGTAGTCGTTAGACTGATCTGTGTGCACTGACTATATCATGGTTTAACTATATATTAGATGCACTTCACGTTTGTAGGCCTATTGTACTCTACATGGATGCTATTCGTCGGCCATGCTGGGGCTATGCTCCATGTACCTGACGCACGTTATTACGCTTGTTGCATATTGTTATGCCTTACTGCAGTGTGTAAGAATGTGGATCATTTTTGTGGCAAATGATCCTCTGTGCGTTGTGTCATTGATCAGGATACCCGGTTTATGTATCTGCATCGTGCTACTGGCAGTAGCCTACTGCTTTGGGTGAGCACATCGTTAGGATGTGCCTCACGTCTTCGTAAATCTTAGAAGCGACAGGTGCGGATGAATACGGCAATTTCTAATGCTACCGTACGAACATGCAGAGCTCCAGTAAAGGCGACAGGGCTTTTAGCAACTGGAGCAACTTCAGCAACAGCTGGTACTTCAGTAACGTCGGCCACGTCAGCAACTTCGGCAACTTCAGCAACTTAATTTTCATCTGGTACGCGGGAGAGGAGTTTTGACTCCTGGGTTGCTTCATTTAGATTTTGCGCTGTTCCTTGAAGGTAGATGTGCTATAATGCGGCAAGGAGGCTAACGTTCTGCTTTGTACTCTCCGCTCTATCTGCTCCAGTCACCAGTCTCCAGTTCCCTACCACTTCCTTTCTCCCCCGCACCTCGACCCCCTTCCCCGTCCCGCCCATTCCTCTGCCTTACAGCTTCTGTAACAGAGCGACGTTCGCTTCAGAATGAGCACTCCCGGTACGTTAAAGCGTTATGCTTTATTTGGTCCGTATTCAATTCTCATATTAAATATGTACTTGTAAATGTTAGGCTTCAGCCGTGGAGAGAAGCGGCGTAAGTGTAAATGTTCATGTTTGGGTCACGTGTATGGTTTATTTACAATGTATAACTGAATATTAGACCGCCTCGAGGATGTCAATGCAAATGAAGAGGACGCCAGAGATGAAGGATCCAAGCCTGGTTTTGGTGGCGGCGTGGACATGCCTACCCGTCAAGCACCAGGTAGACAGTTCAATTGTTTTAGTACGTAGTATTATCTAACTGGATTTGTGCTGCTTGTCGTACTAACTCCCTACAGTAATTTCCCGGGAAATTCCTTCCGTGCTGGGAAAAGAATTTGTATCTTGGGAAAAACTAGAATAATTTTGGGGCGACTACGAAAAAACGAATTTGGTGTGCTATCGAGTTCGTGATTCGAATTCGTGCGACAAATGGAATGCCAAGTTAAAGGCCAGGACAGTGCCACCGCAATTCAAACTCGCGTTTCGGAAATACATGTGCACACTGGGATGTAAGCAGCCCTCGCGTGGAACAGGGAAGTGAACGACACGTACGTCGAGATATCAACATTGTATGTGATATCATACTTCCTCCAACTCACGTTTCGTCATGCTTTTTTTTACAGTTCTCCTGTCATAACCACAACCTCACCGAGGCCTTGTTCGTAGCTCTTAAAAAGAGCAAAGAGATTCTCTCAGACGAAATGCTGGAACAGCTCGACGCGTTTGTCGAAACCAACACTGACACGAAGCAGATAACAGATTATCTCTCGAGAAAAACAGATGCGCTCGATATTAAT